TTGTCATTTAGCTTTCTGAACATCTTGCCGAAACAACGGTATGATAATTGGTTCTTTACCCTTCTATCTGGCAACAAAACTGACACCTTTTTACAAGGAGTCATGTTTGCATAGACCGCAATACCTGCAGTCATAATACAAACAAAAGAACATAACTCTGATAATGTGCACTGTCCTTGAAGTTGATTGGTCCACACCCGAGACAGCTTTCCTTTGAGCCTAGTCTCATATGGGTTGGACCAGATGACGCCAAAAGGCGCACAACTCAAAGAGAATGCACCATCAGAGTATGAGAGCTCGGGGCAAGCATCTACACTATGGGAACCTCATTTGCCAGTAAAAATATGATAATTGGTTCTTTACCCTTCTATCTGGCAACAAAACTGACACCTTTTTACAAGGAGTCATGTTTGCATAGACCGCAATACCTGCAGTCATAATACAAACAAAAGAACATAACTCTGATAATGTGCACTGTCCTTGAAGTTGATTGGTCCACACCCGAGACAGCTTTCCTTTGAGCCTAGTCTCATATGGGTTGGACCAGATGACGCCAAAAGGCGCACAACTCAAGGACAATGCACCATCAGATTATCAGAGTTATGTTCTTTTGTTTGTATTATGACTGCAGGTATTGCGGTCTATGCAAACATGACTCCTTGTAAAAAGGTGTCAGTTTTGTTGCCAGATAGAAGGGTAAAGAACCAATTATCATATTTTTACTGGCAAATGAGGTTCCCATAGTGTAGATGCTTGCCCCGAGCTCTCATACTCTGATGGTGCATTGTCCTTGAGTTGTGCGCCTTTTGGCGTCATCTGGTCCAACCCATATGAGACTAGGCTCAAAGGAAAGCTGTCTCGGGTGTGGACCAATCAACTTCAAGGACAGTGCACATTATCAGAGTTATGTTCTTTTGTTTGTATTATGACTGCAGGTATTGCGGTCTATGCAAACATGACTCCTTGTAAAAAGGTGTCAGTTTTGTTGCCAGATAGAAGGGTAAAGAACCAATTATCATATTTTTACTGGCAAATGAGGTTCCCATAGTGAAACAACGGTAGTTTTCGAATTCCATAAGCTTTATTTTGACAGCGGGCACAACTTTTGTTATTCGTATTATTGCTTTCTGAAGCTTATAATATGGAGATTACAGTGCCGTAATAGTATTAGCGACGTTTAAATGTATATATGCATTCACATCTCTGGGCCATTCGATGATGATGGATTTGCGATTTGATTAAATAATCGATAGACAGCGATGACCGAGAAATCGAACCCAGGTCTCTGGGTTCATAATGCAGCGCACGAACCACTGCGCAACCGCCCGGAGCGAAATATCACAATCTAGTATTGCCATCCAATTGTGCCAGTGTCTTCACTTTTCACAGATATGTCGCAAGATAGATCCCGCTATGCCAGGGTTTCCCAAAACGCCGGTTCTCGCAACCCACCGCCACCACGCTCCATCTCACCAATTTACTCATCCCATTCAAATGATCTCGTTCTACGCTGCACGCGCCTGATGATTGCTAAACACGTCCCACGTGGCGCTTTAAGCAATTGACGCTGTCTGCGTCTAGCTGAACACGTGTACACGCGCACACCTGCGACACGTGTACACGCACACACCTGCGACACGTGTACACGCGCACACCTGCGACACGTGTACACGCGCACACCTGCGACACGTGTACACGCGCAAACCTGCGACACGTGTACACGCACACACACCTGCAAGACGTGTACGCGTACACACACCTGCAACATGTGTACACGCACACACACACGCATATATAAGTCTCCATTTGGTTCGGCGCTACTAACGCAGAGAGCGTTAATTACTTAGCGCGTCGCGACGGACGTGTTTAACAACTATCGGGTGCGTGGAACGACTTCATTCGTACTTGAATGGTAGGAGTACATTGGTAAACGTACTCGTAGTTTTTTCGGTAAAGTCACGTATGTAAAAAATTGAAATAAAAATAAAATAATAATAAATCACGACGTTTCGGAGGCAACACAAGCAAGTCTCCGTCATCATTTTTATTATTTTATTTTTTATTAATTTTAATTTCAATTTTTTACCTACGTGACTTTACCGAAAAAACTAAGAGTATGAATCCTTGCAGTCACGAAAACTTCAAATCTAGAATTGGTAAACGTGTTTAGTAAATTGGTAAACGTGTTTACCAATGTACACGTGTACACACAATTTACCAATGCATCACCTTTCAAGTCCAACTTGTTTTTTGTACACGCTGCACACGCCTGATGATTAATTGTCAAACGCGTCCTATACGCGGCGTGCAGAGCGCCAACTGGTAACAATCAGCACCGTCCTCGTCACGCGGGACGCAACACGCACACAATGCATTTATCTTGCATTCGATTCAGCGCTCATTACATCACGTAGAACAAAGATAATCTTTCCGGCACGTGCAACTTGTTAAGCAAAAAACTCATCAAATACGGGCGAACACGTGGCGCCGTTTATTTGGTGTATATTTTTTTAGAGGAGGTAACGTCGGTTGGATCGTGAGGAATTGGCGTTGGGTTGCAAGCCGTTCCGCTGATATTTGTTTTTAAAACGACAAGAGATACAAAACACGCGAACATTCTCAACGCGGATCGAGAGAAATTCCAGGATCGGCACCACATTGCTCGCCACCCGAACTTGGTCTGAGCTCTCATCTGCGCACCTCCGATGCATCGCACCGCCGTGGAACAAACCACCACAAACGCTTCTTCAAAACGTGGCGCGCGAGCGCGCGAACACAAATATCATAACTTTTAGATCTTCAGCCGAATTTCTTCTGCGAGTCCTGCATTAAGGAGAGCTGTGAGCGTGGTTAACGCTGAATGCCCGGCCCTGTGTCGGGCGTTTCTGAGCTTTGGCACGTTTAATGGGTACGTCTGTCGAGGCCTCCTGCGGAGTTCTCTGGATCGTCTCGTCGCCCCGGTCCGTGATGACGGCGGGGAGGAGTGCGAAGGTTGCGGCGTCTCCAATGCTGCTCGCCCTGCTCGTTATGCTCGCACAAGGTCGGTGGCGTTGACGGATTGGCCGTTGTCTTTGTTCCGACTACGCGAGTCTTCCTACGTTAGTTGCTGAGCAGTCGGCGATTATTTCTTTTTAACGAAATCTTCTAACGCTGTGTAGGAAAGGAAAACGATTTTTTTAAGGCAAGTTCTGGTAATGGCCCAGTCAACGAAAGTTGACTTCCCCCCCCCCCCCCCCAACGTTGTCGGAGTAACGTTGGGCTCGACGTCCCATGTTTACCAAAGTTATGCTGTGGTCGGTTTGATGGTTGGTTTGATTGAAATGGTTTTCAAAATCGCAGTGCTGTACTGCTCCGTATTGAGATGCTCGAGGTTAAAGTCATTTTTATGAAATTAAGTCCCTCTGAATCGGTACATTTATTTACGCTGGAGGAATCCGATGAGCTTTAAAGGACACGCGCCGATCCACGATCTGACGTCAAAATAATGCCGCACTCCATGAAACGGTTCACCATTGGAACCTCATTTGCCAGTAAAAATATGATAATTGGTTTTTTTAACCTTTTATCTGGCAACAAAACTGACACCTTTTTTACAAGGAGTCATGTTTACATAGACCACAATACCTGCAGTCATAATGAAAAAAAAGGCGTGCGCCTTTTGGCGTCATCTGGTCCAACCCATATGAGACTAGACTCTAAGGAAAGCTGTCTCGGGTGTTGACCAATCAACTTCAAGGACAGTGCATACATTATCAGAGTTGTGTTTTTTGTTTGCATTATGACTGCAGGTATTGTGGTCTATGTAAACATGACTCCTCGTAAAAAAGGTGTCAGTTTTGTTGCCAGATAGAAGGGTAAAAAACCAATTATCCATGAACGTTGTCTACAACATCTGGGCGAAAAGCCCTCCAGACGAGCTCCGTCTATCGAGCAGTGGAGCTTCTTCACCTGGGGTGCGTGCACCAGCTGCGGGTGCGAGATGCACTTTCTGGGGGTGCGAGACGTGGCCAGATCGGTTTTAGAAAGTCAATAATCGAAATACAAATTAAGCACTGGCACGTAAGTGTACAATAACCTTGCTTCGTCAAACCCATGTGTATTTGTTAACACAAATTTTTAACGATTGAGAACCAAAGCGGCGATGCAAGGCTGTAGTAAAGGTCGCTCTAGATTGTAGTAAAGGTCGCTCTAGATTGTCCGCAGTGCCCCATGTGGTCCGTGACGATCCCCCAGGTGAGTCCAAGGGGGGCTGATGCAAACGCATCTTGATGCGGGCAATAGTGACAATGGTTATACCTTATTGTTTCGCACATTTAATTAGTATTTTATTCATGATATTTAATTTTAAAATGACGTTTGGTAAACTACCATAACGCTGAGATCTAAATTTCCCCCCCCCCCCGCCATTCTAAAAAAAGTATCGTGGTGTAAAAACCCACGTTTGTATGTTCTGGTAATATGAATAATGTAGTTCTGGTATTTGTGGAGAAGTGAATGCGTTTTGTCACCGGGGTTGGGAGGGCTGAGTGGTCTGGCGGGCCAAAAACTGAGACAAAACCGCTCTACGCTTCGAGGCCCTTTTCCCAAAAGTGGGGTGGCGAGCAGTTGCAGGTGCTGCGCTATTTACCCTTTGTTATACTCTGCGGAGCATTGTGTGCACCTTGAACTTCTTTCGCGCCGTACGTAGCCAGCCGTGCTAATGGGAGGTGTGTGGGAGGGTACGACAAACGAAGCAGTGTTAAAGAAATTGTTGGCAATGGATAAACGCACGCGCGCGTGGTACGGAAACAATGTTGTATCTTCTTGGTTCTTTCGGTAAAGTCACGTAGAATGGAAACGTCGTGAGAATTATTTAATCATGTTTTATTTTTATTATTTCTTATTTCCATTCTACGTGACTTTACCGAACGAACCAAGAAGATGAATCCCTGCAGTCACGAAAGCTTTAAATCGAAACAATGTTTGTACTTGAGTACGAATCTACCCTGGCTGCGACCTAGGACTGGCCCAGGTGCCGTCTGTGGGGAACCGGCGTCTGGAGCGAGTCCTGCAGGAGAAGCGAAGCGCAGAGCTGGACACGATCTTTGAAATCAACAAACGTGAGTCCCTCGTGAGTATGGGGTGAGGAGGGAGGGGGGCAGTGAGGCTCCCCCCCACCTCCCTCTCCCCCGCTTGCAACCCTGCCAATGGGTGTGTTATTGGGATCTACCAGAAATCAATACTGCTTGAAATGCCGATACTGCCCCGGGATCCATTGAAAGACTCTGAATCCACCTTTGTAATGCATACTAATGAATGTGTACTGCTGGTTGAATGCATTTTCTTAAAAAGTAAACTACTATGTAGTATGTGTATTGCGTGCATGTACGTGGAGACGCCTTAATGTTGACTGTTCCATGTGTCGCTCAGCGTTAATCTTCAATGAGTATTCCCGTGCAACGTTCCTGGTGGAAGCGGACATCATGAGCCCGGTAAGGACGAGGGGTCCACGTGACCTTCTAACTGCGACCTCGTGACCTCGTGAGCTCGTCGTCGGCTTTAGCGACTTGCTCATCTTTGTCGCTGTGGGGCGCTACGAGAGTTTCTGTTCGTGATAATTGTGGCAAATCGCCTGACGAAGCTGGGTTGTCGTCACCAGCGGAAACGTCGTACTGAAATTGTAAATATTTTGGGTTTTACTCGCCAACGCGCACCGGTGTTGCTGAAGGGGCCGTCCATAAATGACGTCACGCGATTTTTGACGCTTTTTGACCCCCCCTCGTCACACGGCGTCACAAAAAGTCAGAACCCACTCAAATATGACGTCACAAAGCTCTACCCCCCCCCCCAAAAAAAAACATGCTTCAAATCGCTTTAAACTATTGTAATTGTAGTGCGCATTTAATGTGGCGCTGCACTCTGTTGTAGGAGTGTTATAACAATTAGTGTTGTTAACAATTAGTGTTGTAATAACACATCTATACTTATTTAAAGTTGTGCATTTTTATGTGACATCACATTTCTCACCCCCCCCCCTCGTCACACATCGTCATAAATGTCTGACCCCCCCCCCCAGGTGCGTGACGTCATTTATGGAGGGCCCCAAAGTAACCAATTGGTAAGTTTTGTTCACGTGACAAACCTGTGTCGGCTGGTCGTGGGTTAACGACACTTATATTTACGCGATTTTGCACAAAATCCTTCATTATGAATAATATCTGTCGTAAAAGCCTACGTGTTAAGCTGACAATCTTTCTAATTGTTTGCGTGCGTGCGTCGCAGCTCACGCGAAACGCGGTCGCCAATTTAGGCTTTAAGTGGGCAAAATCGGAAGACGGAAAAGTCTACATCCCGTACGAGATGTACAACCGCTACGGTGAGCGACGCTGCCGTGTGCGTGTACGGTGGTGCCAGGGTGTCGCTGTAGTGCCCTGTGTGGCCCCTTCTCCAACGGTTCGTTTTAGGGCCGTTAACCGCGTGTCTGGCACGTTTTTGGCTTCGCTTGAAGAGATCCACTGACAAACCCCCACCCCCCCCCGGCACCGTCAGAGTAGTTCTTGACGCATGAGAGGTTTCTTATCCGCACGGAGGCAACGCTTGTGCTCCGACTGATGCTCCTGCTGTTGTGGAGTGACTCGTGCAGCCAGCTATGGCTGCAGAGTCTGGTAGTACGTGTTGTTTACGTCGTTTATTGTGAAAATTCCATCACAGTTCCTATGATTACTGCTGTTTCATTGCTTTTATGGCTTTATTTTGGTGATTTTCGAAAAGTTTTTTGGTTTGACCATGTTTGTTTGTTGTAGTACAGAGTTAGACTGATGGCCTTAAACTAAGTTGTCTTATGGTTGTTGTTGTTTGACTTGCATCCCACTGGGATTTTTGCACATTTTTGTGTACGGTGCTTTTTCTGCAATAATTTGCTGTCTTTTTTTGGATTTTCTGTTTGCACTCGGTCACATATTCACTTTAAGATGTTTTTTGTTGCGGTTGCACCTGATTCAAGAGCCGAATGGCTCACAGGGGCTATACCTAATAAATTAACTTGAAATTAACTTGAACGCTGTCCGTCCCAAGTTTGAATGAGTTTGAGACCTTGGTGGGGTTGGGGGGGGCGGTCTTTCTCTGTGCAGAACCGGAGCAGCAGAGGGCCATACAAGAGGCCATGAATGAGTTTAACGATCGAACGTGCGTCAGGTTTGTGCCACGTGACAATGAAGCCGACTACCTGGCCTTCTATCCCGTCATGGGGTAAGTTGGTGTGTGTGTGTGGATGTTTGATTTAAGGCTCTCACCCCCACACCTCGTGGTGTTTTTCATCTGAGTCTGTAAAGCAGTGAGGCGAGTCATACAATTTTTTAAGCCGAGTTTAAGTCCAAACTCTGTGGGGAAATTGCAAATTTGATCGGAGAATTTTTTTTTCAATATTGTATGATCTCTAACGTGTACGATTCATTGCCTCTTTACGCTCTCATTTGGCATTTAAGTCCCATATTCTGCAGCCCCAAAGATTCATCCTCGCCGGCCCATTTAGTTAATATTTTTTTGGACCCGTCCAAATGGGCCAATTTAGAAGACCACACGACAATTTGGGCCCGTTGTGTTTTACAAATGCCTGGGCCCGATTTTCTGTTTAGTCCCAGTCCCCCATCACTGATTTTTGTGGATGATCATCTGTGGACGACGTGGGTGGTTGGGGACAGATGCTACTCGCTGATGGGGCACCACAGGGGCATGCAGATCGTGTCTCTGGACGAGCGCTGCCTGCAAAAGGGCATCATCCAGCACGAGCTGCTGCACTCGCTGGGCTTCTGGCACGAGCAGGCGCGCAGCGACCGCGACCGCTTCGTGTCCGTGCAGTGGGACGACATCATTCCAGGTCGGCACAACCTCGTGTGGACCCCCGTGTTTGGCCCAAAAAACGTGGCTCTACCAGTACCCACACGCCTCCCGAGGTGGCAACTGCTTCCACGGATTCTTTTTCTTTTCGGCATTTAATCTCCTAGGTCACAAAGTCGAGTGGTAGCAAGGTCAAGGTGGTAATTTGTTTGTTAAATGTATACAGAATGTAGGAATTTGTTATTGAATGGGTTCCATAGTACAGTATGTGTAATAGAATAAAATAATTTCGATTTAAAGCTTTCGTGACTGCAGGGATTCATCTTCTTGGTTCTTTCGGTAAAGTTACGTGACTTTACCGAAAGAACCAAGAAGAAGAAAATAATCTCGTGTCATTTGAAAAGCCCACGGCATGTGTGCGTGTAATATATGAAATGGTTGTTATGTTACGCTCCACTATCTGTCCATGGTGGATGGAGACTGCCTGTGGGTGGGGGGATACTAGCAAGTAGCATTCGTCTCCCCACGTGGTACTCACCCAACCCCCCCCCCCCCCCCCGCTTGGCTCATGTGCTATTATTATTTATGGCTACCTCGTCTACTTTTCTTGCTCCATTTCTCACTCTGTTGTCGTCATCGGCAGCCACGTTCTAGCCACTGCTGGATGGATGTCTCCGGCAACGTTGTTTTTCAATCCGACGATCTGCTACAGCGGCTGCCGCGTACGATCCGGTCTCATCCCACGATGCCCCCACGGTGGACCCGGCCTCCTTTTAGAAACGGCCCTCTCCATTGGCTGCAGACGCCCTCGTTGGTCACAAACCACAGACGACGAGCTCCTCTCTCCGCCCCCTTCTCGTGATGTCTTCTGGGCCAAGCCCTGTCTGTCAGAGGTCGCAAACGAGTTTTGATTCCTTACCCGTACCCGGCCGCACCAGGGTCGCAAACGGGTACCCGTACCCTACCCGATACCCGGCCGGGTACGGGTAGGGTACGGGTAGCCGATTGCGACCTCTGGGATGAAGCCATGTTGCAGGCGCGGGTGGGTTGATTCTAGGAACTTGAATTGTGAGAAGAGACAAGACGTTGGGAAATGAGTGACAAACGGTTACTCACCAGTGACTCGCGGTCTACCCGTACCCATGATAATTGGTTCTTTACCCTTCTATCTGGCAACAAAACTGACACCTTTTTGCAAGGAGTCATGTTTGCATAGACCGCAATACCTGCAGTCATAATACAAACAAAAGAACATAACTCTGATAATGTGCACTGTCCTTGAAGTTGATTGGTCCACACCCGAGACAGCTTTCCTTCGAGCCTAGTCTCATATGGGTTGGACCAGATGACGCCAAAAGGCGCACAACTCAAGGACAATGCACCATCAGAGTATGAGAGCTCGGGGCAAGCATCTACACTATGGGGACCTCATTTGCCAGTAAAAATATGATAATTGGTTCTTTACCCTTCTATCTGGCAACAAAACTGACACCTTTTTGCAAGGAGTCATGTTTGCATAGACCGCAATACCTGCAGTCATAATACAAACAAAAGAACATAACTCTGATAATGTGCACTGTCCTTGAAGTTGATTGGTCAACCAATGTGCACTGTCCTTGAAGTTGATTGGTCAACCAATCAACTTCAAGGACAGTGCACATTATCAGAGTTATGTTCTTTTGTTTGTATTATGACTGCAGGTATTGCGGTCTATGCAAACATGACTCCTTGCAAAAAGGTGTCAGTTTTGTTGCCAGATAGAAGGGTAAAGAACCAATTATCATATTTTTACTGGCAAATGAGGTCCCCATAGTGTAGATGCTTGCCCCGAGCTCTCATACTCTGATGGTGCATTGTCCTTGAGTTGTGCGCCTTTTGGCGTCATCTGGTCCAACCCATATGAGACTAGGCTCGAAGGAAAGCTGTCTCGGGTGTGGACCAATCAACTTCAAGGACAGTGCACATTATCAGAGTTATGTTCTTTTGTTTGTATTATGACTGCAGGTATTGCGGTCTATGCAAGCATGACTCCTTGCAAAAAGGTGTCAGTTTTGTTGCCAGATAGAAGGGTAAAGAACCAATTATCATATTTTTACTGGCAAATGAGGTCCCCATAGTGTAGATGCTTGCCCCGAGCTCTCATACTCTGATGGTGCATTGTCCTTGAGTTGTGCGCCTTTTGGCGTCATCTGGTCCAACCCATATGAGACTAGGCTCGAAGGAAAGCTGTCTCGGGTGTGGACCAATCAACTTCAAGGACAGTGCACATTATCAGAGTTATGTTCTTTTGTTTGTATTATGACTGCAGGTATTGCGGTCTATGCAAGCATGACTCCTTGCAAAAAGGTGTCAGTTTTGTTGCCAGATAGAAGGGTAAAGAACCAATTATCATATTTTTACTGGCAAATGAGGTCCCCATAGTGTAGATGCTTGCCCCGAGCTCTCATACTCTGATGGTGCATTGTCCTTGAGTTGTGCGCCTTTTGGCGTCATCTGGTCCAACCCATATGAGACTAGGCTCGAAGGAAAGCTGTCTCGGGTGTGGACCAATCAACTTCAAGGACAGTGCACATTATCAGAGTTATGTTCTTTTGTTTGTATTATGACTGCAGGTATTGCGGTCTATGCAAACATGACTCCTTGCAAAAAGGTGTCAGTTTTGTTGCCAGATAGAAGGGTAAAGAACCAATTATCATATTTTTACTGGCAAATGAGGTCCCCATAGTGTAGATGCTTGCCCCGAGCTCTCATACTCTGATGGTGCATTGTCCTTGAGTTGTGCGCCTTTTGGCGTCATCTGGTCCAACCCATATGAGACTAGGCTCGAAGGAAAGCTGTCTCGGGTGTGGACCAATCAACTTCAAGGACAGTGCACATTATCAGAGTTATGTTCTTTTGTTTGTATTATGACTGCAGGTATTGCGGTCTATGCAAACATGACTCCTTGCAAAAAGGTGTCAGTTTTGTTGCCAGATAGAAGGGTAAAGAACCAATTATCATATTTTTACTGGCAAATGAGGTCCCTATAGTGTACCCGTACCCAGCCAGGTACGGGTAGCCGGGTATCGGGTAGGGTACGGGTATCGGGTACCCGATTGCGACCTCTGCCAGAGGTGGGACAAAGTCATTGTTATGCAAGTCCAAGTCGAGTCTGAAGTCATCAAATTCATGACTCGAGTCTGACTCGAGTCCAAGTCACATGACTCGAGTCCACACCTCTGACCTCTGCTGTCTGTGCGACGACGGGGGGGACGCGTTACTCTTACCCCCCCTCCCCGCCCGCACCTCCGATTAGCGCGGTTGGCTGTGTACGGTGCGACAGACGTTCAACATACATTTTACGCACGTTACAAAGCTGAGCGCTGTCGCGAATACGGGGTGCGAATCTCGCGTTGTACCCTTTTTGGCCTTCGTCGTGTGTCGTCGCGCAGGATACGAGCACAACTTCAAGAAGGAGCAGACCAACAACCTGGACACGCCCTACGACTACGGCTCTCTTCTCCACTACAACCGGTACGGGCGGCGGCGGCGACCTCGCGCTCCGTTGCGTTCAGCGCCGCGGTGTCGAGATTTTAACTACCTCGCCTGGTATACAGGAGGTCGTTGGTTCGACCCTTACGCCTGTATGCTTGGAGTTTGCGTGCTCTCCCCGTGGTCGCGTGGATTTTTCTCCCCGGTCCTCCACATTTCGAATCGACATGCGTTTAGAGAATGTGGCTGCTGAAAAATGTAAGCCACTTTGAGCTGTCAATTGTGGCCACTTCGCTTCTGAAAAAGAGCTACATAGATCAGTGGGCTTTATCTGGAAAATTAAAGTTTATTTCAGTTTTTTAGCTCTTGCTCGCAGACCTCCAGTGCCGCCTGCCCCATCAGCTCCAGAATCATGCCGCATACGCGATTCGTTATTGTGGTATAATGTGTGTATTTTGCATTTTATTTGCCACACTTGTGCGTTGGGAATATATGGCAGTTTAATTTCATTGAAATGTCCGATTGGTCCAAGGGGGGTGGATTTGATTGCCTTGTTCTCTAACGAGAACGAACCTTCCCACAATGCAATGTTGCCAGCAACACTTTATAATGTACTTTTAATATAAATTAATGTATTTAGCAATGATTGTTTTAATAGGCGGTTTGTCCATTACACGAGCTACTATTAAATAACTATGCCTATGCCATTTTAAATACTGGCCATCAGAATTTTTTTTATTCAATTACTCATCAGGCTCTATGGTATTAAGCACAGTCTCAAACGCTTATCTATCTCTAGGCCTTGCTCTGTGCCATTTAAGAAGCGCTTTTGCCTGGATCATTGTTTATTACGTTAAGGTCCCAGTATTATTGACGATTGATGTTTAATGATTTACTTCCGGTGCAGCTTGTACCAAATGAAAGCACTCGGCACAATACTTGAAGCATTGCAGAGCTTTAGGCACAGTGGTTCAATGCACACTGCACTATAAACGTGGTTAACCCAAGTTAAATTCCTATCTGTGGCAAGCGATTCCGAATTCTCTGGTCCGGTGGATCCATGTCGAGAGTATTCTAGATTTAAATGTAGGGTTTGGCGGCAAGACATGTTAGAGCCTTTATAATAAAATGTTGCTTTCTCCTATAATTATCTTATTTCGGTGGGGTATCTATAAATGGATCCGCCTGTACACTGCAACTTTAAAATGCCCTTTTAAAACGACACAAACCTGTGCAAAGGGCACTCCTCGGCCTTTGTGCATTATTGAAAAACCATTAACAGTTGCTGAACTGCATTGTGGTTAAATTTCGATTTAAAGCTTTCGTGACTGCAGGGATTCATCTCTTTGGTTCTTTCGGTAAAGTCACGTGACTTTACTAGAAAGAACCAAGAAGATGCATTGTGGTTGCCGTGGAATAACTTTGAGAAAAGTGACACCGAGATGGACAACGGTAGAGCGGTGTATCGTCCTTGTTAGGACTCGTCGGCAAGGTGTAACCTCCGATTTAGCATGGGTCGGCTTTGTACGGCGAAAAAAGTTCTACGTACACACAATAGTCAGCAGTGTTAACATCTGCAAAGGTTTGGCTAACTGCAGCCAGTCGGTCCGTCACGATTGTTCAAATTAATTTGATGGTGACCTGAGACAGAGGACCACAATGCAGTTCTTCAGGAACTGTTGTTTTTTGCATAATGCACAAAAGCTTTCTAGTATTCGTTTCTGTGTTTGACACTTTAATGGTTTTGTGGTCTGCACTGGGGACCACAATGCAGTTCTTCAGGAACTGTTTTTTGCATAATGCACAAAAGCTCTCTAGTATTCGTTTCTGTGTTTGACACTTTAATGGTTTTGTGGTCTGCACTGGGGACCACAATGCAGTTCTTCAGGAACTGTTGTTTTTTGCATAATGCACAAAAGCTTTCTAGTATTCGTTTCTGTGTTTGACACTTTAATGGTTTTGTGGCCTGCACTGGGGTTTTTGTTAAAATCGTGAGCTTTCCGGCTGCAGATTTGCGTTCACGAAAAACAGAAGGCCAACGCTCGTACCGACCCCCGAGACGAACGTGACCCTGGGGCAGCGCGAGAAGCTCAGTGACCAGGACGTCTACAAAGTGAACCGGTTTTATGCGTGCAGCAAGCACATGGAAGGTACGCAGTTCTCTGTGCAGTCAAGATGTCCGGTTGCGTTCATGTAGAGTACGTGAATGGACTGTGACCACCAACTCGCTTGGAATGAAAGGCCCCATCTTATCCGATCTCAAGCTTGGCAGGATTTGAGCCCTGGATAGGTGCTTGTTATTGGGCAACTATTGTGCATTAAAAAAAGGTCGTAGACTCGTGCAACGAGTGTTCATTGTGTGTCAAGCAAACCAAAATGCTAAAGTATCGGAGCTGCAATGTTTTGTGCAGTCATTTGTGACCAGGCAGAGACCATTAACTCGCTGCACTAGAAGGAAGCCAGTTTAGAAAATCGGTGGCTGAAACCTGGATACTAAATATTTACTCGCCTTTCGAGCCTCTGAAATTTGTAGCAATGCCCTCTAATTCTCCTTTACTTTATTTACTCCACGAGGTGCCGTTCCAGAAAACAAGATGGACAAAAACGTGACGACATCGACGTCAAATTCCTCTTCATCTCACATTGAAATGACCATTGGCAATGACAATGTCGCTCTCACCACGCCACCTCGAAACGTTTCCGATTCTACCAGCTCTTCCGTGAGCGACGGCATTGGCTCTTCTGCACTTCCAATGAACGTGGCGACTTTTGAATACGCTTCGCAACCTTTGAGTCCTCTTGGAGGCACTCCATCGCAAGAACCCTTGTCGACCATGATTCCGTGTTTAACCACGATCCCATCTTCGGCCACAATCCCGCCGTCAATCACCGCTACGGAGACTACGCGTTCTCAAGATGTCACGAGTCTCCCCGTGCCTGCTGGACACGTAACTGGAACCGCCACGGCAAAAAATACGACTGCCATGACTACATCCAGTGCCGGTACAATATCTCCTTTGGATGCCTCTCCATCGACGAGAAGTGACCATGATACAGCCTCGCAAGGCTCTGTGCCTCAAGCTACAGAATTGCCCGGAGTGGATGACACGGCCAAATCGGACGCTACTATGCTGCCCGCCGATGGCTTTGGGTCATCCGACTATGCAGCAGGACGGACAACCTTAAAATCGCATCCGAACGCTCGCCCAGCAACAACGACGTCTGGTGATCAGCAGCCACTGACCACCAACGGTTGGACACAACCGACTACTCCGCCCGGCGATCTGGTGACCGGCAGGACCGGAAACTTCTCTCTGCGTCACTTGCTGCCGGGAAGCGCCCCGCTCGCCGTGCTGGAGGAGGCTCTCTGTGACTTCGAGACGAGCTCGCAGTGCCCGTGGGCGCAGTCCATCGCAGACGACTTCGACTGGACGCTGGCGTTGGGCAGCACTCCGTCGTGGAACACTGGGCCGCGTGCCGACCACACGCTCGGCCGGTGTGGAACCAGGACCGGTGAGGAGCGCCGACCCGGCCCTGTCGTTGCGACCCCTTTGTTTTTAACGCTTTCCCGTTCCGCGACATCTGTAGGTTGCAGGGTGGGTCCCGTTCACCGCTGAATCTCGGAACGCGCAAGCGGTTCAGCTTCTATTGTATTTGGAGGCAAAGCGTCGTTGTTTTTAAAGACAATGTACCAGCCACAGAACGGTAGCGACACGACCACGCTATGATAGCTGGTGCCAAACTGCCATACCCCCTCCCACATGGCCTTGTGGGAGCCTTGGTACCGATAAAGTTATTTTTATTTAAAACTGACGTACACGTACGTCATCGAAACGGGAAAGTGTTCAATGGGGCATACTGAATCTCGGCCGGCACACGCGACAAGGTCGACATTTAAACCGGCTGTTAATGAATGTTTAAATGCTAAATTTTGATTTGTAACGATACTATTTGCTCTTGTCCATAGGGCATTCTGTGCTCGCTCTCACGCTTTTGTCTATTTTGGGAAAGGTTATGATGCCCGTTGCTTAATTTGCCATCTATTTTAAATGTACCAATATTTTGAGGCTACGGGGCTGAGTCAATGGTTGGTGATGGTGCCAGGGCTTTTAACTTCTCGGCTGAATTTTTTTCCAGGTCTCCAGGTAGACTGGAAGTTGGCACTAGACTAGTAACTTTCCAGACCGATTATTATCAAGCCGCATTTGTTCAAGCAAATAAACTCTGGGACCAGTTTTGGCCTTCTCTCTCTGGGTCTTGTAATCGGAGTGAAGCTTGTTAAACATACTGCTGGGGGGTATCAGACGTTATTGTCTAGAGACACAACTGTGGGGAGCGGTAACGCAACGGTTAGCGTGCTACGCTTCGAACCCGGCGACCCGCGTTTGGTTCCCGCTTGCAGCCAACACCAGGTGACGATTATCTGACTCGATCCCGGGCCTTCCCAAGGTCGACTCGGGCTCAAATGAGTAACCTGGTGCAGTGTGTCAATATCGCCACTGGGGAGACCAGGCAGCCGGACTTGGTCCTGGCTACCCACCCTCGTGTCGTGCCGGCCTTCAATAGGTGCTCGCTAACAGCACTTGCGCCCCCCCCCCCCACAGTCTTCTATAGCTATACGGGGGGGATCTTTGTCTTTTTTATGTTTTTACCCAAAATGTTCCAAGGCCAAGCAGTAACGAGGTTCGTATAAAATACTTAGGACGACATCGATGCGGTGTTTGCACCTTGAGAATCTATTCAAAGGCTTCTTCGTCTGTTGTTTGTGGCGAGTGTCGTCAGGTCATTACTTGTACACGGAGGCCTCTTATCCTCGGGAAGACGGTCACACGGCTGTGCTGACCAGCCCTCTCTTCCGAGGGCCCAAGTGCATGACCTTCTGGTACCACATGAGGGGAGCGAGCATGGGTAAGTGAAATGGCAAAGGCACAAGTACAACCACAAACGCATGACAATATTAGAATAGTTTTTAAACCCTTTTTCGCCATAAAATAATAATAATGCAATTTGTAACGCGTGCAAATTTGCGAACGTAACGGCCGCAACTCGGAGGCGCGGAGCCAAGCTCGGAGTCGCTCGAAAGCACGTGGTTATAGAGGTGAGTTTTTAAGTGTCTCTTGAAGGAGGCGATTGAGGTGATGCTGCGAATGTGCAGAGGGATATCGTTCCAGACTGTTGGGGCTGCCACCGAGAAGCGGCACATAGACATGGCCATCCTGGATCAGGAGTTAAGATGTTACACCAAACGGAAACCTTTTGCAAAGAAGCATGACGGTTTATTGCTTGCATTTGCGACTTTTTCTGAATCAAATATGTACGTTTTATTCCAGAAATGTTTAAATTATGTTGCGTGCGTTGCGCTCTAGGACACTTTTGTTTCAATTCACCGTTCTCGTAGCGCTTGGTGCTCTATCTTGTGGTGTTTATAGACTAGCCCACGTAAGATGACGTTATCGAAACTTTGAGGGAGGAGTGGGAGGGGAATACTGGGAAGGCCGTCTTCCCGACGATGGTGTAATGATGCCGTGATCTCTCCAACCACTTGAGTGGAAACTAATTGATGGATTCGGATTCTGAATCATGATTCATCGGCTCCCATTTTTGAGAAGGGGGCTGAATCCTTCCCTCAATAGGCCATATCTGCGAACATATTCTTGATTAACCAATTTAATGGCACAATGTGGGAATCTAGGAAAAATGCTTCGACCAAGACCCAAACAACGCTCACCCTCCTAATTTTGACATTCCTTCTCCAAAGACGCAGCTGTAAAACAATTTACCACATGTGCACATTGGCCTAGTGATGTTCTCATCTCCTTTCATGAATGGAAAATAAAATAAAAGCCTACAGGAGTACAACTGGCCAAGCAACCCAAACTATTGAACATGTAGTCCGTGCTCCTTGAATAAATGAGGAACGGAATAACTACAACTCTGTTTAACACGTAGGTTTTCACAACCAATATAAACACACCTGGTGTGCTGTACTAGTAACGAATTGGCATGTTTTGTTCAAGTGACAAACCTTACTAATTTGCTAATCGGGTGGTGCCGGGTTTAACGACACATTTATGCGATCTAAACTCCCAAAAAACCTGTTATACACCAACTCTCTCTCCTGAAGCCCTCTTGTCGTGGCTAGCAGACCTCGACGGTTGGCATTTATATGTCTGCTATACAGTGCACAAGAAATGTAATCCACCGCTTGTGTTTGTTCCCAGGAACGCTGAGTGTGCGTCTTGAGTGCACCGATGGCGCCGATAGGCCAGTCCTGTGGTCCGCCAGCGGTGACCGCGGCAATGCATGGCTCTACGCAGAGTTGGGCATTTTTGTTCCGCCACGACAGCTGTTCAAGGTAAGCAGCCATTTGTCCATCATAGGTGCTGCTCGAAAAACGGCACTTGCCCCAAAAGTGTGGTTTAAGGCTATACAGAGTGGGGGGGGGGGGGGTTGGTTGGGAGGACCTTTGTCTTTGTGTGTGTTCTTAAGGAGCGTTTGTTGTTTCAGCTGCACCTTGAAGGTATCCTCGGTAATGGTTTCCAAGGAGACGCGGCAGTAGACGATGTGCTGGTGTCGTGCGGGAGCTGCGGCAAGGCGCGGCAGTGGCAGCAGCGGCCGGGTTGTGACCGCGATTCGAGGCCGTAGCGGCCGCCAGGCGAGCGGCCACGGGGAAGGAATTTCCGCAGCCAAATTGCGCGAAACCCGCTCCTGAATGTTGCCGAATGAGAGCGCTTTTCCAGTGCAAGGTTTTTAATGAAACGTGCGGCCTCGCCGTGTGATCTCTCATTGTGGTGCGCTGCGACTGATGCCCACCGCCCAAGAATAATAATCCGGATGAGATGGTGGAAAGTTAACGTGATTAAATCCCCATATAAAGCGATGTTTTGTTTTTTTTACGTCCAGGTTGGATTATTTATAATGGAAAGTAAATGCACGCGTGTACTTTAATTGTCGTCTTCCAAAAGAAAGTATGTTTAAATGTCTTGCAGAAATCAAATAAAATTATGATGTGTGGATAAGCTTACGTGTGAATTTAATTCACTTTGCTGGTAACACTGGTCAACACACTTTTTCTGGCATATAATGTATTCCAACGCTTTTAAGGTAATTTTGGGATGCTGATTCCAAATCTGGCATCAGTTTTTGAGATGTAAAATATTGCATTTTCAATCAAAACTGCAGAAGAAAAATATTAAATAAATGTGGATATCTACATAAAATTATATTATAAACACACTATCCAAAAAATACAGCACAATATTTTAACACTAAAGCAGTCACTGACTCGCAACAACTTGCAATCATAAGTGACAGTTAATTTTGGGTAAAATCAATGAAAATGGGGTATGCCGATAGCATAAAATGAGATGTGATAGAGCAAATCAGAGATCAGATTAGGAATCGGCACCCTGAAATTAGTCTAAAACAGCTGCAAAAGTCCGGGCCAGAAAAAAACTTTTTTTTGTTGACCAGTGGTATTCTAAAACACGAAATGAAGACAATTTTAACTTTAATCTTCCTCGGCATACAGTGTCTAACTGCACCTGCTCAAGTTTCTAATTGTATAAAGGTCTGCTGCCCTGCCCACTGCATTGTCTTTGGGCGCCCTCCAGTCTCTTGTCGCACAATGAGGCCCGCCTCGCTTCCAGAAGGTTGCGGCGCTGTCACGACGTGTCGTGTTGTCCGAGTAGTAAGTCCAGAGCCAAATCTCTCCCAATGTTCAACTCATCCGATGAGGCGCGAGGGGCCTCCATCTATATTCGTGCCACGCGCAATAGCGGTGCTGCCCCGTGGTGAAATGGTGACCACGGCTGGACTTGCAACTCAGATCGCCGGTTTGATTATTACATTTTCCAGCGCAGCGGTTGGACGTTTCTCCGGTAAATTCACCCAGAATAGTAAGTTGGTACGAAAGGTTAAAAGTCGAAAAGCATTTCCATCCCCCATAAATCGCATCTTCGGGGGACCCCCTTGTTGACATCTCTGGTTGACATTGGGAATATTTTTTGAAGCACAGCCCCCCCGCCCCCCCCCCACTCCCGGTTGAATTTAAGCCGAGACGGCGTGGTATTGCTGTACGTTGGATTTATTTCAATCAAGCAAGTCTATTTCTAAAGCACTTTCGTGCAAAATATGCCAAAGTGATGTACAGATATGAAAAATAACTACTAGATTGTGAAAAAAACAAATGCCACACAACAAAATTGCATTATAAATTGCTATCTAAGGCATATAAAAATAACAAAACAAATCTTAAGTAAAAGCAAGTTTAAAAAGGTGAGGTTTTTATATTAAATTAAAAATTGCTCAATAATTGCGTAGCCAAGACAAGTGTGCACCCAGTGCCGGATTATCCTCGTAGCAAAAGTAGCTACACATGCTACGGGCCCCGCGCTAAACGCTTTCAAGCTACCAATTCCGGTTCCCTGATTCTGCACTTGCTCTTACTATAGTACTATACCGCCTTCAACTTTTATGAACGACTGGGTGTTTAAGGCTAGCGATTTGTCGTATTATCTGGCTGTATAGCAAATGAAAAAATGCTTTTACTTTACTGTGCAAGCAAAACATTTGTGTTTTTAATATTTACACTGTCCTTTTAATTTAGGGGATCTTTAACAAATGCTACAGACTCCGCACGAGCTTCATCCGGCACCGCGCACACAGCCACGTCGCTCGAGAGTGCCGATTTGTTTTGCTCTGTCCGGCTCGCAGTTCCCCCACGTGGATGTGTGGGGGTGATGGTGGTGTGGTGGTGATGGGGGGTAGCGGTGTGGGGGTGGTGGGGGTGGGGTGGGGGTGGGGTGGGGGTGGTGTGGGGGTGATGGTGGCGGTGTGGTGGTGTGGGGGGTGGTGGCGGTGTGGTGGGGGGTGATGGGGGTGGATTAGGGATCGTATGCCAGCACGTAATGATTGGCTGTGTATGTGGTGACGCGCGCTGACGGTGGAGGATCAGGGGTCAGCGCGGGGTCGTGGGTTACGGGGTGCTGATTGGCTGTGTGCCGGTGACGCGCTGAGAGGGAGTGATCAGGTGACAGCGCGGTGTGATTGGTGGAGTAGTGTTAACACGCGCTGGGGGAAAACGGATCGTAGAGAGAGCGCGTCGTGATTGGTTAACTAAGGAGCGATGCTCACGTAGACGTCCGCATCAGCTCCGTCTCCCGTGAGCAGGGGCTATAAAAGGGGATGCACACAGGCGTAAGGGCAGTATGTAACCAGCGAAGAATGAAGACGGGGATCGAAGAGATAGGGCCCTGCGGTACCTAGTCCTGCTGTCCTAACGGGACCGGGACTCTGTGTAACCCAGAGGCGAGTGTATTGTGTGTAGCCAGAGGCATAGAGTCTACACGAGTTAAGTGGAGTGTATAGTACAAAGAATAGAGACCACACGTTGTATTGTGACACGTCAAGATTTAATAAAAGTGTGTTACCCGGGGCAGTGAGTGAGTGGTGAGTGAGTGGTGAGCGAGTGAGTGGTGAGCGAGTGAGTGGTGAGTGAGTGAGTGGTGAGGCCTACGTGGAGGCCTACGTCGGGGCCCACGGGGGCCTACATAGAGGCCTAAGTCGGGGCCTACGTCGAGGCCTACTTCAAGGCCTACGTCGGGGCCCACGTGGAGGGCGCTCGTCAATGGAAGCAGAACAATGAAGCTGATGAGCCAAACATCTCGTCTCCACGTCCACATCACGCAACTATTCAGCCTCGGCGCCTCCAGGCCGCACGGCCGCTGCTGCTCTGCTGTAGTACACACAGCTGCGGCTGCTTCGTGTATGACTCCTGCGACTGCAGCTGCTACAGCAGCTACAACAACAGCAGCTACAACAACAACAGCAGCTGCAGCAACAACAGCAGCTGCAGCAACAGCAGCTGCAGCAGCAGCAGCTGCAGCAGCAACAGCAGCAGCTGCAACAACAACAACAGCAGCAGCTGCAATAGCAGCAGCAGCAGCTGCAGCAACAACAGCAGCTGCAGCAACAACAGCAGCAGCTGCAGCAACAACAGCAGCAGCTGCAACAACAACAGCAGCTGCAACAACAACAGCAGCTGCAACAACAACAGCAGCTGAAGCAACAGCAGCTGCAGCAACAACAGCAGCTGCAACAACAACAGCAGCAAGATGGCGGCGGCGTGTGCGGCCGCGTGTGCGTTGTGCTGCATGGGTGTGGGCTGTGCGTGAGAGTGGGTGAGGGTGAGCTGCGTGTGAGTGAGCTGTGTGTGTGTTTAAATTTAGTGTTTTAAAGATGTCAATTCACCTGCTGTGTATCTTACTACTGTCCCTCCCGGCCATATCTAGTGCCACACCCAACTCTACAAACGGCTACCCGCGTTACTTCACGTATTGCTAAATTTGCAACTACACCTGCTAATGAAACAACTTATAGACACTTCTACACTCCATCATTATATCCTTTTAAACCCTATCTTTGTCCCATTACTTCACCAGCACTCCTTCCAAACTTCATTCTGCTCTTAAAAATAACACCATCTGCGAGCTGCTGCTATTCGTCCAAGGTTCGTCGCTCTTCATCCTTTCACAGAAAATACCTGTGCAAACTATTAATTCTACTTTTCTTATTTCTGGGTGGTATTGAGCTTCATCCTGGACCAAATGTAAAGAACTCATATAATTCAGTAGATTTTTCTGGCAGAAAAGGTGTTGGTGTTCTACATGTCAACATCAGAGGGCTTTTGATTAAATTAAGTCAACTAAAACTAGAAGTAGCAAATGTTGACCCGGACATATTTTGCCTAACAGAAACATTTCTCACTCCTGCCGTCAATGACTTGCAGATTACGATTGACAACTACAATCTTTTTCGGCTTGACCGAGGATCTAAAGGAGGTGGAATTGCCATCTATGTTCGTAATACTATTGCATGTTCACCAGCTCACTCCTTGTTTAAAAAATGTTGCTTTGAAGGTCTGGCTCTCAGAATAACTCTCCCTAATAATCAACACATATTGGTAGTGTGCTGCTATAGACCGCCTAGTGGGAAGGATGTTGAAGCTGCATCTGCACTGAGAGAGCTTCTTGGGGGCCTCCCTAAAGGTGAAATAGTTTTAGTGGGTGATCTAAATTGGAATTGGCTAAACCCGCCGGCCGTGGCCACAAATTTTGCAGATGAATTTAACCTGTTTCAATTAATAAATGTCCCCACAAGACCCAACCTAAAAAATCCGGGACAGTCATCTCTGCTTGACGTCCTATTGACAAATGCCCCTCACAATTTCGCACTGACTGGTGTTCTAGGTAATAACCTTAGTGGTCACTCCTTCATTTTTGGGGTGAGATCATCAGCCAGACCCAAAGCCCCCCCTAAATTGGTTGAGAAGCACTCCATGAGACACTTCAGCACTCAGGCATTTACTAATGATGTGCTTCACTCGGATATTGACAAGGTCTGTGATATTCAAAACCTGACTACGGCTTGGGAGATCTTCAGGTACACGTTTCTCCAAATTCTTAATAAACATGCTCCGTTGGTTAAATTTAAAACTAAAGGCAACCGTCCACCATGGTTTGACCCTTTGATTACAAAGCTCATGAAAACTAGGGACAAGGCTTGGGCATGTGCTCAGAAAAGTAATTTGGTCAATGACTGGCTAGAATACAGGATTTTAAGGAATAGATGCGTCAAAAAAATACGACATGCAAAAAATAACTACTTCTCTTCCACTCTCCTTGAATCTCATGGAAATGCCAGGATTTTCTGGAAAACAATCAAATGTATCGAAAAGGCATCCAAAACAGATCATCTGCCCGTTCAGCTTAACCGAAATGGGGAATATTTTTCAGATCCCCAAAAAATAGTTGACAATTTTAACCTTCATTTTTCTGAAGCTGGTACCCTATTTGATAATGTATTGGGAGTCACCCCTGCTCATGCAAATTCCTACACCCCTATCCAAACATTAAGCGAATTTAGTTTTCAGCCAATCCACGAAAGTAATGTTCTGAAACAACTGTCCTACCTCAAAGGGTCCTCCTCTACCGGAGCAGATAGTATTCCCGTCTTTGCTCTACTAAGTGTTGGTCACCTAATATACAAACCTATAGCCCATTTTCACCTGTCCATCAAAGAAGCATCAGTTCCTCTAGAATGGAAACATTCCTATGTTTGTCCACTTCACAAAGGGGGCCCTAAAGATGATCCAAATAACTACCGACCTATCTCAATTTTGTCCCCGTTGATGAAAATTTTTGAAAAATTATTGACCTACCAAATTAGCAGTTTCCTGTCCGCCAACAATCTATTACATCTAAAACAATCTGGGTTTCGAAAAAAATACAGCACCACATCTGCTGCATTAGACTCTCTGAATCACATTTACAGTAGCCTTGATAATAAGCAGTACTGCGCCTGTCTTTTTCTTGACTTGTCCAAAGCTTTTGATACAGTAGACCACAACATCCTGCTTAGTAAAATAAGTTGCCTCGGTTTTTCCGAAAACACAGTAAAATGGTTAAAAAATTACCTCTTTTCTCGCACCCAAACTGTATTCACAGAGGGTTGGAGGTCAAACAGTGTTAAGATAACAAAAGGGGTTCCACAGGGTTCCATTCTCGGCCCCCTCTTGTTCTCTTTTTATGTAAATGACTTGGGCACTGAACTGGATTATTCCAGGGTAAATCTTTTTGCAGATGACACGGTACTAATTACTGCTGGCCGCTCTCCGGATGACGTGATTGCTAAGCTCCAGAGTGATTTCAACAAACTACAACATCAGCTAGTTGCTCTTAAACTAGTCCTAAATCCTGCCAAAACCAAGGTGCTATGCTTCTCACCAGGACTAAAGCGGGAAGTTATTTTCCCCCAATTACATTCCTTAAATAATGATCAAATAGAGCAAGTCAAGATCTATAAGTATCTTGGGGTCATCCTGGATTCAAAACTGAATTTTGAAGATCACATTGATTATATTGGGAAAAAGACAAAAATTAAAATGGGTTTTCTATATCGACACAAGCACTGCTTCCCTCCTATGTTCCGTTTGGAATTGATTAAAGCTACCATACTGCCTCTACTTGATTACTGTGACATTGTGTATAAATCAGCCCCAAGTACTGTACTGAAGAAGCTTGACTCAATGTATCACTCGGCCTTAAGATTTGCATTGAACTGCCCATATAGGACTCACCACTGTGATCTCTACATTGGGTCAAACTTAACATCTCTGAATGTTCGACGGCTTGTGCACCAGATCTTATTTATTCATGATGTACTTGCAAAAAAATCTGCAGATTACCTGCTCAATCTCGTCTCTGTTTCAAAGAACAAATTTGACCTAAGGTCTACACTCATTTACCAGCTTAATATTCCCTATTGCCGTACATATACTGGAGGAAGGGCCTTTGCTATTGATGCCCCCAGGGTCTGGAATGCTGTTGCAAATAAATTGAAACTTGAGTCACTACCTATGAGATCTTCACTCAAAACTGCTCTAGAGGAGTTGTACACCCCTAGCTGCCAGTGCTATTCAGTGACCTAAAATTAAATGTTTCGCTCCGGATGATCGCTACAAAGTATGACCTGTGTTTTGATTTAGTGTGCTGATCTTAAAGGTGCATTGAAAAATGACAATACTCCGATTGATGCTCCTGCTGTTGTGGAGTGACTCATGCAGCCAGCTATGGCTGCAGGGTTTTGGTAGTAGATGTTGTTTATGCCATTTATTGTGAAAATTCCGTCACAGTTCCTATGGTTGCTTTTTCATTGCTTTCATGGCTTTATTTTGGTGATTTCGAAAAGTGTATTGGTTTAGCCATGTTTGTTTGTTGTAGTACAGAGTTAGACTGATGGCCTTAATCTAAGCTGTCTTGTGGTTGTTGTTGTTTGACTTGCATCCCACTGAGATTTTTGCACACAGCGTTGGTGTACGGTGTTTTTTCTGCAATATTTTTGCTGTCTTTTCTTGAATTTTCTGTTTGCACTTAGTCACATATTCACTTTAAGATGTTTTTTGTTCATGTTTTTGTTTTTTGTTTGTTGCGGTTGCACCCGATTCAAGAGCTGAATGGCTCACAGGGCTATACCTAATAATTGAACTTGAACGTGCCCTCGTCAACACGACCACGCAGTGACGGCATCGGACGCAAGGGGGAGCTCGTGTCGCGGACATTGCTTCTCTCTCTCGCTCGCTCGCTCACACGGGGAGGGAGAGAGACACGGGGAGGGAGTTGCTTTGCCTGGGACGAGCACTTAAGGGGGAGAAGGAACCCCGGATACCCCACACACACACACACACAGCGATAACGGACGGTGTCTCATCGTCATCGGCAGCATCGGCGCTCCTGGACGATGCACGTGAGTCGGACGAGGACGACGACCTGTGTTTGTTTGTCTGTCTGTCGTCATCCAATGACGAGCGAGCGTTGTGTGTCGGCTTTGCTCGCCGTCGGCTTCCGCTAATGCGCTCGATCGCCCTTCTGCGTCAATGAGATCGTAACGCAGTCGTTCTCGTGTGTGTGTGTCGGTGTGTAAACCTCGTGTGCGGGGAGCGGTGGGATAGCGGTTAGCGCTACGAACCCGGCGAACGGGTGTTCGATTCCCGCTCACGGCCAAACACACCCAGTGACGATTGTCTGAACCGGTCCCGGGCCCTCCCCTAGGTCGACTCGGCCTCAAATGAGTGCGGCGTGTAAACATTGCCACTGGGGAGACAAAGGCGGTCGGGCGTGGTGCTCGCTATAACAGCACTTGCCCCTCCAGTCTGTCGAGGCTACACGGGGGACCTTTGTCTTTGTGCGCGTGAGCGTTGTCGCACTGCGCTACGATGCCGATCAATGGACCTCGGTTCGAATCCCGCCTCCGGCTATAACCCCTCGGTGATTGATTATCGAACTGATTGTCATGCGGCACCGACCAGCGAGGTGAAGTATGGCCCAACGGGGCCCAACGGGGCCCACGACCGAGGCGACGTGCAGACGGAGCCTCGTCCTCCAGCAGTGGATTGGCACGGGGCTGAGAGCTACCATCGTTGTGGACCCTATATGAGAAAGGGGTTATATAGTGTGTGGTGTGTCTGTGTGTGTGGTGTGGTGTGTGTGGCGTGTGTGTGGTGGTGTGTGTGGCGTGGTGTGTGGCGTGGTGTATGTGGTTGTGTGTGTGTGGCGTGTGTGTGGTGTGTGTGTGTGTGGTGTGTGTGGCGTGGTGTGTGTGTGGCGTGGTGTGTGTGTGGCGTGGTGTGTGTGTGGCGTGTGTGTGGTGTGTGGTGGGGTGTGTGGCGTGTGTGGTGTGGTGTGATGTGGTGTGTGTGTGGTGTGATGTGGTGTGTGTGTGGTGTGGCGTGGTGTGTGTGGGTGGGTGGCGTGGTGTGGGTGGGTGGCGTGGTGTGTGGTGTGTGTGGCGTGTGATGTGTGTGGCGTGGTGTGTGTGGTGTGTGGGTGGGTGGGTGGCGTGGTGTGTGTGTGGTGTGTGTGATGTGTGTGGCGTGATGTGTGTGTGGTGGTGTGTGACGTGTGTGGTTTGGTGTGATGTGTGTGTGGTGTGTGTGACGTGGTGTGTGTGGTGTGGTGTGGCGTGGTGTGAGTGGCGTGTGGTGTGTGTGAGTGTGGTGGTGTGTGTGTGGTGTGGCGTGGTGTGTGTGGCGTGTGGGTGTGTGTGGCGTGTGTGGTGTGGTGTGGCGTGGGGTGGGTGGGTGGCGTGGTGTGTGGTGTGTGTGGCGTGGTGTGTGTGTGGCGTGTGTGGTGTGATGTGTGTGGTGTGATGTGTGTGGTGGTGTGGTGTGTGTGGCGTGGTGGTGTGTGTGGTGTGTGTGTGGTGTGTGTGTGTGGCGTGGTGTGTGTGATGTGTGTGTGGTGTGTGTGGCGTGTGGGTGTGGTGTGGCGTGGTGTGTGTGATGTGTGTGTGGTGTGTGTGTGGTGTGGTGTGGTGGTGTGTGTGGTGTGTGTGGTGTGTGTGTGGTGTGTGTGGCGTGTGTGGCTTGGTGGTGTGTGTGGTGTGTGTGGCGTGGTGTGTGTGTGGTGTGTGTGTGGCGTGGGGTGTGTGGCGTGTGGGTGTGGTGTGGTGTGTGTGGCGTGTGTGGTGTGGCGTGGTGTGTGTGGGTGGGTGGCGTGGTGTGTGGTGTGTGTGGCGTGATGTGGTGTGTGGCGTGTGATGTGTGTGGCGTGGTGTGTGTGGTGTGGGATGTGTGGTGGTGTGTGTGTGGTGTGTGTGTGGTGTGGCGTGGTGTTTGTGTGGCTGGTGTGTGGGTAGTGTGGCGTGGTGTGATGTGTGTGGCGTGGTGTGTGACGTGGTGTGTGTGGTTGTGTGTGTGTGGCGTGTGTGTGGTGTGTGTGTGGGTGGTGTGTGACGTGGTGTGTGTGGCGTGGTGTGTGGCGTGGTGTGTGTGGTTGTGTGTGTGTGGCGTGGTGTGTGGCGTGATGTATGTGGTTGTGTGTGTGTGGCGTGTGTGTGGTGTGTGTGTGTGTGGTATGTGTGTGGTGTGGTGTGGTGTGTGTGACGTGGTGTGTGTGGTTGTGTATGTGTGGCGTGGTGTGTGGCGTGGTGTGTGTGGTTGTGTGTGTGTGGCGTGGTGTGTGGCGTGGTGTATGTGGTTGTGTGTGTGTGGCGTGTGTGTGGTGTGTGTGTGTGTGTGATGTGTGTGGTGGTGTGGGTGTGGTGTGTGTGGCGTGGTGGTGTGTGTGGTGTGTGTGTGGCGTCGTGTGTATGGGGTGGGTGGTGTGTGTGGCGTGGTGGTGTGGTGTATGTGTGGCGTGGTGTGTGTGTGGTGTGGTATGATGTGTGTGGTGTGTGTGGCGTGGTGGTGTGTGTGTGGTGTGTATGTGGTGTGTGTGGTGTGTGTGGTGTGTGTGGCTTGGTGTGTGTGGTGTGTGTGGTGTGTGTGGCGTGTGGTGGGGTGTATGTGGTGTGTGTGGCGTGGTGTAGGTGGTGTGTATGTGGGGTGTGTGGTGTGTGTGACGCACTTAACTCCCAAATCCCAACAACCCGTGTGGGCTCAACGTGTGATCTCTCTCTGTGTGTGCCTGGTGTCAGGCACTGCGTCAGGAACCAGGCGAGGCATTCGATTGCCGCTCACGGCTTACATCAGTGGCGAATATGTGAATCGGTCCCATGGGTCTCCCCTTGCTCGACTCGGCCATAAATAAGTATTATTTATTACTGTACAAATGGTGCTATTATGAACTGAAGTTAATATCCTGGCCACGGATAAGCCTCGATGATAGGTGGCGTTTAACCTGATTCCCCCAAACGCACTCAGAGTGGATCTCCGTACATAATACACATTAGTCGCTTATTAATTATTCTCATATCGAACAGACTCAAGACTTTTTATTTCAGCCGGTCAAGGCCCTATTGAGCGAGGCAGCTCTCTTCCGAGGACGATCACATACCTGTCAACCCCTTATCAGTGCCCCAACTTATTACAGACCCATTCAGAGACCTAATTGGTCACCCCGTGGCCTTATACATCTCAACGTTCATCCTACAACGTCCCATCACAAGGGAGAAACACAAAAACTACATTTTGCTCGTATTGAAACGGCTGTACGCCGTATGGACCTGAAAGCTCAATTTACCTGCACATGAATACGGGGTAAACCGTGTGGGTTGACAGGTATCCGATCGCAGCCCGAGGCCAAGTTGGTAGTTACAGGACACTGCACGGAGAGGATGTGCAAAAGCGAACGCCGTTCACACAAAGCGCTCGCAGAAACTTACCGCAAACAGGATAACGAATAAGAGTGCTCGAATGTATCATCAAAAACAGTATGCAAAACACACATTTTTCCCCGCTAAGATATAACAAATAAATGACTACAACAATTTAAAAACCGTACAAATTTCGCCACGGGAAATACGGGACACCCTTTATATGGCCGTGTGCGTGTAAGCAAACTCGCCGCGTATAATGGAACTTACGCACACCTGGGCTCGTGTCGGTTCATTAAAAAAAAAAATTGGTGAGTTCGTTTGACACGGCGGTTTTTGCGCGCGGGTCTCTGTTTTGTTCACGCAGGACAACAGCGTGGCCCGCTGTGCCGTGCTGTTCTCGGCGCTCGCCGCACTCCTCTCGGCCGTTCTCAGCGCTCCGACTGGCCCCGCACGAAAGGGCGTCAATGACAGACCCATCATCGGCAAGTGCTTACACTACCCATCATCGTCTTCGTCGTCGTAATCGTCGTCTATTAGTCACGCCGCTTGAATGCCACGTCACTTTCATTTTTAGAAAACATATTAATCTGTAAATGCCGTTTATAGTCACCATTTTACCCAATTTATGGTTTAGCCGAGACAAAAAAAAACAAGAGCTTTACAGATTTGCGTATTTAACATAACTACTCCTACTGCATTATCATATACACATAGATGACTGAATGCATGTATGTATGTTGAACTCTGCACGCGCCGTTGGGATGTCACCGCCACTTGGTGGCGAATGACGTTTGTTGTTGCTCAACTTCTTTTGGACCATACGTAGCCAACTGCTCATCGGAGGTGCGGGAGTGAGTGCGTGAGTGCGTGAGTGCTCGTAGCGCAGTGCGCTTGAGTGTGCACACCGTTACGTCTACGTGTGATTCAAAGTCGGTGAAGTCCGTCTGTTTCTGCCGTGCAGGTATTCTCTCCCAAGCTGTGTTCCCGGCTAGCACGCAGTTTGGAGAGTCCTACATCGCGGCTTCATACGTCAAGTACATAGAGTCTGCCGGCGCCCGGGTTGTGCCCATTCGGTGAGGATCTCGTTGTCGTCACCATCATCATCAGCCATGCTCTATCCATTGTTGGATGAAGAGGCCTCCACTAGAGAGGGCTCTAGACAGCCCCTCTCGAGAAGAGGGAATTTTGGCCTACACTTGCAGTGCTGGACAGACGTCTTGCAAGAGATGCTTTTGTCTAACAACTCATAAGTCCATGTCTCAGGTCTGATAGCCAGATCAGTGCCTCCGCTGAATTTAACCGAGGTACACAACGTTTCGCAATGTCCCAGTCAAGTCAAGTTTATTTCTTGTAACCAGGTGAAAACTCGAGGACAGGATGAGTCTCATTAGCAAAAGTGACCGGAGTCACCCTCTCTGGTTCATGGTCTGGTCAGGTTCTTAAACAGTCGATGGCCGTTTGCCGTTTCCTTTCACATGACCTGTAAATGTTTGTGTTTTTCCCCCATCCAGGAACGACTTGTCTGATGCAGAGCTGAAAACACTGTTCAGTTACCTCAACGGGTAATCATTACACTTGAGTTTTAAAGCAACTAAATTCCGGATCACGTGTGTTTCAGATTCTATCCGTAAGGTTTCTGTGGTGTTGGCAAATACTAGGCCTGCCACAATTCATACAATGATTAGATGAAGCGTCACGATTAAAATCAAGAAGTGATTAGTTTCATTTCGTTTTTACGATGCCAATTGTATTGTTTATTATGCGTTTCTCTCTCTGTCTCTGTGCAGTTTAGTTTGCTCGATTAACACACATAACACGATCGTATAATGAGTACAAAAGTAAACAATCCGATCTTAAACGCACGATTCACTGCATATGTCGTGAGCGTAACATTCTGTTATTTTAGTAATCTATGCAGAAATGGACTCATTTGTTACAACGGGACAGTGTGTGTGTGGATTATAAGCAGCGTTTGGGAGTGCCGTGTCTGTGGTGTCAACCAACACATCTCAGAGTCAAATAACTTCGAGCAGTATATATATAATAAATAATTTACCAATGTGTGATTTGCATTTCAAAGGGTGCTTTTCCCTGGCGGTGCTGTTGACCTGAAAACGTCTGGTTACGCAAAAGCTGCCAGGCTTTTGTTTGATCTTGCACTCAAGGTGGGTCACGTGGCGCGCTTGTGTCTTTGTGTATCACTGGGGGGAGCGGCAGTGTAGCGGTTAACGCACCGAGCTACGAATCTAGCAACCCAAGAGTTCGATTCCGGCTCATGGCCACCAACAACAGTGACGTCTGAACCGGTCGGGGCCTTCTCCCCTAGATCAACTCGGCGTCAAATGAGTATCTGGTGCGGTGTGTAAACATCTCCACTGGGGAGACAAAGGCTGTTGGGAGTGGTGTTGGCCATCCACTCCTTCGTGTGTTGTACCGACCTTCAAGTTCAAGTTCATTTATTAGGTATAGCCCTGTGAGCCATTCGGCTCTTGAATCGGGTGCAACCAAAACAAACAAAAAACAAAAACACGAACAAAAACATCTTAAAGTGAATATGTGACTGAGTGCAAACAGAAAATCCAAGAAAAGACAGCAAAATCATAGGTGCTCGCAAAAAGTACTTGCCCCAATGTATTTTAAGGCTATAAGGGGGATCTTTGTCTTGTGTGCAGGTATACGAGTAAAAAATTCCCACGAAACAAACAGCAATCTCGCACGAACCGTGTGCTTTGTTTAACATACAAAACACGTGATTTGGGCATCAGGGTTGACGCAGTGGAAACAATTGGCGCCTGCACAGCAAGAAGGACCCGGGTTCGATTCCTGACTCGGGCACCCTTCTGTGTGGAGTTTGTATATTCTCCCCCCTTATCTGAATGAATTTTCCTCTGGGTTCTCTGATTTCCTCCCATAGGTAGAAGGAAGGGTAAAAACATACACTGTCAGTGGTATTGGGTAAACATCACAATGCAGGACCTTCCTTAAAATAAGAGTCTTGAGCCTAAGTGTGGCTGTCCTGGGTAAATAATGTTTATTATTGTTATTTACATACATTGTTGCAACATGTTGACTTGATGTTGCCCTCGGATTAAGATTTTTTTTTTTCACGCCAGCGATGGCAGACATTTCGTCATCGTCGTAATCAGCATCTCCTGCCTTTTACTGTTACCTGAGAAGCAAATTAACACACCTTTTTGAGATTGAGTAAAAAAATGTGTTTCCTGCATCTGCGCGTGGTTTGAACAAAGACGTAAGGGCACTGCCCGCTCACTCTTTGTGTTGTAACGCTCAACAACAACAACCGCCAATCGCCACTAAGTGGCGGTGACGTCACCACGACGCTTGTGCCAGGCTATGTGCTCCTTGAGGCCACGTTAAATGTCGAACGCCCGCTGGCAGGTGGTCACCGGGCAGACCCAGGTGCCACAGGTCGACTGTAATGCTCAGGCACATCGCGCACACACACACACACCACTCAAGTGCAATGAAAAGCCTATGAGTGCCGAAAACAGACAAGCATTAACGGCGCTCATTAAACACCCACGGTTGCCTATTCCGCGTTGTGATAAATGTTACAGACCAGATTCACGCGCTCCTGAAATGGCCAAAACTCCTGCAATGACATTTTTACTTGTTTTGTGTAAACCAGAACAAAAATAATTCGGTGGGGGAGTGTGTCAAGCGAACGTACGCAGGTGGGGGGAGGGGGGTGTAAATAGTACGCGTGCGTACAGGGAGAGGGGTAAAGTTTTGACATTTTTGCGTACGTACTAAATGGAGGGCCCCTTAGAGTATTTGCCTGCTACAAATTTCCATATGATAATCAGCCACTTTGTTGGACTCTCATTTGTGGATAGGTTGCTTCAGCCTTGCCTGGTGAAAAAAAAATAGATTATTAGTTTAGCTTATATAAGTTAAACTTTGAACATTCTCCTCTGCTGCCCCCAATGTCTGGAACATCCGTCCCACTCCCCATTCATGCTGCAGACTCCTCACCTATTCAAGCGGCAGACTCAGAGACCTGCATTCTCTTCTCTGCATCTGACCGACTGCCTCTCTCAATAAAATAAATATACCTACTGTCCGGGACCACACTTTTCGTAAAGTACGTGAACCACAGTGCTACAAACCCCATTCCTGCACTGTACTTATATGTTTCCCACCTTAATAAACCTTGCACCAACCAGCATGGTGAAGCTATGGTCAAAATAACTTCCAAGACGCAGGGAGACCCTCATCCAGCGATGGATTGATGGGACTGAACGTGTAGATACTGGTCACAGTACCCGTGTGTGATTCATGTTGTGTGGGTGTGTGTGTGTGTGTGTAACAGGCAAATGATAACAATGACTACTTTCCTATTTGGGGAACGTGCTTGGGGTTTGAGGAGCTGAGCATCCTTATCAGTGGAGAAAACCTGCTGACGCACACCAACACGAGCAACAACGCCATGCCATTGGTCTTCACCAAAGGTGAGGCCCACAGACCGACACAAACAGAGATCCTCCTGTAGCCGTACAGACTGTTGAGGCAAAGTGCCATTTAGCGAGCACCTATTAAGCCGGGCGGCGGTGGCGCACGGCTGCAATCCAGCACGGTGGAGGCGAGGGTTGGTAGATCGCACAGATGTTGCGAAAATCCCTTACCGTGGGCGTTGAGGTGCCAAACCGTGGCTCTCCAGGAGAAGACGGCGCAGCAAAGTGTAGACTATTATCATCTGTTCCATCTTTATGGGATAGAGTGTTACCCCCTTGCAGGCGTGAGTTTTCTCCTGGTGCTCCGGTTTTCTGCCACGCGTATAAAGACTTATTAATTAGCTGAAAACATCTTAATTTGGCGAGGACTGCAGAGCTTGGGCAATTGTTGACACCGGCTCACCGCCTGGTTGCCTTCGCGCTCATCTGTGGTTTCTCGGTGATCGTGAGAAGCAATTTGCGTGAACGATCTAATGTGCTGCCGCAGTCGCTTAGCGAATGCAACGTGGCGATGTCTGCGTATTAGCAGAACAAAGTTCGGAAGCGACGATAGCACGATGACAGTAAATTGACCCTTAATTTTTTTTCGTACCAAATTGCACAGATGCAAAGGAGAGCCGTCTATTCCGGAATTTTCCCACGGAGGTGATGCACGCACTCAAAACGAAACCCATCACAGCCAACTTCCATCACTGGTCCCTCTCGACGAAGGTAAGTGGTGCAACATTTAGTTCCGCGTATTTCCCAATGCAGTAACTTTGCTGGCGACTACGTTTGACGAGAATGTATTACAGGGTGTTTTAAAAAGATGGACCCCATTTAAAAGCAGCATATTTCACGATGGCAGCATGTTACAATTACACAAAAAGTTACAAACGGTTTAATGAGTTATCAAATTTTACTAACCATTTTATAAATGCTCTATGTGCCCTCCACCTGCTGTACGGACAACATCGAGATGATAGTTGAATTCGTCCCAAACGCCTCTCAAAGTGTCTCCTTACACTGAAGTCACCGCTACCATGATTCTGTTTTTGAGGTCATCCAGATTAGTCGCTAATGGTGGCACAAAAACACGGCCTTTGACGTATCCCCACAAGAAAAAGTCGCAGGGTGTGATGTCTGTGGATCTAGGGGGCCAAGAGTGTAGCGCCAAGTCTTGGGGTCCCGTGCGACCTATCCAACGTTGAGGAAGTGTGTCTTGCGAATGACTGAGGCTAGGGGCTGTTTGTGCGCTGGGAAAGGCATCTAGCGGTAATCATTTGAAACTCTATGCCCGGCCCTTTCAAGTGGTAAGAGTTTCATTCATGGGCGGTTCATGGTTGCAGAGATATAGCGATTTAAAGTCGGGTCGTTTAGTTTGCTTTTTATATCACGCCGATCATTGTGCACATTTCAACTCGCAATCGCTGAGGAAACCACAGACGACCTGGAAGGCAGCAAGGCGGCGAGCTGGTGCCAACATGTGTCCAAGCTCTGCGGTTCTCTATTAACTAAGAAGTTTCAGCTAATTAGTCGGGTTTTTAACATGTGGGAGGTAAACCGGAGCATCCTAAGAAAACCCAACACTGCATCCCATACAAAAGCGACAGATTCTATTAGTCCGCTTATTGCTCTACCGAGTTCTCCTGGCAAGCCAGGAGTATCGTCTCTTCGACACCGACGGGAAGGGAGTTCCACAGCATTTGTGTGATCCACCAACCCTCTATGCCTCCACTGTTTTTGTATCACAGGCGAACACCACCATTTTATTGGTATCTTGATCAACAGTACAATAGTTCTAGATTTGAAGCTTTCGTGACTGCAAGGATTCATACTCTTCGGTTTTTTCGGTAAAGTCACGTAGGTAAAAATAATAATATAAATAGAATTATATTAAATGAAATTAAATCAATTAAATCACAACGTTTCGGAGGCAACACAAGTCTCCATCTTAATTGATTAAGACTAGTTGAATTAGTTACTAGTTACAATAGTTGAATGCGCAAAAGGGGTTTCCGATATTCTCCGCGGGTCATCGACAGAGTGAGTAGTAGAATGAAGGAAAGAAGAGAGAGGGGGGGGGGTGCAGGATATGACGGAACAGAAAGAGAAGGAAAGGGTGGTGGCAAGGCCAGGCTCATCGTCATTAGCCATGTTCAGTCCACTGCTGGATGAAGGCCTCCCCAAGCCAACGCCTCCTCACACGAACCCGCAATGTTAACGACCCACCTTGCACCTGCATGCGAGCTGATTTCATTGCTCCATCACCTTCTCCGACTTCCCCTCAGACCTCTGATTAGCACGGTTGGCTACGTATCGTGCAAAAGAAGTTCAACATACGTACATACAGGCACATTCCATTCCTAGGCCACCACTTATTTATTCTTGACCATTTCCTGGGTAAAGAATAATAATTATAAAATCCCTTTTATGGATGTATCCTGCCCAAGCCCACTTACACATTTCTTCACGGTTTAAATGATGGAATTAACCTGCTTGTGATCTCAAATCCATGCTTTCTTCTCTCTGTCTCGCGGTGTAATGTCAATCATGCAAGCATTTGTTAAAATGAAATTAATAGTATTTATTTAAACGGTTTGAATGATCTCATTAACCTATGTATGTTCTCTCATCCATGTGTTCCTATATAAATCAGTCAATTTAATTCTAAGATCATTCACTATATTGTTAAAAAAAAGTTTTGCTGGCTGGCTCGCGGGCAGTAGGGCAATTGCGCGGTAGTGACGTCATCACACACATCTGGGTGGTGACCTTACGCCTGCACCCCGGCAAATGCACAGGCAGTGCTAGTCACGCTGAATATGTATTATTATCCTGTCTAACTCAAAAAATGTTATTGTGAATAATATTGGTCGCCAAATCCTACATGTTAAATTAAACATAAGTGTTGACAAAAAAATATCGGTACAGCAAAGAACTATACTCTTAGCTTTTTTCGGTAAAGTCACGTAGGTAAAAAATGAAATTATTTCATTTTTATTCATTTTAATTTCATTTTTTTTACCTACGTGACTTTACCGAAAAAACTAAGAGTATGAATCCTTGCAGTCACGAAAGCTTCAAATCTAGAAGCAAAGAACTATGTTGTTCAATATGTGTATAGGCAGCTAACCATTGTGGCATTTACTCTCATGCAGAACTTCACAGCCAATGAGAAGCTTAAGTCGTTTTACCGCGTGATCTCGGTGAACACCGATTCCACCGGTGTCGAATTTATCTCCACAATGGAAGGTAAACGTGCAGCAACCGCAGGACCTGGCAGATGGCAGGGAGTGTTGTTTGTATGTGTGTATGTATGTTGGACTTCTTCTGCACCGTATGTAGCCAACCGTGCTAAACGGAGGTGCGTTGCTTGGCGAGGTATGGTGGCATCAACGGTTTTGGCCACGATGATCAATCATGGGGGTAGTATGAACATATTTCACCACGCTGGTTATTACGGGTTGGTGAATTGGGGGGTGGGAGCAGGACCGGTTCAGATATCACTCGTCGCTGATGTTAACCGTGGCTGGGAATCAAACTCAGGTCGCTGAGCTCATAGCGCAGTGAGTTCATCACGTCATCACGGCACCACAGCATATCCCTATGCCTTTACAAGCCCCAGAGTGAATCATTAATACAACCAAAGGCTTCTCCATTAACTACTCATCCGTCCATCACATGATAGGAGGCTAATGAGTGCCAGAGTTTTGGCAGCATAGGTTGTGAATGAAGAGGGTGATGAGATCCGGAGTTCAGCTGTACCAGTTGAGAAGGAGGGGAGTGATGAGTTCTAGAATTGTATGGGAAGACTTGCATCTGAATTCCAGGCTTTGGCTGCGACGTAACAGCACAGCAATACTGCACCCACTGTGTCGCGCTGACCCCTGTTACGTTGTGTGTGCAGCCTTCAAGTATCCGGTGTATGGAGTGCAGTGGCACCCAGAGAAAAACCCCTTTGAGTGGAGCATCAAGCTGCAGAACCCCCACTCGATAGACGCCATTCGCGCTGCCTTCTACATGGGGGACTTCTTTGTGAATGAAGGTGTGTCTGCCTGCCTTTTTCCTCCCCGTCGCTAAATCGCGTCGCTAAATTATATACGCCACTTATAGGTTGTACCAAACAACGGTGAGAATTACAGCTCCATTATCCTCTTATCCCATGTAAATACATTGTTTTACGGAGATAATTTGTTGAGAGAATAAGATTGTGCGTGTCGGAATTGATCGTTTACAGTTTCTGCATATTTTAGTTGGTTCGTATGACACGTGCAGCCATTGGAGGTGCTACATTCGCCAGTAAAAAATATATACTTGAGTCGAGTTCACAATGAATCATGATCGTTGAATGCTAAGAATTGTTCGAGCTGGACAAATTAGTGTTTGAAAGCTGTTGGATCAATATGAAAGACATTTGACTTACCCTCTACTCTGAACAACCTGTTTTAGATAAGAGACATACCTTGAGTTATTTAAAACTGCAACAAAGATGAGCTGCACACAACTAGGTGCTTGTTACAGTTTTAAACCACATTTTCCCTTGGGCTGAAATGTCAGCTGAGTGTGATAACATTCGAGACATATTGCTGGGTTTTGTGTGTTTTCGACATTTTATCGTACAACTCGCGCATGAGTTGCAGCCCAGTATAAATGCGAACATGCGCCTGCAGTGCAAACTTGCTTAGCAATGAGTTGAACATTTTCCACACCCCGGCTGTATTCAAGTTGATAAAGGCAACCTTTTTTCACCATGGAATGGCTAGTTTTAAATCTTAGTTGTATGCGTAACCCATGGTAATATAGCAGTCGCAATGTGATTACCATTCTTCAATCGTTTTTTTTTTCCCCTCTTGATCTTCGGTTTTCTCGGGTTAACGCGACAGTATTGGCTTAGGCTCATCGCGTGTTTTGCTTTTGAAATCTGCAGCTCGCAAGAACTTCCACAAATTCCCAACTGAGGCGATGGAATCAAAGGCTCTCATCTACAACTACAATGCCGTCTACACAGGGAACATATCCACCTTCTCGCAGAAGTATTTTTTCAATCATAGCGAACCTCACCAGCTACTCTTGTAATAGCACACGCAGGGAAATGTTGGTGTGTTTTTTTGGTGCATTAGCATATTGTTGAGAATGGATCTTAATATAAAGAAACTGCTTCGTGTTCGTATTTTAATTAATTAAATTGCTTGAATACTTCAAATTACTTTACACGATTTAAGAATGTTACCCGATTGTTAATGACTGTATGTCCATCTTCAGTCTGTAGTTTGAAGTTCTATGTAAATTTTTATTTCAAAAATAAAACACAAATAAACAGGGCCCTTGGTACGTGTATCATTGAGTGAATTTTGTGACAACTTTCATAATTTACGTTTACCATTCGACATAAAGAACAGTCTGTTATAGAATGCTTTTGGGTGCCATAAAACGGCACTACATAATGAACCCAGATGAGGCAAAGTAAAAGTTGATTTGCCCAAGTTTGCTGCGAGATACTAAAACTCCATAACATCATGGCTCATCATCAACTTCAGGCCAAGGGATCTTGTTTTCTCATCTGTGTGACCATTTCAAAACGTGGACGTTTCTTCCTTGTCATGTCTTGGATATGCAAGGCATTACACAGGAGAAACGTACCAAAACCACTCCAGCACTGAAGAAGATCCAATCAGGGAATCCATCAAGCAAGGACAAGCTATGAAGGAATGAGTCTCCTGCCTGGACTGCACGTGCAGCCACATCTAGGTTGTGTTGTGTCAAAGTATCAACACTGCACTTGGCTTGCAAATACCTGACAAATAGGCTGTGGCTGAGCACACACCAGGGCACCGGCTGTGGGTCAACTTCAACAAAGTGATGGTTCTAAGACGACCAACAACAATTTATAAGTGTCATCCAGGAAGCGATACAAATGACAGACTTATCTGGAAAGCTGTGCTTAAGGGTTTATGAATAACGTAACCTCCAAAAACCCGCAACGCTGAAAAGTCTTGGCCAGGATATGACAATCCATCTGTTTAGCTAACGAATGTTGAGATTTCTGTTTCCTTCCAAATGAAGCATAGCATTAGCCGGCCTACGTCAGAGTCGAGCCAGTCGGCATCAAGAACCGGCAACACCATCAGCAGCAGGAAATTCTATACGATCGAGGGAGAAGTAAGCTGCTAAATTCAGTTCCTGAAAAAACTCCCAGCATGTGGAGTGAAATGTCAGCCATCATGCCAAACAACACACGGTACAAGCTGATAAAACATCGAGGGGCAATACAACACAATTGTAAAAACCTACGCTGTGCCTCAATTGGCTGGATCACCTAAATGTGAGTGGTGCATTACCCTTGATGGGTATCTTCACCAACTCGTACTCACCAATGTGAATAACTGTATATCATCCCCTCAATGAAAATGTAGCCTGAAGCCTGGTCCCCAATCACTTTCAAATCTAATTTCATCATTCTAGATGACAGCAGGGTAGGTGTCAGCAGTGTTGGCCATAACAACAGGAGATGCCTTTTTTCATTTGACCATTGATAGATTGTGCAGACTTTTACCTTAAGCATGAAACCTTGTCGAATTGTGGACATTAAAATAATGGGACATAGTTGGTCTTAGCAAAAAGGAAATAGAATTCCATATTTATGAAGAGCAGCAACCTATTTTATAATTTAGGGAGAGATTATGTTCATGAGGGAGTGATATTATTAGTAGACATTAAGTTTTAGAGATTCTGACCACACTGATAGAAGTAAGATCTGCCATTGAGTATGTAAAAGAGGAAACTCCCAGCACCAGAGAATATAGCTATAGACATCACCCAGAGCCAGATAATGACCCAAAACATAGTGAATGTTATACAGTCATGTGCCGCCTCTAACTAAAACATTACAAATAGATTTTAAAATAGGAATTCTAAGAGTCCCTGCAGTATAAACTGAAGTGAAATGTGCTCCACAGAGACACATTTTGGAATATGCATCTGCTTCTCGAAACGCCCGATGAAAACGGTGGCTCAGCGTTAACATACCTTGGTTGAACCAATCTTGGGATGGGCATTTTCATCGTTTCTTTATTGTTCTTTTCAGCAATTAAATTACAACCACAAGCAGATTAACTTCTAAAGTCTTTACAATTAATACATGCAATGCTCTCCTAACTCGCATATCGCCTCGAACACAGCAATAATATACAAATGTGAATTAGACTTCTAAAAGTGCAAACAAAATTTGTTTTCATCAAGAGAGCATTATCTCAATTCAATTAATGGTGGAATACCACAATACAATAGTTGCAGGACTCAAGTCCAATGAGATCAGCTTATAAATGAAAACCTATACATTCACAATGTCACTCACAAACACAAGACCTACTTCGGATATAACAACCTAAGCCGGGGGAACGCCAACCGGCGTATGCTCCGGAGCAGCATGCGGCTCATTACGGAGTGCTTCGTGACGTTATTTATAAAGGACCGCCGTCTGGTATTCACCACATGCATTGCGGCTCTTGAAATGTTATTTTTACCGAATTCGAAAAACAAGGCTCGTTGTTTTGGTTGCCGACCCCTACCCTCGTGCAATAGTAAGGCTTCCACATCACCTTTTCAGGAATTCCAACATGCAGCAGATCTTTTGGCGAGTTCCCTGAAAAGGGTAATTAGTATTTTTATTAATTAATTATTATTAAGTAGTTTTAGTATTTTTGTTCTCTATTATGCTCGTGAAAAGTGGTGTCGGTGTATATTTTTAGGTTAGGAATAGAGTTGGAATGACTGTCTGAAATACATCTCTTAAGTTTTTGCACTAAATAAACAGGGGTAAAAGCAATTCCAATTCATGAATTTTGTTTTGTGCATGTTTGTTAAAGAATGCGTCCCTTTCTCAAATCGAGGTTTACCTGTACAGTATTACTTTTTTTTAATTGAAGCTTTCGTGACTGCAAATATCCTGTGATCGAAACGTCGTGATCTATTATTTTTTCTACCTATGTGACTTTACTGAAAGAACCAAAGAGTATTACTTTTTTTGTCATGACCAATAGCATCATCGCCCTCTACTGACAGAATAATGCCCACTTGCCGGCCAGCGCTGCGTCACCTTGTGCCATCGGTAAAAAATAAAAATATAGCTGGTCTATGGAATTATTGAAATTAGATTAAATGAGGTGCTTTGAGATGCTGGGGCATTTAAATGCCCAATTAATGAAAATCCCCATAACCCAAATAAAGCCAGCTTCATCCACATTTCTAATACTATTTCTATGCCACCATAAACATAATAAATGTAGCCATGTTGGACAGCCATTTGTAACCCATGACAACCGCATGAACCTGTCCAACCAATCGGATCGTTTTCTGAGTCTAACAATAATTGGAAGTTGCAGATTTTGTGCAACTTAATTTCCCTAGGGTTCCATCTCATGTTAAATGGAGCAACACAAACATTAATTTATATAACATTAATAATGTAGGAATACTGGACCGTTTAAGTTCAGCCTGAAACAGGGATAGGAATATATTGATTTGCGACTGCATTTCATGAAACTGAAAAATTAATAACAGGTTGTAAATGGAAATTTTCTATAAATGCAAGCATCTTAGCTGCAATAATCAGTTACTAGAGGGAAATATTTTCACCCTTGAAACACTTTCAAATTTTATCATGCTCCGTCACCTGAAAGGTAAGCCATACATATTTTCCACTTTAAAAAAATCATAGTGCAAGTTTAAATGTCAAAAACATACGCTACAGCAAATGGACTGCAAACAAGGCAAACTCTGGGTTCAGGACTCTCAGCTTGCCCTCTGCTTCACTTTTTAGGTGAAGCAGTCCTCGGTGGAGTTGTATTGCAGAAGATCAGGGTCCAGGCCCATTCCAGCAATTATCTGACCCAGGCTGTAAACTTTGTCGGACGTGGCTTCCTGCTGCAGGTCACACAGGAGACTCTGGCAGGCGCTCCTCCACTTGAAAATCAGCCTCTCCAGTTCCTCCAGGTTATTCTGAACACAATGAGAGGCTTGGATGAGCTGTGCAGTGACCACAATTGGGATACCAGAATTTTTTTTTTAAATCTTTATCTTTTCTCGGTGATATTACATTGCTTTGTGTAACAGCAATACATCCCAGACAATAGCCTCTAGAAGATAACATCACGTAACTACTTGGGATGTCCCTTCATGTAATCTCAAGGGAAAACTCATGGTGCACCTTCTCACATGCCATATTATAGTGGTTTTTGATACATGACAAACCAACTTGCTTTAGTCCTCACAGCGGGAATATGCGGATTTAAGTGGCAAACCAAAATTAATGTTTTTATCATGCAATAATTGATCAGTAGGTTCATGTACATGTACAATCACATGATATGCACTTTAGTTTATGCCATTTAACCTCACGAACAAATTGCGATATACTCGAATACATTGATTTTAATTTGCTGGACCACACCTGAGAAAAAAACAATACTGCTCAGATTTTTCGATTTAAAGCTTTCGTGACTGCAGGGATTCATCTTCTTGGTTCTTTCGGTAAAGTCACGTAGAAGGGAAATAATAAAATAATAAAAATAAAACATAATAAAAGATGTTTTATTTTTATTATTTAATAAAATAAAACGTAATAAAATGTTTATTTTTATTATTTTATTATTTCCCTTCTACGTGAATTTGTCTTGTGGTTGTTGTTGGTTGTTTGACTTGCATCCCACTGGGATTTTTGCACACAGCGTTGGTGTACGGTGTTTTTTTCTGCAATATTTTGCTGTCTTTTCTTGGATTTTCTGTTTGCACTCAGTTACATATTCACTTTAAGATGTTTTTTTGTTCATGTTTTTTGTTTGTTGGTAGTTGAACCCGATTCAAGAGCCGAATGGCTCACAGGGCTATACCTAATAAATGAACTTGAACTTAAAGAACCAAGAATACTGCTCAGCTTCACAAATGGGGGAATGTAGATGGCACAGCTGCCATGCAGTTACCTTACTCCGGTAGCTCGAGACCAATCGGAGCCTGCGCAACAATTCCTCTTTCGTTGCAAGCGCTCCTTTCATATCCTCAAGCTCCTTCGCCATCTGTTGGATAGTTGTGGCCTGGCTCTCCGATAGGGCTTTACCTGATCCAGGAGTCCACATCACACCAGGGCTGCTGCCTGCAGAGGTCAATTGTATTAAAATATATTGTACAGTTTGAGAAAAAATGCTTTTCATTGTTTTAATCACATTTCTTGACGATTGTACCTCTTTTTTTAGATTCCAAAGTGCCGTAGATTCAGTTTTCTCAAAGGTGCTACGTAAGCTTATTATTGCTACTAATAAATATTACGAAAAAATAGCAACTGTCATTTTCAACACATGCAGTTCTTACATTGATATGTCTCACCTTTATTAACCCGCATTGACCAGTCTGGTAAATGTAGTCAAATGCTCACATGGCATGGGGGAGACCCTCATTCAGCAGTAGATTGACAAAACGGCTGTACTTCGTACAAACAAAGGTATTGTTATAAAATGCTCAAAATTATTAACATTCAAACGATAAACAATTATGCACTACAGCTGAAAATGACTCGATTAGTTTTACCTGTACTAATATTCAAGCTGGACGCAGGCGTACGCTTTAAGTCCGACTCTCCCGGTGATGCGGTTGAAGCACATCCCTCCGGTGTGCTTAACCCCAATCCGGTGTTGCGTTCAGTGGCTCCACGATCGGGCGACAGCGCGCAGACACCCTCCTCCAGGCCCTGGCTGGGTTGCTCAAGCGATAGGATTGTTCCAGACGCCAGCTCCTCGGTGCCGCTCGCAAGGCACCGTCTCTTGGGGTGGGTCAGTTCGAAGGACCGCCGTGACTTTATGAGTCTCTGTCGCAGCGTGGAACTCATGCACTGTTGCAAAACAATCACATGGTTTCCATGTTTAGTTATCCGTTTGAATAAAGTGATGTTTATTCAACTAAACATTGTTTGGAAGAAAAAAATGGATAGGCCAGATAGAAATATACGCCATGATAATTATAAGGAAGAAATGTACGTGTACTCTATATATAGCATTTCAAATTAATACATTTTGGCCAGTTAGTCTATGAGCTCAGACCAGATATTTAATTTGTGATTGATTTGCAACAGGGCAGGAGTTCCATGCTGCACCTGCGGTAGCATAACTTAAAGTGGTTCCAATTTTTTACGTGACCAATGACAGTAAATTACGTAATAAACACTTGAAATTAGTGGGATATCAAATGATGCAATCTTTTTTTTGCCATATACAGTGAATACATTTGTATTATTAGAGTTTTTATACCTTAGATTATACCAATTTCTGTTCTGGCCCAAGGACTAAGTAAAAGAGAAAGTTATAAGGTACACAAGACTAATTCTATAGAGTCAGTGCTAATTACTATACTCTTATACGCTGTGCACAATGCGTAAGCCATATAATACCAACGACAGTGGGGTTGTGTACAATTCACTGCGAGATGGGGGCCTCTCCACCCCGTGACAGCCGTGGCGGTTATATGATCACACTTCAACACACTGGCTCGTTTGGGTTGCGAAAGATCGGACCAAAGAATAAATTTGGTTCAACAAATTAAGTGTACTGGTCTGGCTGCTCTCTGCTGACCACAATGAAGTAGACGGTTGAGTAGCAACACTTTGCTCAGTTCTGCAATTAATTTGAAAAAATGGGAAGTATTCCACTCACACGAATACGTGTACAAATTTGGAACAAAAAATGTTACTTATTCTTTGGGTCTTTCGATAAAGTCACATAGATAGGTTCAAAGAAAATAACAAAAACTACGACGTTTCGATCGCAACACAAGCGGTCGTCATCAGGAAAAGGGGGTTATAGCTTCTAAAGGCAAACTGCTTATAAAGGTTTGAAATGGGTGTAACCCAAATGTTAGCAGCCAATGTTAATGTAAGTGGTGGGCAGCCCACCACTTACATAATTGTAAGTGTGGATTAGAATGTTAAGTGGGTTACATAACGTTAGTGGAGGGCAGCCCACCACTTACATTAATATTTCAACAGAGGGGGGGGGGGAGATATGAAGTTGGGATTACTTCATGTGATCCCAACATGAAGTACTGGATGTGAAAAATAGCTTTTTAGCTCATCGTATTCCTCCAGTAGTAGAAACACACAGCGATTCATGTGATATATCTGTTTTATATGGACAGAAGCAAAACGTAATCTCCGTCGCATGAATAGAAATGCATTTGGCATTAACCCTGCTTTACAGACGAATTATTGGTGGAAGGTATGCCTACTCTTGGCTTTTTTCGGTAAAGTCACGTAGGTAAAAAATTCATAATAGAAATAAAATAATAAAGTAATACATAAATTTAAACACGTAATTTATTATTTTATTTCTATTATTCTTTATTTTTTACCTACGTGACTTTACCGAAAAAAACCTAAGAGTATTATGAATCCTTGCAGTCACGAAAGCTTCAAATCTAGAATGCGTGCCTGGTTATCACACCGCACGTTACCGGCTCACGGCTCACATCAGTGGCGAGTGAAATCGGGAACCGATCATCTTCTTGGTTCTTTCGGTAAAGTCACGGAGAAGGGAATAATTAAAGTAAAACATAATAAAATACAATTCTCACGACGTTACGGCCACAACGCAAGCAGTCGTCCTCAGGTGAAGAACAGGGCTGTCGGAAAGACATCGTCCCAATGAACACCACCAAGCTTGGCAGCGTATATTTAAGCTGGGTTGGAGGAGGAAGGGCGCCTTGACAAAGTAATTTACATATCAACAGAGGAATTTAGCATATTTATGGAAAAATGCATATATGGGATTAGTCACTACTTGTGGAATGTGTAGGACTGTAGGTAGTGGGGGGGGGTCTTCTACGTGACTTTACCGAAAGAACCAAGAAGATGAATCCCTGCAGTCACGAAAGCTTTAAATCGAAATTTAACGGGAACCGATCCTCAGATAATCGCCTCTCCTCCTCCCCCTTCTTCACCAACTCCCATTGACCGGTGTGGTGAAGTATGGTCAAACAACACAATTAACCGAAGCCTTCATCCCGGAGTGCGAATGAGAATCGACGACTGGGGGGGGGGGCTGATCATTTAGATTACGTCCCTGCACTGTTGTTGCTACCGCAACTGGAAGTTTAATTTATTTTATAAAGAGAATTGTAAAGATTAACGTTACACTATGGGGACCTCATTTGCCAGTAAAAATATGATAATTGGTTTTTTACCCTTCTATCTGGCAACAAAACTGACACCTTTTTGCAAGGAGTCATGTTTGCATAGACCGCAATACCTGCAGTCATAAATACAAACAAAAGAACATAACTCTGATAATGTGCACTGTCCCTGAAGTTGATTGGTTACGTTACGTTGTCGGCTGGCGAAGGCGCTTCAACGTTGCGCTCCGCGACCGAACCTTCGTCTCCACCGCCTTCGTTCATCGTCGCGAACGGAAGATGACATGAAGCATAACAAACAAAACAAATCCCGCGATGTCCAACGTTGGTAACGCGTCAAACAATTGCAGGTCGCCGCCGCCTAAGAACAAACAACAATTTTCCCGCGCTTTTCACGCAACCACTTCAAATATCATACACCGCATTGTCGACGCCACCGAACGTCGCCGCGTCCTCGTTGGACGGTTTCCCCCACGTGACCGGCCCGGCACCGACTGTCAGCGCTGGGAAATCTAAACCCGGCAGCAGCCGCGCATGCGCATTGCGGCCGTGCGCGATATTCAAACTCGGGTCCGTTCCGTCGTCTGGTAAAGGAGACTTTAAACACTTTTACATTCACGAATTGTATCACAAATAAGACTTTACGATAGCTCCTATGCTCACACGTTACTTAGTAATCGCGTCGTCCGTGACGGGGATAAGCTTCGCGATGTTTGCTTCGTTAACTGTCGAGTTGCGACTCGGCCGCCAGCCTAGACGAGGCCTAACATTGTGCTGTGTGTGAGCGTCTCTCATCATTACTTCTTTGACATTTGTACTCGGGATTTTAAAAGCGTATATCTTATTAGCGTGTTTTATTTAAAGTGGATATCCGCTCGCTAGTCTCTGCTTTGTTATTTATCACAGTAATTGTGCTATGTACGTACTCTGGGTAATACGGCCTTGCAATAGAAAAGTTAAATTCCTACTCATTTTTTTTCTTGGTTCTTTCGGTAAAGTCACGTAGAAGGGAAATAATAAAAGTAAATAAAATATTATTATTTCCCTTCTACGTGACTTTACCGAAAGAACCAAGAAGATGAATCCCTGCAGTCACGAAAGCTTTAAATCGAAAAATCCCTACTCATTTTGTCTCTTAATTCACATTAGTGCTATTAGTATTGATCACACCCGACATCTAATTTAATATCGTGTTTTGTTTCAGGTAATGATCACACTAAGCCTGTGCTTTGTTGTTTTGCAACGGTAGTTGCCTATGACCCAATGCGCCAGAACACGGAAGCTAAGCAAATTCGAGCCTGTCTAGTTCTTGGATGGGCAACGACCATGCACAATAAGTTGATATCGGCTGCTGTGTAGCTACATTGTGGAGAATATAGGGACCGTGCTGGAACATAATTTGCATTGTGCTATGCTCACACGTCTGCCCCCCTTGCCTCTCACTTACCAGCACCGGTCAGCGTGGTGAAATTTGGTCTAATAGCCCCCATGACCTAGAGTCCTACACGGTATAGGGAGGCCCTCATCCAGCAGTAGATTAACAAAAGGGTTGTATGTCCAGTTTATTAGATATTCTATGAATTGACTTTCCCTGGAATAACAATGTGGAAAACCCACTCATTGTGTTGCATTATAATTAACGTGTGCTGTCGTTTTAATACCACTTAACAAATGCGCGATTCATGTTTTTTAATTAGATTATATTACTAGGCTACGCTTTGTTTATAAAATAACTAGTTACAGGATAGATACATTATGGATCGACTTGGGCTTGCAATGGGATTGTCGAATGTCCACCAATTTTGTTTACACTTCATTTAATATTTGTGCTGTCATTGATTTCTGTAATAATACCATAGACAAGTTCTGAATTAGGTTCATCAACAGTCGGGCCTGTTATATATACGACAATAGTATTTAATTTTACCGTTATGTGGAGAGACTTTATACCTATTCTTTACTGTTTACTACAATCATCCACATCGGTGCGCAGTTCGTTTTTATACATCGTCATAATATCAGCTGGCAATAATTACACTCCTATATAGTATTTAAACAGGTGAGAGAGCCTATTGCTTTCTCACTAGCTGTCCATTGACACACAACGTGATTGTTGCGCACAGTAACCTGATTTTCGTTGAATGTTTGTGTATAAAGACAAATTAATTTGTAATATGCAATGTGTCTCATGAACTAACACTGGTGTTGCTGAACCTTTCAGGCTTTGCAGCCATGAGCTCTCCGCAGGTGCGCTACCGCAACCAGCTCTTAACACCGGGCAGCGGTGACATGTTCACCACTCCCCGGCGCTCCACGGGCTCTGGCATCCATGGAGCAACGACATCCGGCGGAGGGGTCTTCCTCTCGCCGGCCACGCACCGACAGCAGAATGTCCCCGGCTGCGACGATGGATCGGTGGCCAACTCGCCCCTGTTCCTCGGCAGCAAGAAGAGTGATGCCGACGACCGCAAGGAGAGGCGCAAGTCCCGGGTGATAGAGCTGCAACAGAGGGGAGGGGTGAGCCCCATCTCGCCTACCATAGACCGGTAAATACTGGAGTAGACCTGAACAAATAAAAATACGTAGCTTTTGGATATACCAGCTAGAAATCTGCATTATTAAGGTGGATCATTGAACGAAAGAGGCAAGCAAATGCAGGTTGGAGTGCATTTTTTAATCAAATTATAATAAAAACGAACATGTTTCTGAAGAAGTAAGTTTTCATCAGACATCTGAACAGCCATGATCATGTTTGCATCATAACTTGGACTCTGACCAAGAACTTCAAACAAAACCTGAAAAGTCCCTAAATACATATTTGTGTGCTGACTTGGGATCCATATGATGGCAGTACGGAAACTATAACGTCAAGTGTTAAGTGCATCCTAATTCATTAGTAAAATATTAGCCAGTTTAAACTCACAATGTTTATACTTTATAATTCACAAATTAGCCAGGATTGTATTTTTATTGATCTAGTTGATATGTATAATAACCACATTAGGCTTTTATTATGGTAGGATTTTCCAGTTGCAATAACATAAGCAACTTCTAAATGTGATGTTGCATTGAAATATTCTGTCATTTTTATATCTGTTGTGCAGGCGCAGATCTCTCTTGACCTTGCCTGGTGGGATGACCAACACTCAGCTATCTGAGCATTATTCCACGTGCATCAAACTATCAACTGAAAATGTTAGTGTACAATGCACTGGTGTCCAGAATGTCTCTGAAATATTCAAGTATATATACTTTAGCTGATGATCAAATCGTCAGGAATGTGCCTGATCTCGTTATATCTCAGAAGCTATGCTGGGCTGAGCTTCACTCGTGCTTAGATGGGTCACCATCTTGCGTAAAACAGGTGCTGTAGGCAGTGGAGCAAAATATAATGGTCTCTTGTCCTATACTCCCTATATTTACCAATCTGCACTAACCAGCATGGTGAAATTTAATCAAATAACCCCCATGACCCACAAGGCATGGGGATGCCCTCATCTAGCAGCGGGTTTATAAAAGGACTATGTACGCAACAATTTAATGCACCCTTTCCCTTGACCATTCAATTCTAGACTTAATTTTTTTTATCTTGATATATTTACTTGATCTGTGGACACTTGCATATGTCCTATATGACATATGTAAGTGTGAGCTTACAAAATTAGAAAACATGCAAGTGAATGTGATGATATACGCAACTGGCCTTGCTCCACCAGGCCATCATAAGTGGTCCGCAAAAATGTTTAAGATGCGATTTTTATCCACAAAACGTTGTATTTTTTACTTGTACACAAACATTTTGAGAGTTGGAACCACTGCTGTAGAGGAACATGTTTGCGCAAGTTAGTTCTGTATGATACCAAAGATTGCCATGAGATGGCGGTACTATGATACATGATCCACGATAAACATACCTTCCATTTTCTTTGGTTCTTTCGGCAAAGTAACAGGTGAAAATAAAATATTTGTACTTTTACTATTGTGGACTTGAATTATTGGAAAAAGTAAACAAATGGAAGGTATTCTAGATTTGAAGTTTTCGTGACTGCAAGGATCCATACTCTGGTTTTTTCGGTAAAGTCACGTAGGTGAAAATAATAAAATACCTTCCATTTGTTTACTTTGTCCAATAATTAAAGTCCACAATAGTTAAAGTAAAAAAAGTAGTGTTAAGTAAAATGTTTTCCAGAGTAATTGAATGCATGATGGTTATATGATGTCCTCATTCTCGAACGTAACTTCATGGATTAATAAAATCTTGTTTAACTGACATCCCACATGCATTATAAGCATTATATATTGTAAAGTTATAATGATGAGAAGACTTATGGTAGGCTTGCTTTGAGTGAATTTTATTTGAAGAACTTTTAGTTTGCCAATTCATACTAAAAATACACAAAAAACAAGTTGATGAAAATGTTAAATTCAATTACAAACTTAAGAGAAGCTGATATCGTTATAATTGTCCTCGTAACATTTTATATACTTTTGTAAAAATATATATATGATGGCAACTAACTTCCTGATCATCATATGCAAATTCAATCATCATAGTCGCTGACTGCATTATGTTGCAATATTACACAATTGATGTCTGACTGTGCTTGGTATTTTTTTCTTCAGAAAATCACAACCAAGAATGCTTTTGGCCTGCATTTGATCGATTACATGGCCGACTTGTGTAAACAAAAAGGAACTGAAATGACCAACTTTCAGGTATACAATGGCATTTTATGGTCAACACTATATTCCAGCCGTATTTTTCTGTTGTCGGTGATGATTTTGGTATTGACTTGTTCACAGATATTGCTTTTGGAATTTAACCTACTCTGAAGTTCTACATTTTACATATTTCAATTGACACCAAAAGCTTCCGTATGTGCCATTGCAGATGGCAGCAGGGACACTGGATGCCAGCACCAAAATTTACGCAGTGCGAGTAGATTCCGTGCACGCCGATGCTTACAAGATGCTGGGAGACATTGCTGGAAATTCTCAAACCTCAAATGAGCAGCAAGCAGGTGAACTCCCATATCATAATCCCCATTGTTAAGGTGTTGGATGTGTATAGGGAAATGTGTCACTTGAGATAAAATCATTTCTAAACTTGTGTAAAGTGAAATGATTACTAGTCAATGTGTACTGTATATTTGCCTCTGAACAAATGAATGTGAAGTTATGCAGGGTTGAATCGGGGTAGTGTTTTGATGGTTGATCACCTTGCCTAACCACAGGTGTTTTAGGCATTATGGGCTGCAGAGGGAAATGCAGCAACATCTCATTTTGACACTCTAATTTTATGCTTTCTTCAACAACCCACACTGACCAGTGGGAAAATTATGATCAAATAACTCCCACCAACCACAGCCTAGGGAGGCCCTCATTCAGCAACAGGCAGAAAAAAGGGAATTTTGCTCGAGTACATTGCAAAGGATATTCGTAGTCTGATTTGTTTAATTGTACTTTTACTTTGAGAGTTTAATAAACTTGTACTGTTTGTATATGATTACAAATAGGACCATCTTGAGTTCATAAACTGTGTCTCCGTATAGGTGATGGAGAAGAAAACCCAGATAACGGAGTGCATAAAGGCAAGCCGAAGCAGAGGAAGAAGAATTCGGTGAAGAATATCGAAACGAATTTGGACAAAATCACAAACAGCAAATTTGATGGGGAGGAGCAGGTGGGATTGCATATGCACACATACAAGTTTATATAGATGCACATATATTGCGCATTTGATTACTGTTTGGACCATGGAATTGAGCCAACAAGTTTGCTACTACAATGAACTGTTGACCAGTGAGTGCTGGGTTATTGGACCAAGGTGTTGATGGTACATACACATAATACATTTTAAACTTAAATATATTTTCAAAGGCATCTTTAATGATAACACAAATGCATCGCTAATTCTGTTAAAGTGGCAGTTGCTTAAAATTTGAAAAGTATATTCTCTCTTTTAGACATTTGGGTAATGGAAAACCCCAGGAGTTGAGTACACAACCTTATGTAAAATGTTAACGATTAGATTTCAAACGACAAGTACTGACTGAGGTCTTCTTTGCCCTACACCCTCTAATGTATTCTCCAGCTGCAAACACCATGTTTTGTGAATGATTGCTCCCGTTCCTCCATGCTAAACTCATGTATCCCTCCTGCCCACCCCCACTTTTCAGTGTCAGCCGTTGTTGAAGACTGGTACCTCGTACGACGAGTGTGGAACGATGGGCCTCCTCCTGAATAACCTCAAGTGTGCGGACTACAGCTGTAATCTTCTGTTCGACTGCGACCTGGTGCCGCTACGAGTAAACTCCAAGTACACGCCGCCCACCATTTCCACTCTCACCGACATCTCTGAGCTACGCGGTGGGTATATCGGTGCCACATAAATGTAATTTTACAGCATTGCAGACTTGCTCTATAACCAAATCGCATGGCATGAGCCCGATCTCAGTAGAGCTTGGAAGCTAAGGTTGGGTAAAACGGGTATTACAGGTGGCGCTGTGGGGCGATGTTGTCAGCAGAGAGCAGTGCAGGTATACCGATTGTACTTATTATACTACACTACAGCGTCTGTGCTCCCTGCCATCACCAATATGTATTGCTTTCCCAAGCATGGTAAATTATGGTCAAATAACCCACACGACCTGGATAGTGTAGGCAGGCCTTCGTCCAGAAGTGGACTGACAACAGGGCTTCCATGTACATGCATGCATACTTGTTGGAGGCAAGATTAGAGCAGAATTAAGATTGAATTGATAGGCCTGTTAGAAATAATTGTTGAGTGTTTTCAAGTGAAAAGATGAGCTTTGTGAATTCAAGAATGACTAATCGGCTGTTGGGAATTGTGCCTGTCCGGTCCTGCATAAGCGGACGAAATTGTGCGGTTTCTTTTGGATTTGTCCGATTCCTTCTGTGGCCATAGACAGCCACTATTATTACCGTCTGCGGTGCCAGGGTGTGCCTCATGGCATACAGTACATTCCAGGACTGGCCTTTTTGTCTAGGAGGGTCCACCTATACCCAGTTGCATGGAATACCATTTTTTATGAAATGTAACACCTTGAGAAACGTTTGATATGAATCATCTCATGATAAGTGTTCTGGGGTAATAACGCAAAAACCTATTCACCTATAATGTTTTACTGCTTTGTCTTCCATAACTAAGGACTGATTTTAAGAAAATTGTAAACCTTTTTTTCTCCCATTTGTATCTTTTAAATATTATCCATATGGACACCTAATTATCTCTTTCCTGCAGTATTTAGTACCTTAAAGTAGATGTGTTGTACACAGCCTGTTAAAGCAACCACCTAAAATACCCGGCATGTGATAATTCACCTCCTATCCTGCAATTCCAAGCATTGTGATGATTCTGGATTTTCACTTATTCAAGAGCCTTTGTTATTGCTGTTTTACTGACTTTTTTTATTGACCCTCTTATGTTATGTCTAATTTGTTCTATTAGCATTGGTCAATATTGCATGCAATAGACAGTCTTCGTTTTTTATATCATAATTTTATCATGTTTTTTTCCTATTTGCGCTTTTGGTGTCATGTCTAACAACATGGCACTGTACTTTTGCAGACCAGTGCATCACCCTGTTATAAAATGTCCCACAGAAGGTGGCATCACAAAAATACTTGAGCTCCCTTTAAGTGACCTCTAATGCGCACTATACTTACTGTGTTTCCTGCTATCGAGATGTTTGTTGGAGGCAAGATTATTTATTTTATATTTGTCGAAGTTAAGTGAAAAATCTACTCTTATGTCATTTTTTATGCACTCCGGGCTGAGCCCATTAACCAACTACATTTATACTTTTGGTTCTATCGGTAAAGTCACGTGACTTTACGGAAAGAACCAAAGAGTATGGATTTCTGCAGTCACGAAAGCTTCAAATCAAGATTAAGCTTCATTTAATTACAGATTGCTGCCCAGATTCAAAATTACAATCACAAGTGTCAGCTCTGCTGTGACCAATGAGCTATCCACTCACCACCAATAATCTATTCTTACATGCACTCTTTGATGCACATATTGTGAGCAATTGAATCGATTGCAATGGATGAGTTAGTTGTTATGTGCCTCTTCAATCACAGTTCATAAGTATTACATTAAGCTGTGTGCTGCTATAATTAGTGTTGGTTCACTTAAACGTAATGCTCAATAGTGTTAAGTTGATAATAAGCAGTTAATCATTTTTCGATTTAAAGCTTTCGTGACTGCAGGGATTCATCTTCTTGGTTATTTCGGTAAAGTCATGTAGAAAGGAAATAATAAAATAATAAAAATAAAACAATATAATACAATTCAATTTTATTATGTTCAACACGTAGGCTTTCGCGACCAATATTATTCATAATCAACGTTTTTGGGTTTAGATCGCGTTATTTATAAATGTGTCGTAACCCTCCACCACCCGACACGGCCAATCAGTAAAAAAGTGTCACGTTGACAAAAGACAAATAGTTCACTGCTTTAGCCCATCGGTGTGTTGAAGCGTGAAACCACAACATTTACAATTTGAGTACGACGTTTCGCTGGTAATTGCATTCACGCTACAACACACCGATGGGCTAAAGCAGTGAACTATTTGTCTTTTGTCAACGCGACACTTTTTTACTGATTGGCCGTGTCGGGTGGTGGAGGGTTACGACACATTTATAAATAACGCGATCTAAACCCAAAAACGTTGATTATGAATCAATTTTATTATGTTTTCTTTTTATTCTTTTATTATTTCCCTTCTACGTGACTTTACCGAAAGAACCAAGAAGACAGTTAATCATTATTGGAAATGTCTTGTTGATCACTTGTATTGCCCATTGCAAAAACAGGGCTGTTTTTTTATGAAACAGTCATCGACCATAAAATGTGCCGCTGGCAAAGGTGTCTAATACAGTTAATGTAATTCAAATCAGTCATACATCTAGAAGGGGGAACACATATTTTGGAATTCTGTCTGCAGCGTGTACTTGTTTTAGCAAGTTGAAACATTTTTGGAATTTTACCTACTCTGAATTGAACCAGCAATACATATTTTGTTGTACAAATGCATTTATGTTACCCATACAGTGTTTGGATTTAAATGGTGACCTTTTGAAGGGGTGGCTTCTTTCCTAATTTTAACTAGTACTTTACATTACAGGCATTCTGCAGCAGTCTTCATTTGAGGAGAAGATGATTTGTCCTTCCATGGCCTCTTTCTTGTTCAATCAGGGTGATAACGATACTTCAAAACTGGTACGTGCTTGCTGTTAAGAGTAATTTCCCAAAACCCTGACCCTGGTGGTAATCAGCTGGGCCTTTCGTCTCTGATTCATGGAGATGTGTTTATGCTTTATATGACATCACATGAAGTCAGCTTGTGGCCACCCTTGAGACATTGATGTTGGAGGTTTCTCCAGAATAAAATTGTGATTTTATTGTTTTCTCGCGATGAAGTATATAATTATTCATCAAGGAAGGTTTAACTGTAATCTTTTTAGAGTTATATAAATCTGTGTTCCACCAACCCTTGTTTCCAAAGTACAGGCTTATAGGCATGCCCCAGCATGCTGACTAATACAATGGGTTATTTAAAACACCCAGATATAACTTATGTTGTAGTTTTGTTAAAATATTGATATGCTACAGTACATTACTGCGTTAATCAAAATTAACATCTGCAGCTCTTTGATAAGGGTGAGGTGTTTCATAACCCTTCAGCTCAGCCTTGTGGTCACGTGGATTTTTATCCGGGTCCTCTTCTCCCTCCACATTTAGAAATATGCGCTTCGAGTATTTGGCTGCTATAAACTTCTACATGATAAGCCACTTCGTTGAGCTATCATTTGTGGCCAGGTTGCTTTTGAAAAATAGCTACATAGCTCAGTGGACCTTACCTGGTAAAATAAAAAATAATTCAGTTTAGTTTTCTGGGAAGTGTCGCTTACACGTTTGGTTTCACGCAGGATGCCATGGCCATGCTAGAGAAGCTCAAAGGCGGCCGTCTGGCCTTTGATATGGATGCGGAGCCTCAACCCCTAGAAGATGACTACGAAGATGACGACAACGATGGCGGCGGTGACTTCGGGGTCATGGGAGACGATTTCAATGGTGACAACGGCGAGGGCGGGACGATCAACGAATTCAGGACCGGTTGCGCTGCCGTGGCTGGGAAGAGGTGTGAAACACCGAACCGTCGCGACCACACAACAGCAGAAGAGACCACCACATTCCTGTGTTATTACCGAGAATGGGAGAACATAGTCATTTGGACAAAACACATTCGGGCTTTAGTTCTTAAAATCCTAGTCATTTGAAAAATTTTCATAATTCTGTGTCACGATTTGTTATGGTCTTTCCTGTGTCATTTGTACTCCCCATCTCTGCTGTCTGTTTTATCTTGTTTGTACTTTGTGATCCTACTTATACTCTAATTTGTATTGTTTGATTTGTCCTTTTTTTGCTGTCTCATAATATCTCAATCTGTCTTGATTGTGCTGATCATGAGAAATAAAAAAATAAAAATTGGACGAATTGGACATAATTTATACATACTCATTTTAGTTGATCTAATTGTGTGAATGGTAGAGGTTTTTTGGTTAGATCGCATAAATATGTGTCGTTAAAACCCACCACCACTCGACACAGCCAATTATAAGGGTTGCACGTAAACAGAACATGCCAATTCGTCACTAGTACAGCACACCGGTGTGTTGGAGAGCCAAGCCACAACATTTACAATCTGAGTTTGACGTTTCGCCAGTAATAACAACTAGCTTCATAAATTACTTCATGTAATGGTGAGCAACACTTGCTTGGAAGTCACAAGTGATTATGGTTCTCGGACTGTGTTAAACATTTAGCTCCTAAGGTCTTGAGTTAAAGGACCGATTGCAGGTTTTTAGTGGGGAAAAAACAACCGTCATTGATATCACTGATGGTCGTCAGTCTAATTTTATTTAAGTATTGAATATCCGTTTACGTTTTAATTTGAGAGTAATGCTTAGCTGTGTTTTGCAGCAATGCTGTCATGAGGATTGAGAATGCTGGCATTGAGACAATGCGGGGACAGCTGTCTCTCCAGCCCAGCGAATACTCTTACTTTGATCCCAAGTTACTGTCAACCTGGGCAGGCCCTGACCATTGGAGGCTTAAGCCCATATATAAAGGTGAGTGGCCATGTGTAATATACTAATGAGCGAATCACTGATTTGTTTTGGCAACAACAACTCTCCACTTGCATCTGATGGCCTCAACTGTGGTTACTTTTTCTGTAATAGTAGTGCATCTCTTCCATATTCTACACGTCCCATTATTGTCAAAGTAGATGTTCTTGTGTATTTATGTATATATTTTTTCTTCTTGGTTCTTTCGGTAAAGTCTCGTAGAAGGGAAATAATAAAATAATAAAAAGAAAACCTGATAAAATAATTCTCACGACGTTTCGGCCACAATGCAAGAAGCCGTTCTCACGACGTTTCGGCCACAATGCTGTCATGAGGATAATTATTTTATTATGTTTTATTTTTATTATTTTATTAATTCCCTTCTACGTGACTTTACCGAGAGAACCAAGAAGATGAATCCCTGCAGTCACGAAAGCTTTAAATCGAAATTTATGTATATATTATCTGTTAATATTGATTCTGCAATTTTCTAGAGGTTGAACCAATTAATGAGTGGGAAAACTGGTAGTTTGGGGAATTGTGTGTATAGTTTTTACAAAATGTATTCATAGTAGACTGCAAAAGTCGTTGTATATGTCAAAATTGAGGGCTCCTTTCTGACCAAATAACTTTAAACAATATATGGAGTGACATGCATTTCAAAATATTGAATGATTGTGCTGTGCACATGTACTGTACACCGAAGGATGGGTTTGTCGAGTTTTAACTTAATTGTTGCGGTGATATTTGCGTGGGCTTTTTAATTTCACGTGTGTTTTTTTGTCCGTTACAGTTTCTTTATTGTCTGACAAAGATGTAACTAAAACACTTAAAGTGAAGAAGACGTTCGATCTCGACTTTGACCAAGAAATCAATTTGAATGAATTCAAGCAGTCAAAGGTTTGTGTGCAGTTTTAGTGGTTCAAAGTAAATAAACAGTTTTTGCTTTTCTATATGCTTTCTTTGCAGACAAATAGAGAAGAGTGTGTATATTGGATTTTTTTTAGTTAATGGGAATTTTTAGTTATGCAATGCAATGTTCATATTTAAAACTACATAAAAGCTTTCAACTGATCTATTATCAAAGCCTGGCATTCTGGTTGTCCCTAAACTAAATTATAGAGCCTCCTGAACCAGTATGATCAATTCAATTATTGTTCCATCAATTATTGTTTCAACCATTATCCATAAATACATAATATCCATCCATTGAGCATTTCTATTATAAAAGCCCAGCGTTCCGTTTGTCCGGCAACACATTATAAGAGCCTTTCAGGAGGCTTGATTAAAAAAATGATCCAACAGGTTTACAACAATTGTCAACCCCCCCCCATAAAAAATGTTCACCCCCAAAAAAAGAAATTTATTTTGCAGACATATATGCCGACACACCCTACATACAATAGTCAGGAGTATCTGCAAGAGAACATCAGTGGGGGCGATGGGCGAGGTGAGAAGCGCCAAGAAGCCCTCCGCAGGAGCTAGAATAAGTCGGCCACAAGCCGCCGAAATTCTAGTGTTTTACAAATGTGCATAAATGATGCACCAGTAAACAATGTAACCAAATAATTTAAGGTCACTGCCCTTGATAAAATATACTTGTGATGTATGTGCAGATCGGTAGCGTAGCGGTTAGCGTGCTGCGCTATGAACCTGGCGATTATCTGAACCGGTCCCGAGCCTCCCCTAAGTCGACTTGGCCTCAAATGAGTACCTGGTGCGATGTGTAAACACCATCACTAAGGAGACAGGCGGCCAGGCGTGGTGTTGGCCACCCACTCCCTCGTGTGCCGTGCCGGCCTTCATAGGTGCTCGCTAACAGCACTTGCCCCTACAGTCTGTTAAGGCTAGATGGGGGATCTTTGTACATTGCAGGCAGCTACAACCATCACAAAGACAACTGTGGAAAAATACAACATGAAATCAACGACCCTTCCGGATGACTTTCACTACGACCCGGAAAACCTTATCCGTGCGTTCCTCAGACCTTCGCTCAAGGTGAGTGTCCCACCTTTATCCAATAATCATAGTTCAATGATGATAGGTCACTGGGGTAGTTAAGAGTATTGTACTTGCATTCTGCTTCACCTTGGCATCAATCATCATTACGGTCATAAAAAAAAATTTCGCCCATGGTTGATACATTCCTCACAGTCTTGTGAATGAGTTGTTCCATTCCCGCGTGTCGCGCATCACAAACGGTTGTTCTGTTGCTGCAGCTGATGCGGGTCGTCCGAGCCGACATGGGCAGCAATCATGACGACGGCATCGCTGCGTACAACTACGATAATGCTAACGACGCCGCCAATTACTGCCCCGCGCTGCCGGTAAGTCACGGTTTACGCTTGGTGGGAGGCGGGGTCCTTGAATGGCCAGCAGGTGGTGACTTCGATGTGAGAGGATTTACAGGCAAACTTCATAAATCGCACATCTCCACTTTTGTCATTAATATCTGTCGACCGATTCCTAGTCTAAGTTAAGCATCTAATTATGGCGTGTACATAATTACAGTTTTCTCAATTAAAATAACCAAACACATGTGACAATTTATTTCAAACAGTGCTGTTAATACAGAACCACAAATGGCAGTAAATGAAATGTGTCTATTGTAAGAAGCTTATGTACTCGCGCTAATGTACACGTGTTGTGTTCAGGCTGCTGATGACGACGACGACGACGACGACGATGCGGGACCTGCATACGAGCCTGGACAATTTAACACCACAGACCAGACCCAGAACTTCAGCCAGACCATGTGCTTATACTCAGACTCCATGAACAACAACGCCACCTTCTACGGAGGAGACAATCTTGTTGCCGAGCCTCACAAGGTTAGAGTCTGCAGTCTCTCTCCCTTGGGTGTCCAACTTTACATTAATGTCCACAACTAAGGCCACATTCCCACTGTGGCAGACCCCTGTAACAACACTATTGTTTTCTAGTGGGCAGCATTTATGGATACATGCACATTGTGTATAAGAGAACATATATGCTATGCCCAATAAATATCTATTTCTGTTTGATAACTTTTTGTGTTTTAACTTAACTGCAAAACCCCTAAACCAGTCACTACTAAACTACCATACAGTGTATGAGGACCACTACCCAGATCTTTATGATTCTTAGACAAGATTTGCACTCAAACTTTTCATAAAGCATTTTTAATATGGTTAAATACACTTTGTTGCATATCTGCGAGATGTAACATGTGCGTTAGCAATGTATCCATGTGTGTTTGCTTGTTACTAAGCACAAATTTGATTGTCCTGTTGAGTCCCCTAACAAAAGGAATGCTTCCATTAAAAAACACTGGCTTTCTGAACTTGCTTTAATGAGCACGTTTGTTTGTGTGTGACGGACCTGGGCAGGTTAACAAGATTCTGCTTGATTATGCGAAAACGGCAAAGAAAATGGACGTCAAGAGGCTGAAGCAGAACATTTGGAATATGCTGACAATGCAGGAGGGAGACATGGTATGAACAACCTTTAATGCAATGGTACCTGGATTATATAGCGTAAAGAGGTGCCGCATTCAAATATTTTAATAATGCCGCTGTAATACTAGAAAACCCCACTGCTAATAAAGTATCGTTTTGGTGATGTGATTAGCCCAATACACCTGGCAACATACGTTTGAATCTCAGCCACGACTGTTTGATATTACTCACCATTATTGGTGAGTAATATCTCTACCCGTTGTCGGCACCCGCTTCATCATCCTACACTGACCAGCGTCGTGAAGTATGATCAAGGTGTGTTGGGGGAGATCTGCATCCAGTCGTGGATTGTCAAAGGGATGTAACTTATTTATACACTTTTAAACTGCTATATATTTACTGTATCCCTGTCAAACCAGTCCTGTGACTTAGTCTGTTAGGCGCTTGAAGGTGAAAGATACTGCAATGTGTGTGTGTGTGTTACGGAGGATGTGTTGATGGGTTGGTGGGGGTACAGACAGATGGCAAGCCATGGGGGGGGGGGGGGTGGCTGTCTCATGTGTCTGGCTGGTGGGCCCGAGCGCAGGTTGTTATGTCCAGGTGCTGAGCCTCGTGAAGAATAAGACCCTCCCTTGAGCACTGACTTGCTCACATCCCTAGGGACATACGCCTGAATTATCAAATATTGTTGAAAGTGTTTGATGTCTTTTTATATATTTAAAACATAGGGGCATACCTGATTTTTTTTTGCGTAATTTATTATGTTTATCCTTATAAAAATGTATCTCGACATATATTGGTGTGTGTACCTATCTTAGCAGACGTCTACAACATTTTTATTTTTGCATTGTTCCCACTCATGTGGTGTTCTGCCTTGGTGATTTCCTTTCTCCACTCAATCCTGTCCACGTGAACTCCACAGTCCTTCATGTCCTGATTCACCACTTGGAACCCAACTATTTCTAGGCCTCCCTCTCAGTCTCCACCTTGAGTCTTCCATGTTCATCACATCTTTCCGATTTGGTTTCCTTGTCGTATCATGGTATGTCCTACTCATCTGAGTAAATTTAATTTAAGCTTGTCCGAGATGGGGGTTACCACTCTTGCCTTCCTCATCTATGCAATTTTGAGCCGGTGAAGTATTGTAATCCCCGAGATCCATCTGGTCATCTTTGATTTCTGTGGAGCACATCTGTTCTGCTGTGGTTTTTAGCCTAACGTTCAGACCCTATGTTAATACTGGTCTTATCACTTTTATATACTCTCCGCTCATCCAAATGAGAGTCGTCTCACAAAACTCCACCTATTTCTCTGTAGTACTGCCCGTGCCTTTGGACCCTTGCTTAGATTTATTTATTCACACACATATCTCTGTATCTCTTTGTCACTTCATCTGTAGATTTGTGTCTCTAAATTTGTTTGAAAATTAACTTCGGCCTTATAGAAGGGGATCAATGAAAGAGCTGACTACTGTTTATTTAATTACACTAATTTAGCTCTGCTGTGTAGTAAGTACACGTGGAGATGTTTACATCCGAGTGGATTGGTTGTCATTGCAGGAAAGTTCACAACGTTAGGCGCGATATGTTTTCGTTGAATTTTTATACTTTTAACTTTATACTCGCAATGGGTTTTATTTATTTGTGGATCCTCAGAAGCTTGGTATTTTGTCAAGATTTTTTATACGTTAAATTATCAGCTGCTTGAGAGATTACCAGTTTAAACCAAATTGAATAGAAGTATCCCTAACAGCCCCATCACCTCCCTACTTGCTATTGTGTACGAGGTATTTTCTGAGACTTGTTGGCATTTGGTTTCCAGGCCAATGTATTTAGATTGTCCGTTAGACTTGGCAGTGCAAAACAGCGTAAGATGAGCTAAAGGGAGCGGCCCATGCCAGAGTACATACGACACGTTTTAACAAAATGTACGATGTCCCCGTGTCGTCCCATCATGGAAAAGTCATTGACAGCAAAGTTTAGCCTACCCTGGACAGTTTTAATCAACATGCTTTATTCTTGTTTTGTGAATGTAAAAGCAGCGTTTTAAAATGTGTTTCACCAAAAGTAAAATAAATTAAATATTGCGTTTATCACAATACTTGGGTTTAAATAATTATTTTCCCGACCGTAAATCCAGTGCTTTGTAAGGCAAGAATTTGTCAGTCATGCAAATGTATTCCCTGTGCTGTGATGTGGCCAGGAGATGGCAGTGCAGCAAATTGACTTTCGTCTATTTGTATGGAGCTTTGAGTGTTATTCCCTTTGTAGGTATGGTATTTCTCTGGGATAATCTGATTTACTCCCACACGAAACAATTAATGGCATTGTAATTGGCCAACTCTCCTTAAAAACTTGATATATAATTCGTTTGTGTGGTATGTTTTGTTGTATATTATGCAGCTGGCAAAACATTTCCTAACTCAACTGGCGCTGTGCTTGATTCCCCTACTCTAACCCACCTTGGCATTTTACCAATAGTTTTACAGTTTATTGGTTTCAAGGCAAGCTTATATTAAAGGCAAGGGCGATACATGTCTTTGTCTCACCATTAATGCCATTGCGTTTCATTCATAACCTGTGTAGATTAGTAGTCAAGTTCAAGATTTGCTTTGCATGGAAAAAAAACTTTCCCAACAGCTGCGCTTAAAAGCTTTAATAGCTACCGCAGTGCACATTTACAATTTAAAAACACCCAGATCAGGGGAGACTGCATTCCTCTAACACGTTGTTATTCTGCCTTGGTGCTTCATGAAGTTTTGTCTTTGTGTGGGTTTTTATATTGTATGCAGCCATGCTTTGTGCAAATACAAATGTACAGCTATAAATAAGAGTTAAACAGTGCATTACGTCTTCAGTGTGGGAACAGAAGCAGCGTTTGTGCTCTCTTTTATTGAATTAGTTTTCAAGGAGGACTTTTTGCTGAATTGCTGGTGGGGGCTGGGTGTTTTTTTTTTGTTACCCTTTAAGCAGAACAAAGAGTGGACTCTCATGGGCGCCTTTTCTTTGCCAGTGAAGATGGCTCCCCGAGTCATTAGGATGGTCAGGATGATGATAACCTGTCGAACTTGAACCGTTTAAATTTACCCTTGGACAGGAAAAAAGAAACAATGCTTGCTTTATCTGACTGAGCTTGGCTGCAGTATACAATCGATGTCAACCTGTGGCTTTTGAGAAAAAAATGGTTTCATCCAGCTGGGCTGGATCTTGTTTACATCCAATACAGAGAGACAAGCCATCATTCAAACGCGGTGTGGCGAAAGCGCGTGGTTTATTGTTTGCCAACACCACCAATGAAAACGTTCTCAACCTCACTTGGAAAGGGGACGGTTTAAAGAAGCGAACTTAAAATAAATATATAAAATCCCAGGGATTCAAATGTTCATAGAGAAGATGTTGGATATGGGGAGGGGGGTGAGGGGTGGTGCGGTTGGGAGCCTTCTGTTGATTAACCATACCCAGTGAGACGGAACGTTGTTATTTGCCTTAGGTTTAATGGAAGAGGATATAGCATGTTATCTGAGGCCTGTTGCAACTCGTCGATGGAGGGAGCCTTGAGGTTTTCTTGAAACTCTTTTAAACTTTGTACATTTTCAGTAATGGCAATACTGTACTGTACTCAACTCGCACAGTATCCCAACCACAACAAAGTCACTGGGTTAACGATGTAGTAATGATTGATGCGTCCAGCCCTTTCATTGCCATAATATTAAAAATACAGCTTAATTTAATGCATACCTAGGAACATTACAAATGTTTTATAAACTGTTATAAACTTAACGTAAATATTGTGGTGGATTGCACAATTTTTATATTAAAGTTGTCAACATCATTTTTCATTGTGAGACTGAATACACGGGCTACAAACAATGCTACACCCAAGCCCACGGCCAAACCTCAGGCTGGCATGACTAAAACCACTTTTCATTTTTGGTTAGAACATAAATCACTTGTCATGAAGTTAGTCAATGATGGGGTACCTGTCTAAATGTTCTGTGAATCTTACAAGCTGTTGCTATTATATCTACCATTCATGAGAAGGAATTCAACGTGTTATTTTACTTTGTCAAACCATCAATTTTCACATTACGGAAGTGGCTATGGCTTTTTCATAACCTTCTTAAGTTGGCTATTTATAGAATTAGCAATATGAGATTGCAAATGGTCAGATCGAAATTTAAAGTTTGGTTCCTCAGTCAATGTGGCTTTTTATACCGATGTTTTCAAGCAGCATTTGTTTTAAGTATACAAACCCTGGATTAGCAATATCAATGTATGAGTATCGTCAGCAGATGACTTGGTCTCAGCAGACCCTGTTCTCTTTACTAAAATCCACCAAGACTGCAGAATACATTTAATATAGTACCGTAATTTGTTTTCCATGCATCGGTGAATATTGTTGAAATCCCAGCCAAATAAATTAAAATGAAAACAACTAAATTAAAACAAATCACGGCGTTTCGAAGGCAACACAAGCCTCCGTCATCAGATGGCTGCTCCAGCAAAATTACTGTAGCGTATGAGAGGCTTGTGTTGCCTTCGAAACGTGATTTGTTTTAATTTAGTTGTTTTAATTTTAATTTATTTTATTTTGTTTTTTACCTACGTGACTTTACCGAAAAAAACAAATAGTATGGATCCTTGCAGTCACGAAAACTTCAAATCTAGAACAAACTGTTTACCAATTTTTAGGTTTTGAAACTTTTTTTATCACTGGAAATGGTTTAAGATGTAGGATTTGCCTCCTTTTTCTATAAAATCATCATCAGCCTTGATATGTTTACTGATAGATAAAGGCCTTCCTAAGCCTTCATACCTCCATCATGGAATGATGCCTCAATCATTGTGATATTCAAAAGAGATGATAAAACCGACGTTAAAAATTACAAACCTATTTTCCTTTTATTGCACATATATTTGTTACGTAAAGGAAATCAATATTTAGTTTATGATGACAAGTACATTAAAATGAATCGTTTTATTTTTCAAGAAGCCTCCTACAAAGTTACGTTATAAACTTGATTCGAAGCTTTCGTGACTGCAGAAATTACTCTTCGGTTATTCCTATCATTTAATTTATTTTCTTTCTCCGTGACTTTACCGAAAGAACCAAAGTACGTTATGATTCATTTAAGGTCTTAATGTAAATGAATCATTAATTTGTTTTGTGATCCTGAAAATGTGAACATGGGCCAGCACACTACGTTATGTTCAGTGCCACTCCTTATTCATCCCCCTGGTGTCATCAGAAGTTGTAGACGTTTTGCTATGACTCAACCCCAAGAGAGAGGCTTTCACAAACAAATCGCAGCTTGCGCACTCGCAGTGTGTGTGAGTCTATTCATTTGAGCTTCACATAGAGGTTGGATGCGATATATCGAGTTGGGGGTGGTTGAACGTTTTTCTGCAGTTAAAGGAGTTTGTCAAAACTTGCCCGAGTGCGGTGCATGTGGTCGACCCCACCTAAACCCCCTTGAGCTATTTTCTGTGCCGCTAATGCAACAGTCATCCCCATTACAGAAAGCCACGCGGAGCATTCCTGGAGGGGTTTTGTGGCTGCTTATGTCTGCAGCTCACGAAGACTGTGGTTGTGACACCAGAGTCTGCACTTGTTGACTTGTAGATCTAGATAGGATCCATTGCTGTTGTTATGTGGCGCCAATCTCAAGTTATTCTCTCCCCATTCTTTACACTGAAGTACACGTGTGTCTTGATATTTGTTTTATTCAAATGCAAGAGAAAATGTGCCATTTGAACATTGTGTTCCGACTATGCTACACATTTTGTGTGTGTGTATATAATGCTACAATATGGGGAGCAGTGGCTTAGTGGTTAGCGCACTGCGCTATAAATCCTGACCACAACAAAAATTTCTACGGTTCTAGGATTCTCCATAATTGAACTCAGCTGTGAATATTCAATCTTAATTTTGGAGCTTTCGTGACTGCAGGAATTGTTCTTTGGTTCTTTCGGTAAAGTCACGTATAAAGATAAAATAATAAATTAAATAATAGCATACGACGTTTCGATTGCAACACAAGCAATCATCATCAGGTATAAATGAAATAGCAACAAAATTAGTTTTTTGTTGCTATTTCATTGGTTGTGTTGCAATCGAAACGTCGTATGCTATTATTTATTTTATTATTTTATCTTTATACGTGACTTTACCGAAAGAACCAAAGAATAATCAGCTGTGAATGTATACACGGTGTGTTGTGTAAAAATTTGCGCTGGAAAACAAATGGTTAGCCAGGTATGCCATTCCATCCTTAATAATTATAAGTGCTCGAGAACAACATTTAAATCTATAGTCTCTTAACGGCTATGTGAGGGATGTTTCTATGTTTTAGAATGTGTTTTATGTATATTATTTAGTGTATGGAAGACTGGCCAAATGTATTGAGTCCCAGTAACTGCAGTTCAGTTAAGGCTCATAAACACATTCCTGCGGAGGGAGCTGGTAGGAACGTTGGGTTGCTCGGTCAATGGCCAGGGTCAACGGCGGCGTGGTGTATTCCGCAAATATGCCCGACTGTGAGGGCGGGCACTAGCCGGCGTGAGTAGGTTAAACGTTGAGTTTTATAAGGGCACCACGGGGTGACCAGCCCCTCCCCACCCAGCCCCACCCCCCACCCAGCCCCTCCCCCCACCCAGCCCCTCCCCACCCAGCCCCACCCCACCAAGCCCCACCCAGCCCCACCCAGCCCCTCCCCTCCCTCCCCACCCAGCCCCTCCCTGCACGACGGACGGACGGACACAATAATCCCCTGTGGGCTGGTGTAACCAGGAGGTTCCTACCAGTAAAATCTATATATTATACAAAACACTAGCAGTTCAAAATGTTTAAATATAAAAACCGCAAATCAATTTGAATAAACATTTCTTAATGTGTTTTTGTAAGCAATGTTTATATCTTTTTTAGAATAATGCAAATGAAAATGAAGAAGCAAAAGTCTCCAAAGAAATTCTCTTTTCAGAAATGTACAAAGAACTACCCGCCAGGTGAGAATCAACGCACTTTTTCACAAATACATTAAATTGTCCATAAAATGCCATGTTTGTATAGTTACACTCTCAAGTTATAACTGTTACTTACATCGTATAGTAATTCCCGTGGCTTGTGAAACTGCTCTGTATCGTGACGTGTGGATATTGCTTCCCCAAGGTTACCCATCTCGATGTCTAAGAACCTGTCGGTGCCCATGGCGTTTGTCTGTCTCCTGCACCTGGCCAATGAGAAGGTAAATGTTTTACACATTACCAAACTTCATAATTCTGTTCATACGGCTATTAATTAGAAATTATAGGATGCAATTTCAACGATGAGTAAGGAAGGTAGGTCATCTTCTTGGTTCTTTCGGTAAAGTCACGTAGAAGGGAAATGATAAAAATAAAACATAATAAAATACAATTCTCACTGTTTTATTTTTATTATTTTATTATTTCCCTTCTACGTGACTTTACCGAAAGAACCAAGAAGATGAATCCCTGCAGTCACGAAAGCTTTAAATCGAAGGTAGGTCACTGAGTATTTAGGACTGATGTATGTGTCCTAGGGCCTACACCAAATCACCCGCAATGCGCCAGGTAATTTGATCTCTGTTCTAAGCAGGGTTGAATCTGGATTGTGCTTTGATGGGTGATCACAATGCATGTCATGGTGGAGTATGATTATACTGGTAGGAACCTCCTGGTTACACCAGCCCACAGGGGATTATTGTGTCCGTCCGTCGTGCATCCAAAAATGGGAGGGGTGGGGCTGGGTAGAGAGGGGAGGGTGGGGAGGGGCTGGGTGGGGAGGGGAGGGTGAGGCTGGGTGGGAGGGGTGGGGCTGGGTGGGGAGGGGCTGGTCACCCCGTGGTGCCCTTATAAAACTCAACGATTAACCTACTCACGCCGGCTTGTGCCTGCCCTCACAGTCGGCCATATTTGCGGAATACACCACGCCGCCGTTGACCCTGGCCATTGACCAAGCAACCAAACGTTCCTACTAGCTCCCTCCGCAGGAATGTGTTAGCCCCCGTCTAGGGGGGGGGATAGTCCTGTGTACGTATTTCTCATGATGATGTTTTCTTTTTTCTCTCCAAAGAACCTGGTGATCTCTGGACAAGAAGACCTGATGGACCTGAAAATAAATCAGGACCTTAGCTAATAGCCGACGTACAACTATGTTACGTCTGCTTGTACAGTCTCCCAGCAATACTGTTCAATGCATTTATATTGTAATACAGAATGTACATGGGATCATCGTTTTTAAATCTCTATTTCATGGTGGGCTTTAGGCAGAATTATTCTGAACAGCAAATATCTTTGTAATGTTCATATTTTTAAGGTAAATGGCCATTGGAAGTATTTTTATAAGAATAATCGCTAGTACTGTTTTTATATCAACAGAGAGAGAGAGAGTAAATTGTAATTGATTTTAACTATATACAGTCGTTAAAGTAGAAAATGTGAATACTGCAATGTAAATGGCAGGAATTAATCTTTTTAATGTATTACCTGTTTTCACTAGTTTGAGTCGTATTCATTTTTGTATTTGTCAATATATCCACCTTCAATCTATCACAACTTTACAGGCGATGTCTCAAATGCTTTGGCACAAATATTTATCGGCGCCAATGCACCCCGAATATCCAACCATGACATTGAAGGGAAATCGCTTACTCAGTGGGGAGAAGTGACATGGCCTTGCGGTAGCACGTTCACCACTTGTTGCAGTTCGAATCCGGCAGCTGCCCTAATTATTCCTGTGGGTATTATCAATACAAGTCGTCTGCTTCAGAGTTGACATTAAAGACCCCCCCCCCCCATTATTCGCAAGAGTAGACTATTGTGTACCTGCGTCTGGGTTAAAATTTGAAAAAAAAATTAACTTATCCACAACTTGCTCAATTAGGATTCTACATAGCAAATCATTGCCTCCTACTGGCAGACTAATTCCGGTCTTCAGGCAGGCCAGATGCCGAGTCACCCGCAGGGACAACTGCCACTAGGGGTGGCCTTTGAAATGTGTGAGATATGCTGTAAATCGCCATGAGATACCCAAGCGTATAGGGCACGAATGAATGAGCTTTATTACATACTCCATTTCAGTGTTCTTTTTCTCGTGCACTGAACTTGATTGGTCTGGCCTGCCTGTGGCTACTGGGGTCTTTGTTATGGTGATTACACAAGCAGCTTTACAATACTTTAGCTTGTCTTAAATCGTGTGAAAAGTTATCCTTTGGTTGTAGAGGCTGGAAACGTACATGGTCTGGTGTGGCACTGCGCCAATGCTTGCTGCCTGCCATACTGTCCCAGGGTCGAATTCCTCCTTGTGCTTTTTGTTGAAGCCTGCATTCAATTACACCTTCATGTGGTATCTGTGTAGAATAGCCAGTCTCAATAGTGCCTTGTGCCAAGAGAGCAACATTTTTTTACTTAAATATATAGCCTTGTATTTATAGACCGCTGTGATAGGTGCAAGATTGGAGGGTTTCTTTTTATAAAAATGGATTGAATGATTGCATGCTCACAAGTAGGCATTTCAATGCATTTTTCTTCATATTTTCCTTCCGCTCTTTCCCACCAACACAGCTCCAACATCACAGGTAGCTAGGTTTGTGACTGTTCCCATCCATGCTTTTAAAAGTAAACTTTTATCCAAGTGGACCTGGGGCTGGGTCTTATGTCAATGTTTTATTTGACCACTTTTTTGTAATAAAATTAGTGCGAATATGAAAGTTATTGATCTTTGAGTCCTGAGTTTAGTAACGCTGTGGTTGCAAGTTATATGCAGTCATGTCAACGAATGACTTTCTGAAGTGGACGATTGTGCATAATTTGTTTACATGGAGGGCTGAAAGATCAAAGCACTAGAAATGGATGGCCTACGGTATTTATATTCTTAGGTTTTTTCGGTAAAGTCACGTAGGTAAAAAATGAAAATTAATAAAAGTAAAATAAAAATCTCGACGTTTCGGAGGCAACACAAGATTCCGTCTTCAGGTGGAACCGTCACAGCACGATAGCTGTATCAAGTCAGATACAGCTATCAAGTGAGATACAGCTATCGTGCTGTGACGGTTCCACCTGAAGACGGAAGCTTGTGTTGCCTCCGAAACGTGATTTTACTTTTATTAATTTTTTACCTATGTGACTTTACCGAAAAAAACCTAAGAATATGAATCCTTGCAGTCACGAAAGCTTCAAATCTAGAACTGCAGTATTTATTTACATGAGAACGATCAGAAAGTTTTGAATGGCAAGCACTTGCAAAGAACATGTTTAATGTTCAAGACATCGATTTGGTAGCTTGACCTCTGGAAGTTCAATGTGCTGACCAATACACCATGGCAGCATTCCCTCACCACTGCATATATTGATCCTTAAAGTTCAACCGAACGAACATGTGGTCCGGTCATCATCATGAAGCCGCCCCACCCCGACTGACCCCACCCACGACTGCCGTGCCCCATGTCCCCCTTCCACACCACCCACACAAGCCCCACCCTGTGTCCGGAGGAAGGGGGCAGGGACTAAAGAAGGTGGGGCCCAAAGAGGAAGGTGTGGGCCTTAAGGATTATGGGAGTGGGGCAGGAGGAAGGGATGGGACCTACAGAAGTTTAACGTCCCTGTTTTAAGGTTATAAACATTCCTGCGGAGGGAGCTGGTAGGAACGTTTGGTTGCTCGGTCAATGGCCAGGGTCAACGGCGGCGTGGTGTATTCCGCAAATATGCCCGACTGCCAGGGCGGGCACAAGCCGGCGTGAGTGGGTTAAACGTTGAGTTTTATAAGGGCACCACGGGGTGACCAGCTCCTCCCTGCACGACGCACAATAATCCCCTGTGGGCTGGTGTCACCAGGAGGTTCCTACCAGGAGTACGACTATAATGAGTCAAGAATGTGTGTCCCGTGCGTGACGTCACTACATGAGGCCCACCCCCCCCTTCATTAATATTCATGAGCAAATTTTTACACCAACGCAGCGGAAGGGCAAGCTAAATTTATTACGCAAAGTCGCTTCAAATGCGACGTTTCTTTACAGAAAGTGACAGTAAAAAATAAATCTAAGCAGCACAGTGCTACATGTGTGACGTCACCGCAAAAGAGCCGCCCCCCCCCCTCATTAATATTCATGCCCGCGTGGAAATGTACACGAACGCACAAGGTCGCGCACTCCACATGCCGAACCCCTCCCCTCAGTAATAACCATGAGCGGTTCACTCCACATGCCGCACCCCTCCCCAATAACCATGAGGTTGTGACGTCACTCCACATGCCGCACCCCTCCCCAATAACCATGAGGTTGTGACGTCACTCCACATGCCGCACCCCTCCCCAATAACCATTAACGGGTGATGTCACTCCATATGGGGCAACCCCCCTCATTAATAATCATGAGCTGAACTATTTTTCTATTGAATAGAACAATTTTTCTATTGAATAGAACAATTTTTCTATTGAATATTTCAGATTTACTGCCATATACACCCGCCCTTGGACGGGCAAAAAGGTTAGTAATATAATAAGCCAATAATGTGTGTGTGTCCCGCGCGTGACGTCACTCCACATACCGCACCCCTCATTAATAATCATGAGCGGGTGACGTCACTACATGGGGCACCCCCCCCCCCCCTCATTCACAATCATGAGCGGATGACGTCACTTATGTCTACCCCGCCCCCACCCCCTCATTAGTAATCATGAGCGGGTCATTATTTCCGATTGAATATTTCAGATTAACCGCAATTTTCACAATATACACCCGTCCTTTTGATAAGAGTTGGAGACTGCACTTTGCACCATGAGCACTACGCTTACAAACAATTATGATGGCCAGTTTTTCAGTTGACATGAATAAGTTACACGAAGTAGCTATTGGTTCACAGGCACATTCCGATAAACCTTTTTCTTCTTACACAATGTTCCTGATTATGGCACGCGATTGGTTCGAATCATCCACGTGTCGTTTATTTCCATTTGAAACGTATTAACTGCATCCAGCATTCGCTTATTCGACAATATATAAAAACTATGACACGCACTTTTATATTCTGTTGCCAATTTTCGGCATGTATCTCGCCACATTGGAACACAGAAAGAAACGCATGGATTACAGCACGTACGCAGGTTGAAGATTTCATTCGAAGTGTGAAGAAAAGTCAAATGGGCTTAGACAGAGCACGTCACGGCCAGAAGGGATGATGATGATTGATGATGATGATTGATGTTTGATGATGATTGATGATGATGATCGCCGACGGTCGAGTCGAGAATAGTAACGGGATGGCAGCCATGGAATGGAACGCGTCTGAGACGGCGGTGTCTGCCAGGAAATCAGAATAAAAAATCATCATCTTTATATTCTTGGTTCTTTCGGTGAAGTCACGTAGAAGGGAAATAATAAAATAATAAAATAAAATTATTGCTTTATTTAATAAAATAAACTATTTCTTTTATTTCCCTTCTACGTGACTTTACCGAAAGAACCAAACATATGAATCCCTGCAGTCACGAAAGCTTTAAATCGAAAATTAATATCATCAACTTTATTCTGGAGAAATCCGATGAGCTATGAAGCTCTTGTTTTTCCTTCACGTGTCCGGTAGAGTCGAGTCATGAAGTTACAACAACAAACGTGACTTTACCGAAAAAAACCTAAGAGTATGAATCCTTGCAGTCACGAAAGCTTCAAATATAGAATTAATGCACAGTATAGGCACGGTAAGCAAATCACGAAAAATAAATAAACTGTTACTAAACCTTTTATTTTACTTGATAAATCCCACAGAACAATTATTTGTATTTCAGAAGCGACCTGGCCACAAATTATAGCTCAATGAAGTTGCTTATGCCGTGGATATTTATTGCAGCCAAATAGTCTAAATGCAAGTTTCTAAATGTAGAGGGAAAACCCGGAAGACCCAGAGTAAAATGCACGCGACGACGACGGAAATAACACGCAAACTCCAAATAGACAGCAGGCGTCAGTCAGGATGGGACCCACGACCTCCTCCATACCAGGTGAGGTAGTTAACATCTCGCCATGGTGTCTGTCGGTGCTGGATGGATTGTGACATCGCAGGATCGTGAGAGGCGGTGGTGGTGGCGGGTTGAGAGTCCTTCATCCAGCAGATGATTGACCACGGCTCATGCTGTTGTTGATATGCTATTCATAAAGTACACATTTTGAGTCCACGTAAACACATTCCTGCGGAGGGAGCTGGTAGGAACGTTGGGTTGCTCGGTCAATGACCAGAGTAGGTTAAACGTTGAGTTTTACTGTTAGGAATAACCTGGTTCCACCAGCCCACATGGGATTATTTTGTCCGTCCGTCGTGCATCCAAAATTGGGAGGGGTGGGGCTGGGTGGAGGGTGGGGAGGGGCTAGGGTGGGGAGGGGCTAGGGTAGGGAGGGGAGGGTGGGGAGGGGCTGGGTGGGGAGGGTGGGGCTGGGTGGGGGGTGGGAGGGGTGGGGCTGGGTGGGGAGGGGCTGGTCACCCCGTGGTGTCCTTATAAAACTCAACGTTTAACCTACTCACGCCGGCTTGTGCCTGCCCTCACAGTCGGCCATATTTGCGGAATACACCACGCCGCCGTTGACCCTGGCCATTGACCGAGCAACCCAACGTTCCTACCAGCTCCCTCCGCAGGAATGTGTTATAAGGGCACCACGGGGTGACAGCCCCTCCCCACCCAGCCCCACCCCTCCCACCCCCCACCCAGCCCCACCCAGCCCCACCCAGCCCCTCCCCACCCAGCCCCTCCCCACCCTCCTCACCCAGCCCTTCCCCACCCTCCCCACCCGGCCCCACCCTCCCCACCCAGCCCCTCCCCACCCTCCCCACCCAGCCCCTCCCTGCACGACGGACGGACGGACACAATAATCCCATGTTGGCTGGTGTAACCAGGAGGTTCCTACCAGTATTAATGTTCCAGAGTACGTTAATTGGAATCAACGGCACTTATTTAAATTAAACAGAGTAAACTGGAAATCCGGAAACATCTTGGAAATGAAATTCATCCTGCTCTCTTACATTCTCACCTGGTTCAAGAATGGTTTGTTTTTATGTTGCTGGCATTGACAGGAATTGTGATCAAGTCAATAGCGGTAATATTTGTCCCAAAGCGATATATGTCCTCACTGAAACTTGGCCTCTTTAAAAAAACAACAACCAAAGAACAGACTCTACGTGTTTGGCTCCGTCGTTGCCACGCGAACCGATTTTAAACAAAAACAGCATCTCCATCAAACGCGGTGGGAAGGTCACCGAGGTTTTTGAGCCCAATTCCAGAGAAGAGACCTGCCACTCCCTTTCCCACCCGTCCACTCACAGCCACCCACAGCCACCCCCGGCCCACGCCACCCCCATTAACCCCAGCCCAGCCCAACGGCAACTTCACATCTCCCCTCGGTGCGCACACACAAATTCAAACTCGCCACACACACAAGTCCTTATTTGTGCACTTTCCCTTTTCCGGTGAGAGGGGGTGTACCACCTGTACCTCCGCCCCTCGTGCCTGCCCGGGCAGCTCCTGCGGAAAGCTCAGGTGCGTACCTGTGGCTGCCCCCCCCCCTCGCCCCCCACCACACACCTGTGCAACACGCGTGCATTCCTCCGCGCTGACTGTACGACCGCGTCGATCGCACGAAGTCTTAAGTACGGGGTCGGTTTGCTCCGAGCTGCCAGAACACGCGTTGCGCGACGGGCAAGTGCGACGGAGATTTCGTGAGTAGAGATTGAGAGAGGGGGTGGTGGAGTGTAGTGGGGGGGTAGACCCCCTGGTACCCCGTGTGTGTGACGGGATTGATCGCTGGGTCCGGGTTGCGTAAGGTCTCTCGCTCGGTTCGCTGCCCGTGTGTGTGGACACTTTATTGCAGGTTCGGTCTTTGTCTCTTTTTTTAAATGCCCATCGGCTCTAACGTGGGGGGATTTTAATCCAGCATAAAATGGACTCGATTAGAGGAGTGCACTTTGGACAACTGTTGCATGTGTCTCAAATCTGTCGTGTTAACATTTAAAGAATTTTCAATGTTTATTTACTATTATTTGTGCGTTTAAAGATATTTGTTGAAACGTTTTTCCACGAAAATTCTTCGTGAATTCATACGGTTGCATTATTGTGCTGTTTGGGTTAAGAAGCCAATAGAGAAATTGTGAAATATCTTGATGAGAGTTTTGATTTATAATTATTTTTTTTTATTTGACATGTCCAGTGTCAAAGAATGTCGAATGTTATCCCGTTAAGTTTTTATTTATGTATATATGATAATACTTACAAGAAAGGGTCACTTTTCAGAAATTACATTGTTTTAGCTGCGCTTATGCAGCATACACAAAGTACTAAATCCTAAATTGATATTTTTACAGTTAATAAATGGATGCAAAAAATTGAGCAATTGTTCTTCATCGTGTGTAAATGTAATGAGTGGTATTCACTACATTCGTCTGGGCAGATTGAATTGTAGAGTTGAATCCTTGCCATCTTAAACTCTGCTATGCTGCGTGCATGAACCATCGATAGATTGTTGTGGCCACATTCCCGTGGATCTTATCCAGTTTACTGCATACATGCAAGTATGTATGTTGAACTTCTTTCGCACCGTACATAGCCATGCATGAACCAACCGTGCTAATACGTGCTCGCATGTGCCGAGTAGCGAACATTTCTATAACAAGTCTTTACCTTCATCAGGCTTGTACCGACGCAACTATATTGGACAACATTGTATCGTAGTTATTAATTTCGTGTATGTTGTGAGCGTAGTTAATATTGCTATTATCAGCTTTGATTGTATTTCGTTTGGAATGTGTTCATATTTGTGAATCTAGTTTTTTTTGCGCAACGCTTTGAGACTCGGGTAAGAAAGGTGCTTTACAAATATATATAAACAATATTATTCTTAATATTATTAATTCGTTTCTGTTAAAATCGCACGACTGTGTTTGACTGACCGGGTCACTGCGCACGCCGTGTTTATTTGCTTTTACATCAACGCAAACGGCTCTCGCTGTTGCCGAGTGGCAGACGCATCCGTTGAACTAAAATCGCGTGTTCCATCTGCATGCACGTGGAACTTCCTTCGCACCGTACGTAGCCGAACCGTGCTAATCTGACGCGCTGGGGAAGGACAACAAACTGCGAACACGCAAATCTGTTCTGAAGGAATGCGTTTTCAATCTAGATTTAAAAGGCCATAGCTCCGGCGGCTTCCTAATATCGGAATGCAGAGACGTTCCAGACGGCCGCAGAAGCGCATCTGAAAGCGTCGTGACGCAGTGGCCGTCTTTGTTCGATGGCCAGCCGCAAGTCGCCGCTTGCGAAGATGATCGGAGTTTGCGTGATCTTCTTATGCCTTCGGCAGTACTCAACTCAACCCAATTAGTCTCTATGGTCAAGGACATGGTACTATCTCCTGATGATATCCTCGTCAGTTTTGACGTAGTATCTCTGTTCACCAAAGTTCCAGTGCCTGACACCCTAACAATAATTGAGGACTTGGTCCAACATGGATTGAATCCACCTGATGACGGAGACTTGTGTTGCCTCCGAAACGTCGTAATTTTTATTTTATTTTTATTAATTTTAATTTCATTTTTTACCTACGTGACTTTACCGAAAGAACTAAGAGTATGAATCCTTGCAGTCACGAAAGCTTCAAATCTAGAATGACCTACCTCTGCTTGCTTACTTTACGTCCTTTTTTTCAGATCTTGCGATTGCCTTAATCTGCTGGGAGTCGCACGAAGCAAGGGAGAGTTGTTCTGACAGCAGCAAGCGAGAGGCCGATCGCTGCGCGGACATGGCAGATCTGGAAAGAGTTTTAGGTACGGCATGGCGAGCGAGGGCGTGGGGAACAGACTTCGTTTGACAACACTCCTTCGTCCGATGTTAACGTGACATTTTATTGAGGGACTGCTGCTGTGTGGTGTTATCCTGGTGTGGCCTGGGACTGTGTTGTTGCTGTTGCTTTGTTTGCTGCCTTGCCCGAGCTTGATAAATCGGACTTGTAGAATTAATGTATTTTTATTTAGTTACTTACAGTCCTTAGCTTTTTTTCTCTCTCTCTCTCTTTTGCACTCCTATCGTTTTTTTTTTGCATCGTTTGCTGTTGTAACTTGCCGACGCTCCCATACTGGACATCTGTCAAAAAGAGCTTCATAGCTCATCGGATTCCTTCTTGCAGGCTAAATAAAAATTCTTATTCGGACCCTTCACTCACGCGCTGCTCACTGCGGATTTGTGAATTCGGTCGCTGGATTCGGTGCGTCGCTGCCCTAAACCACCGAGCCGCCGATTCTCCACCCCGTAAAAATAAAAAAGATACCGTCGACAATTCAGCGAAATGCAGGAAGCGCAAACTCTAACGCAACCGACCGCATGTCGCAGACACGGTGCTTCCGTGTAACTTACAACGTGAAATGTGACAACGCTCGGGACAAAATCAGGTTGCGCAAATTCAAATTTGTCTTAAATAAAAAAAATCACGTGTTGCATTATACAGCTGTTTGGCTCTTTGTTGGTATAATACTGACAGGATAACGTGTTGTCACTTTGCCCAACAGAATCATTGCTGAATCCAAGCCCAGTCAAGACCGACCACACCATAGACCTGGGCTATGGCTCCGGTGAAGGTAACACGCTCAACACTTTACCGTTCACACATTGATAAACACGCGAGCAGGCACGTCAACGCTCGTCAATTGGACGACAACACATTGACATAGATAGATAGAGAACCGCAGAGCTTGGGGAACGGGAAGAGGGGAGTGGCATTTGGCACCGGCTCATCGTATGGCTACGACTGCTGCCTTCCCCGCAATGTCCGTGGTTCCTCCGCGCGCCTCTGCACTTTTTAAAATCCACATTGAAAACTCATTCCGTGAGGAGGGCTTTTTGTGTTCATAGTTTGCTGTCCTTCCTCCGGCACTTCCGATTAGCACTGTTGGCTACGTACGGTGTGAAGGAAGTTCAACGTGGATACATCCTCGATTTCTCTCTCTCCGCGAGAGTGAACGGACATTGTGCGGTGGTGCAGTATTACAAGTGCACGTTGTTGTTGTTATTGCGACTCGCCATTATTATTTTGCACTTACTTCCCTGAGTTGGGTGGTGGGTGCGGGGATGTGTGTTGTTATTCACAACTTTGTGTGCGACGCCCAGAGATGCTGTCGAACCATGTACGCGACACTTGGCGTGACTTAAGCAAACATCGCTTCCACTAAAGCCGACTGATCTGTGCGCTCGCTTATTAAGCACCCCGGTGTAAACTCGGTTGTCGCTTGTCTGGGATACGTGCACTACCCGGCAAGGTTTAAATCCCGGAACGATTGTTCCGGGATGTAAATCGTGGCACGCCACTCACCAACATCCCATCTCCGGTGGTGGTGGATCACCACACAGATGAGCTGTGGAACTCTCTTCCCCATGGGCGTCGGGAAGGTGCCACACCCTCCCTCGCCAGGATAAGGCAGTACTAGACGCGGGCGAGATTCGCGATTTCAGATGCGCTTCTGCGGCCGTCTGGAACGCTCTTCCTTCCGAAATTAGGAAGCCACTGGAGCGATGCACTTTTAAATCTAGATTTAAAACTCATTTCTTTAGAACTGCTTGTTGTTGTGTTTAGTTTGGTGTCCTTTTCCCGCACCTCCAATTGGCACGATTGGCTACGTATGGTGCGAAAGAAGTTCAACATGCAGTACATACAGTACATATTTTTGACATCTGTACGGGGATAGAGTGTTGCCCCCTTGCGTGCACGTGGATTTTTTCCGGGTGCTCCGGTTTCCTTCCGCTTGTATACTAAACACTCACCATGACTTGCCTGAAAACATCTTGAAATTAAAAACCCAATGGAGCAGCCAGACCCTCCTGACAACGTGCCCTACAACTGAGCGTGACTTTCGCGGACAATCAAGTGGAGTAAACCTCACCCACCTTTAAATGTGTCCTCCATTGTACCCGACATTTATTTAAAAAAACAAAAACAAACTTGTTCACGTGGGAAACAAGCATTGTAGGATTGTTGTGGACAACCCGTTCCTTTGTCCTCGAGTGATCACCTCCGATTCCTAGGAAGTCGAGAGCATTTTGAAGTTGCCCCTCGGAAAACGTTGAGCGGCGACTGAAACCTCGCCGTGTCCCACCGCTCTTCTTAATCCCCGTGGTCACCTGCGTTCGGCACTACATCAAGCAACAACGATGGCCAACAAAGTTCGGGATCTCGCGTTGTTATCATGGATGCGGCGTCGATGATGTTACCCTCGTGTTACCCTCGCGTAACCCCCTCCCCCTCCCTCCCCATGTGCTCTCTCGTCCTTAACGCAGGCGACTTGTCTCAGCTGCCCCAGCAGAAGACCGTCATTAAAAAGATGACTTACACCAGCCAGTCGGGAGGCGGTGAGTCCACGCGCTTTATTTGCACAGGGCACGTACGTATCAAATACGGAGGGGACCCGCGAGCCGCCCCTTGCCCCCCGAGCGTGGCTCATTCTCACGGCCGCGCCGTCGCCCCGCGTCACGACGCTGCCGGGAACTTCGCCCGTGCAGTAGCCTGGGGTTGAACACGGGTGGCGAGATGCCAACTGCCTCGACTGGTATGCAGGACGTGGCGGGTTCGATCCCGACGCTGACGCCTGCTGTGTGTTTGGAGTTTGCGGTGTTTCTCTCTCTCTCTGCCCGTGGTCACGTGGATTTTTCTCCGGGTCCTCCGGTTTTGCCCTCCACGTTTTGAATCAACGTCACGCGTTTGGAGAATTTAGCTGCGATAAATTTCCACGTGAAAAGCGACTTCGTTAAGCTATCATTTGTGGGCAGGTCGTTTTTGAAAAAGAGCTATGTAGCTCAGTGGGCCTTCGATGGTAAAATACAAATTATTTGGTTCAGTTTTAGCTCTATTGATTTCTTTTTAAAATCTTAGTTGCTGGACGTGGGCCCGGTGGGCTGTAACACAGAGTAGTTGGCAACCTAGAGCATTGTTTAGGGTACAGCAGACAGCAGATCAAGAACGATTGCCTTTTTCTTGCATTGAGCAAGGTTGCAGGACCTGCCGCTAGAGGGGACGTTGACCGATGGTCAGGAATAACGGAGCGTGTCTGTCGAGGGATTGAACTCGGCCGAGGAGACGGGCAATTAAATCAGCTCGTGTGCGAGTGCTTAGTGGACGATGACATCGCAGGACTGAGAGGGATGGGCGATGGCTTGGGGAGGGTTACATCGATGGTCGGCGGTGATGATGATGACGATGGCAGGTGTGCTCCAAAGCCATGAAATCAGAGCACGGATGCAAGTAGAGCCGATAAGAGCGTGTTTCTCTAATTGAGCGAGGTTCTAGGAGAACAATCGTAGGGGAAAATGGACGATGGGAGGGAGTTCCAAGTCGAGCAGAGCGGGCGGTTTGGAGGAGGAAGTGAAATGATTTGTTTCGTGATGTGGTGGAGGCCCCCGGCTGGATGAGACGTGAAGGTCAACCCGGTAGAGTGAAGCCTTGGCGTGACTGATGAGCACGGTTGGCTATGTATGGTGTGAAAGAAGTTCAACATACATACATACCTCCAATTAGCACGGTTGGCTACGTACGGTGTGAAAGAAGTTCAACATACATACATCCAATTAGCACGGTTGGCTACGTACGGTGTGAAAGAAGTTCAACATACATACATATGACTGGAGATATCAAGGTGTGAAGTTCACGAGAATAATGACCATGGTAGTTACGATAAAAGTGTAACCAAATCTGAACTGGTCACATGAGTTGTACTTTGGGGTTCGTGGAACCAAAGCCTCCTGTGAACACGTGTAATGGGTGGGTGGGGGTAATTGATGTCTTCTGTTTACCGAAGAAAGCGTCACTGAGTTTCAGGAGTTTTTTTTTTCAGGAGGGACCTGTGTTGAGATGTTTGGCCAATTCCGTTCGTCAACGTTTGGCATGTGGGACATTTTTACAGAGAAAATCCACGCCTTGCGCGGGGATCACAGTCAAAGCTACACACAAGGTCGCTTCGAGAATCCATTGCTGTTCCGTACTCTCCAGGCCCTCTGGCCGCCCGGCGGGTTTGGGAGTTTCACAAATATCCATGTCCGTTGAACACGTAGGCTTTCGCGACCAATATTATCCATAATAATAAAATGAAAAAGTGTAATATTGCGTCAATATAAATATGTCGTTAACCCACCAATCACCTGAGCAAGGTTTTGTTGTGGGAGAACAAAACGTGGCAATGAGTTAACTACGTCCACGTGATTCGCCAACCCACGCCTCCAACGCGACGGGTTTGCATACCTGTCAACCCACACGGTTTACCACTTATTCTTGTACAGCAGGGAATATTGCGTTTTTAGATCCATACGACGTACAGCCGTTTCAATCGGGGCACATTTTTTTTGTCTATTTGTTTGTGTTTTTCCCTTGTGATGGGACTTTGTAGGATGAACGTTGAGATTTATATGGGCACGGGGTGACCAATAAGGTTTGTAATGAGGTAGGGTACTGATAAGGGGGTGACAGGTATATGGGTTTGCGAACCCCCCAAGTCGGGACCACCTGGGCGAGGAAACCCTCGCCTTGTGAAACGCGTTCTGAAATGGGGGGGGGGGGGGCTCACTAAATTTGTGGGAGTCCACCATGGCTGTCGAACTCGCGTTCGGTTGTTCTCATGCGTGAAAAATAAGTCTCGCGTTGGAACGGGAAGCCTCCAGCGACGACGGGGCTGCCAAGTGATGGCGGAAACAAACAATTGTGTTAGGTGTTCGTAATTTGTATCCAATAATAAGTCACATTTGTTGGGCGGCAAAACTGTTTAAGGTCATAGTTCTCTGTACGTCCTTTAACCAACTGCTGTCACGAGCAGAGTTGGTACAAAGAGTGAGCTGAAGTGTTTGTAAAATTATCGTTATTTCAGAGATATCCAATCTAAGCCAGTCGGCCATTAGTTAATAACTTGGTAAGAGATAATTGAAGGCACAATTTTAATGTTTTTTTTTTAAACAGAGACCCGTGTCTAAAGAAAGAGGACCGTTGCTGAAAATGTTAGCATTTAATTTGTCCGATCTCATCAGATCTCCGAAGCTAAGCAGGCCTGAGCCTGGATACCTCTTGGAGAGGGCAACTCCCGTTAACGAAACAAGTGCCGCAGGCCGCAGGGATGCTTCGTGGTGGACAGCAGGGTGTAGCACAACAGCAACTTTAAATTGTACTGTACTTCTTAGCTCCTACGGCTATGTCCCCCGCCACCCGCCTTCACAAACCCACACTGACCATCGTGGTGCAGCACGGTCAAATATCCCTCGTGGCCCGCACGGCAAAGGCAGGCCCTCATCCAGCAGCGGATTGACACAAGAGTGACGTACACTCATTGGGCGCTATACACACACACACGTATATATAAAACATCAATATTTTTTAAATCATAACTATTATCTTAAATGGCGACGCTGGTATAAACTATGTTCGGAATGTGTTTAAACATCATTGCTGCCAGTTGCACCGCGGGGCTGTTTCCCTTAGAAGCAGTCATGCCCAGCGCCGGATTATCCTCGTAGAAAAAGTAGCTACACATGCTACGGGCCCCGCGCTAAACGCTTTCAAGCTATCAATTCCGGTTCAGTGATTCTGCACTTGCTCCATTACTATAGTTCTATACTGCCTTCAAGTTTTATCAACAACTGGGTGTTTAAGGTTAGCGATTTGTCTTATTATCTGGCTGTATAGCAAATGAAAAAATCCAATTACTTTACTATATAAGTAAAACATTTGTTTTAATTTTTACGTGTTTTTTTAAGTTTAGGGCCCCTATATAACATATACTACAGGCCCCACACTAGCTTAGTCCAGCACCGCTCCTACCCCCACTTCACGCGCGGCAATGCTTGTGCTCACACCCGCGTGTTAGGGGTGGTGGTAGTGACGGACGAATATTTTCACACTTACTAAAGTCGGGCAACGGTAACAACAACAAAACATTTGTCGCAATTTTTTTTCTCTTTCTAACACTCGACGATTTGACACACACACACAAAAAAACAACCCCGCGTACGCTGCCATAGCTACTCGCATCAGACCTCGTGATGGTTTTTTGTTTAACACCACAGTTAAGATTGTCAGGAACAGTTCATCGCACGTTAAACTCCACGTGCCCTAAGCGTACAAGTACGGCCCTCCCCCTTTTGCTCATCCACTGCTGGATGAGGGCCTCGACGAGCCGTGCGCGTCCCACCCGGTTGTTATTTGACCGTACTTCACCGCGCTGGTTCGTAGTGTGGTGGCTTAGTGAAAGTGGGCAGCGTGGACGTGGCTTACAAGCACAGCACAACATTGGATTATTCTGCGCCATGCTGCCCACCATGGTCGCCGCTGCAGCCTGTAGCATCTCTGTTTGGCATCGGCCATGGCAAACGCAAAGTGCCATCCATGCTCGGGCCCCTGCGCATCGTGAAACGAGAGCAGTCGCATCCCTTGCCAGTGGGGCAGTACTTTCGGGGCTACCCTCGCAGGTGGATTCCATCGCCGTCCATCATCGTGGCGTTGTGCGATTTATTTTTCTCACCCCACCCTCCCCCCCGCTCTTCCGCAGGCCTCCACGGCGATTTTCCAATGGGGTTCCAGGCGACCGGACCCCAAATGCACGGCGGGCCGAGCCACACGCGCGACGGTGAGTTTCAGCGGCTTACGCGCGTTCCAAATTCAACAAAGATCCCCACCAGCCCCAGCCCACCCCCCACCGCCATCCCGTATAGCCTTCACAGACTGTTGGGGCAAGTAACGTTTTTTTAGCGAGCGCCCTTGAAGATCACGAGCCAACAAAGAACAGACAGATGGCGAGTGTATTTATGAGCGGCTGAGGGGCTCATTGAGATGACGGGTCTCTTTGTCAAAGGACACCTGGGTTAGAGAAGCAGGCACAGCACTACACTGCAATGGGGTGTTGTATCACAAAGATGGAGAGAGATGGCGACGGCTTGGGAAGGCATTCATCCAGCAGTGGATATATCGTGGCTGAAAATGAAAGCATCACTTTTAACCTTTTGAGTTACTGTGTGAGTTAAATAAAGATGCTCTCCCACATAGCAACTCGATTTAGTTTTGTATTCATCCAGCAGTGGATTGATCATGACCGATGACGATGATGACGAGGGTTATATGTAAAAGTGACGTCAAATAAACTTTTAATTTTAAGTTAATTAACCACTTGTAAGATGGGTAAAAAAATAACACAATTCCAGTACGACTATCTGCACCGAAGAGATGAATCAGAAATAAACTTAAAAACAAATTTATTTGCACTTGAATTTTCTGACCATGAGACCGCCGAGCTTACTGTGGAACAACACAGCGGGATCTGTGTGTGCCCCGTGGATTGTTTATCAATAACTCCAGGTGCGGCGAGGTGACGTGAGATGAAGAACGCACGTAAAATCCCAGGTTTTCACGTGGTCCCAATTATCCGCAACTTGCACAAGTGGCAAATAAGATACGGGGCAGATCGCATTGTCCCTGGCCTGGACTCGAGTTTCACTCGTTCTATATAAACCCGCTCTCCAATGATGCTACGAATCGTTGACTTGTACTGCTCGCGGTTCGAATCCAGCGGCTGCCCTGGTTAATACTGCGGCGGTGTGTAAACGGCCATGCTCGTAAGCGCCGTCGGCTTCACAGTGGTCGGCAAAGGTGTAACGATACCTCGTGACGTCGTTCGCAAAAAGAGACAGGTTCCGAATTGACAGAAATTCGGACATGACACTGCAAAATGACTCCCATGGGATTCCACGCACAACAGAAATCCTTGCCCCCTACCGGCAGGCTAAAGCAAACGAGGCTCATCCTGCTCTCTTGAGTTCTCACCTGGTTGATAAAAAATATATTAGGCTTAATATATGATAGACTTACACGTGCATTAAGTAATGCATTTGTGCGAATCGATTGTTTTAAATGAATTTTGTTCTGCAGGTAATGGTATATCACTTGATCCATTCGGACGCTGGAGAGCGCTACATAAATTAAAGGGGGGGCGGGTGGTGGAATAATTCAATAAATTGTGCCATCTGTGAGAAGATTATGCGATAAAAACGATCAAAAGTGGACTGTAAAATGTGATAATGAAGCTATCTTGCAAATGAAGAGTAATATATTTTCAACACAGCTTTGCATGTACGTACGTTGAACCGTTTTCGCACCGTATGTCCTGGACACGCCTCCGTTTGTTTTGTATGAAAAACGCAAACGTGCATTTCATTATTGACAATACATCACTGACTTTGGCATGCGAATCTAATGCATTGTGATGGCTCTCCTTTTTGCAGGTGACTTCAGCAGCACCAGTCTGGCCTCGCTGCCCCCACGTAAGCGTGACGTTCGTTGGGATCTACAATTCACATTTGTGGCTCAGTGTTGGTGACATGCCCTGCAATTGTGTGCTCATAGTTTTCGCTAGAGCAAAGGGAAATGGTGTGATAAACCGACCCTTCAATTCCCACAAGAACCAGGAATACCCATCAGCCCAAGGCCATTGCTAGATACGACCTGGGGTGACATATACTACCAGTGTCCACCAATGGGTAATGTCCACCATAAGCGCACTTGCTGTCCGGTCTACAGGCACAAACTTCCGCACGTACCTGTTCAAGTCCCCGAATCGTTGGCTTTTTTTGTTGCTTGCGCGGTAATACATCCACGGACGCACACGTAAATATAAATAGAGCGTGCGTGCGTGCGAGCGAGATGAGAAAAGTCCACCAACGCCGCGCGCCGCCTCTCGCGTTGTTTCTCCCGCAGGGTCCGGCGGCGTCGGCGGCTCCGCGCATCGCAAGGTGTCCACGTCGAGCAGCATGGAGCGGCGCCTGGGGCCCTCGCGTGTGCCCGCCATGCCCGGCACGCCGCTCCACTCGCACAACGTGCCGCTCCACTCGCTGAACGTGCCGCTCAGCCCCGGCGCGCACTCCTACCAGGTCGGCCCCAGCCAGACCACGGCGTGGGGAGGAGGAGGAGGAGGTGGAGGAGGTGGGTGGCACGACGATGAGGAGGGGCGAGGCCTAGCCGGGGCTGCTCCGTTTTTTTCTTCTTTGTTTGGGCGCCACGGGTGGCGAGATGTGTACTGCCTCGCCTGGTGTGCTGGAGGTCGAGGGTTCGATACCGACCCTGACGATGCCGCCTGTGTATTTGGAGTTTGCGGTGTTTCTCTCCCCGCGGCCGCGTGGATTTTTCTCCGGGTTTTGCCTCCACATTTAGGACCAATGTGCATTTGGAGTATTTGGCTGCTAGAAATGTCCACATGTTTGAAATGCCTTCATCGTTTTAAATGCCGTTATCTGCACCAGAACCACAGAATATTCTGGCATTCCTCGTTTACCTCATGGTAAGCAGGCACTGCAGTATGTGAATCCTTGCCTGGTATGTCGGAGGTCGCGGTGTTCGAAGTCAACCCTGACGCCTGTATATCTGGAGTTTGCATTTTCTTTCTCGCCGCGGTCGCGTGGATTTTTGTCCGGCTCCTCCGGTTTTTCCCTCTACATTTAGCATCTTCACCACTTGAGCACCCACACAACCCTCGCCTCATCTCTCTCTCTCTCCATCCGCCGACCCGTCCTCGCTGCCACCCCCGCGTCCGCAGGCGCCCGCCCGCCCGGCATGACGGTCATCACCACCACGGAGACGCTGCGCGCGCGCTCCCCTGCCGCCCCCCGCGGCCGCTCTCCCACCAGGGGCCCGAACGGCGGCACCACCATGACCAGCACCACCACCGTCACCAGCAACTCCACGACAGCAGAGCGCCGCTTCGGCTCACCGGGGGCCACCGCGTTCGACTTCAGCAGCGGTGAGGGTCGTCGCGTGGGGTCGTGTGGGGTCACGGCGGGGGTCACGCGGGGTCACGTGAGCTCGTGACTCCGCGTGACGGAGGAGTGAAGGGTCGCACAGACCGCGACGGGTCATGGCGAGTGGAACATCTCACTTTGTGTGTAACTATTGTCATGATTATTATTGCGCAACTTACTGTTGACAAATACGGGGACTTTTGACGTCTCGAAAAAAACACCGACAAATTTCCCCAAGGGAGCTGATACACAAAGAGAACGTCCTGGGGAGGTGGCAGCGCTAGACGCGTGCGATGTTTCGAGATGGCAGGTTTGAGCCTTGGTAATGCTGTGCGGTAGTTTTGTGCGTGCTGTCTTCAAGCCCCCAGCCACTCGTGCTGTTGGCTCCCTGCCCCAGTTCCAATCCAGACTCAAGACCGACCTTTTTCCCCTCTACCCCCGACTGATTTTTCGACGCGCTGTTTCTTTGCAGACACCTCCAGTCGCCCATCATCTCCAGAGCCAGCTCGAAAAAATCTTGGTACGAACTTCTTACTTTACAAACGACAAGCCTAAATAGATCTCGGTTCGGTAGTTGTTGTTGTGTATTCTTAGCTTGAGGTGAGCACAGGTGGAGTGACAGACGGCAGTTTGGTTTTTGTGCTAGTGTGTGAGCGTGGTTTACAGCTACTGCTCATGGGGAGTGGTAGCGCAGCGCTACAAACCCGACGACCCCAGTTCGATTCCTGCTCACAGTCAACACCAGTGACGATTATCTGAACTGGACTTGGCCCTCCCTTAGGTCGACTCAGCCTCAAATGAGTACCTGGTGCGGCGTGTTAACATCGCCACTGGGCAGACAACGGCGGCCGGGCGTGGTGCTGGCCACCCACCCCCTCGTGTGCCGTGCCGGCCTTCATAGGTGCTCGCTAACAGCACTGGCCCCAACATCCTGCTAAGGCTGCATGGGGGATCTTTGCCTTGTGGTTGTGCAGCTCGCCGCGATGGTGCCCTCATTCAGCTCAGAGCGCACACATCACACTGCGCGTGCGGGAATCGGTTACGTGTACGCGGCGTGTGAACATCACGCGCTGACGTGCCCCCGAGGGTGACGGCCCGCGCGGCGCCAGACACGCGAGCTTCTCGCCTACCGAGCGGCTGCAGTTGTGCGCTCACGGAGAGCACTTAGCGGACAGCGCGTGGCTGAGAATAAGGGGGACGAGCCTCAATATTTGTGCGCGCGGTTTTGTTGACGCTGCGCCCCACACACCGTCGTCCTCACCTCGCCGCGCGTGCCTTTGTGTTGCAGAGACGCGCGGGCGCAGCCAGTCTCGAGGTGAGGCGCACCGCGGTGAACGGACACCCACCTGGGTTTGATTGTTATGGGTTGCCGTCGGTCGTCTCAACAGGGCTACGTCGATTCAAACGGGCGGCGGCGGGGGGGGGGGACCTACGGCCCCCCACTAGCCACACACGACCTCACGGCTTCACTTTGCTCAAGCCCCAGGGCACTACATGAGGCTCACCGCTCCTGTGCCTCCCGCGAACGTCATTTTGGTCATCGCTGCGGGCGTCTCAGCCGCACTAATCGGGTGCTGGAGGGGGAATGGTTTTCGAACCTGGCAAAAAAAAACAACGCGCGTATGATTTTCAGCACGCCCGTTTGCGGTCATAGAGGGGCCTGGGCTGTGTGCGTTCATGTGTGGCTCGCCAACGGGGATTGAAAGTCCTACTTGTATGTATGTGTGTTGAACTTCTTTTGCACCATACGTAGCCAGCCGTGCTAATCGGAGGTGCGGGGGAAGGACAACAAACTCAACACACAAAAAATGAGTTCAAAAGGAATGAGTTTTCAATCTGGATTTAAAAGTGCAGAGGCACGCTTGGGTAACACAGCTCATGCGTGGAAGGGAGCAGCAGCCACACGATGAGTCAGTGCCAACTCCACCCCCTTCCCCAAGCTCTGCGGTCCTCTATATATATTAAGGTCTTATCATCAATTTGTTATGTATGTCGAACTTCTTTCGGACCATACGTAGCCACCCGTGCTAATGGGAGGTGTGGGGGGGCGACAACAAACTAACACAAAAATTGGCCATCGGTAAGGAAAAGGTTTCCCAACCATGATTTGAAGGTTGCACTAACAGCGTGACCCCACTGCCTTCTCTCAACAGAGAGCCAGATCCGCCAAAGGCTGCAGAGTACTTCACCGTCACCCAGATGTGAGTTGCTCACCACACTCATGCATCGCCTGGCCAACGCTGTTCCATATTCTAAACTAGACTTTTTTTATTTTACCAGGTTAGTACCACTGAGCGATATAGCTCTTTTTCAGAAGTGACCTGGCTATCACTAATGATAACTCAGCGAAGTGGCTTATCACGTGGATATTTACAGCAGCCAAATACCCTAAAATTCTAAATGTGGAGGGAAAAACCGGAGGACCCGGGAGAAAATTATATGCGACCACGGACAGAGAGACACGCAAACTCCAAATACAGAGCCGGCGTTAGGGTCGGGATCAAACCCACACCCTCCTGTATACCAGGCGAGGTAGTTAACATCTCCTAGCCACCGTGATGATGATGATGAGAGAGAGAGAGACACCACAAACTCCAAATATACAGCAGGTGTCAGGGTCGGGATCAAACCCACACCCTTCTGTATACCAGGCGAGGTAGTTAACATCTCACAACCACCGTGATGATGATGATGAGAGAGAGAGAAAGACACCGCAAACTACAAATATACAGCAGGTGTCAGGGTCGGGATCAAACCCACGCCCTCCTGTATACCAGGCGAGGTAGTTAACATCTCACAGCCACCGTGATGATGATAGAGAGAGAGACAACGCAAACTCCAAATATACAGCAGGTGTCAGGGTCGGGATCAAACCCACACCCTCCTGTACACCAGGCGAGGTAGTTAACATCTCACAGCCACCGTGATGATGATAGAGAGAGAGACAACGCAAACTCCAAATATACAGCAGGTGTCAGGGTCGGGATCAAACCCACACCCTCCTGTACACCAGGCGAGGTAGTTAACATCTCACAGCCACCGTGATGATGATAGAGAGAGAGACAACGCAAACTCCAAATATACAGCAGGTGTCAGGGTCGGGATCAAACCCACACCCTCCTGTACACCAGGCGAGGTAGTTAACATCTCACAGCCACCGTGATGATGATGATGAGAGAGAGAGACACCGCAAACTCCAAATATACAGCAGGTGTCAGGGTCGGGATCAAACCCACGCCCTCCTGTACACCAGGCGAGGTAGTTCGCATCTCACAGCCACCGTGGCACACACGTCAGACGAAAAAAACTCCGGACCCTCGGTCAAAAACTCCCCCCCGCCTCCCACCGGCCCTACCCCCTCCCCCCCCCCCGCCCCCAGGGACCGAGCTGGACGACGTTAAGCGCCTGGTGAAGGGCACCCGCTCGGCCAGCGTGAGCCCCACGCGCGGCCGCTCGGTCTCCCGGAGCGCGATGGGGACGCTGCCCATCCCGCGCAAGCCCAGCCTGGAGCGCAAGCCCAGCGTCGAGGGCAGGAGCGGCTACCGCTCGGACGACGAGACCTGGGTCAAGATCGACAACAGCGTCAAACCAGGTGGTTTCACGATTGCTCTCTCAACGGCCACTCCTAAGGATAAGGGGACACGGTGGTGAGATGTTGAAAACCCCGCCTGGTATACAGGAGGTCGTGGGATCGATCCCCACCCTCACTGACACCTGCTGTATATTTGGAGTCGTTCTCTCTCCCTCTCTCTACGAGAGCGACGAGCGAACGCGGCGGTGGCGGCGTCACAAGTCGACGTCGTTATTGTGACCCCCTCCACGACGATACGCTGACCCTGCCGTCCGCCGTCCTCCCCGCAGTGGTGCTGCCCCACTACGACGTGGACCTCCGCCTGCGCTCCGCTCAGGACCTCTCCTACTTCCCGCCCGAGCCGCTGCGCCACGTCGACCCCAAGCTGTCGGCGTTCGCCCTGCAGGCGACGCTGCCCGGCGGCGCGCCCATGATGCCCGCGCACTCGTCCACGTCGCGCTCCATCGCCTCCTACGCCGTGACCACACAGCAGCGCCAGCCCGCGCAGCCGCCCACCTACAACACCGTCGACCGTACGGCTCGCTCGCTCGTTCACTCGCTCGTTCATTCGTTCACTCGCTCGTTCGTTCGTTCGCTCTCGCGCCGCTTAGCGGCTCGCGCGCTCTCTCGCTCCAGCGCAGGGGTCGGCAACCAAAATAATAATAAAAAGAGGCAGTTTTTAAAATAGAATTCTGTAAAAAAACCCTCTATATTTCAAGAGCTCTTCTTAAACGACGTCACATCGCCAGAGAGCCGCGTGCGGATCCGGAGCCGCAGGTCGCCGGCCCCCGCTCTAGCGGAACGGCCTCCGCGAGAGGAACATCGAGAGAGCCCCCCCCCCCCCCCCGTTCTATTCTCGCGAATGATGGCAGCCAATGCCGAGTTCTGCTGCTGCTGCTGCTGCTCGCCGCGACGAGAGGGGCTTCAGCAGAGAGAGTTTGTGTCGTTTGCCGTTCCTCCGTTGAAGGAGTGTAGACTACAGCGCTTTATCGGACTGTCTAGTCTTGCCGCGGCGGATCACCTGCCGCGTGTTTGCGTGTTCGCTTAATCGCAACGAACGCCGTCATCTGGGGCGAAATCGACGCCGTTAATTCGAATCCAGATACGATCGGTAGAGGCCCCCCGTCGGAGGGTTTCTCGGCAAATGGGTTCTCTACTCCTGTGTGGGCAGCCTGAGGGTTATCCCCTCATACGCGCGGACGTTCTCCGGGTAGTCGGGTTCCCACCTACGCGCAAAGAAATTTTTTTTCTTTTTTTACCATTGTTGTTGTCTTTGTGGTCAGCACATTTTTTGTCGCCAAATGTAAAAAGCAAAAATGCAATCGGCTCGCGTACAACTCACCGCGCATGAGCCCTTCTCACTTTCTTCGCTTTCCAATTGCGACTATTATTCGGCCTCGCTTGCGACGTCGCTCACGACGGGTGCGCGCGTTGTTGTTACTGTCACCGCAGTGAACGCCTTCAGCGAGGATTACTCCGCTCAGAAGCACAGCACGTTCGCCGAGCGGCCGAAGGCGGCCAGCGGTAAACAAACACGAACGCGGCTTTAATCGACGGCCACGAAACACCTCATCACTGCGAGCGACAATACCTTCCGTTTGGAACTCCCTTCTCCCCCGCCGTGCGAGCTGTCGACTACTCACCCCCGCTCAAGTTTATTGTTTCTTACCTCTGCGTTTCTAAAATGTATTCATCCCCCTGTTTCTGTACCGCGGCTTGACACGCAGTCACATTTAGACGCCGTTTGATGCCACGCCGCATGCTAACTCGTGAAGCGAGAAGCATGTGCGTGATTACAGCAGTGGCGTTTTAATCCGTCTTTAGTATGGCGGGCCGTGGTGGATTTGCACGTGGCCCATAGCCCGGCAGTGTGGAGCTGGCGAGGGTTGGTGAATCACCGCACAGGTGGTGTGAAATTCCCTTCACGTTTGTGTCGAGGAGGTTCCATACCCTGGCTCACCACGAGAAGGCAGTACAGCAAGTGGGCTCGTTGCCGTCTGCTTACATCTCTCCGGGGATAGAGTGTTGCTCCCTCGCGTGCGTGGGTTTTCTCCAGTTGCTCCAGTTTCCACATTAGTTGGCTTAAAAAAATTGAATGCAGGACCCTTCTGAAAAGGAGTCCTACTACTCAGTATGCTTCTCTTGGATAAAAAAAAACTAAGTTACTTGTTATTATTGTTCCTGTGTCCGCTAGGATCTGTAAATACTCGCGTTGAAAACATCGCCATCAAGAAACAGAGTTCTGACACTGCTTCCGGTGGTGAGTGCTCGCGTATCTGCAATATAACATTAAACATTTCAGCTCGGCTATCGTCATCATTTTAAATGGTAGAGGCAAATTTATATTTCTCGTAACATGTGCCTTTGGAGGACGATTGCTAAATCTCTCATTGTGTACGGATTTTCTTTTACTGTTTCTGATCGCATTAAAGTACGTCACATTTCTCCAGGTACTCTGCTTTCTTCCCACATAGAGCCAAACGCTCTTGAACGCTATCGGCCAAACATGCCAGTGCAGGACCCTCCTGAAATGGAGTCTTGAGACTCAGCGAGGCTCCTACATAAAAGAAAGGACTCGCGTTAATAAGATCTCTTTTTTTTCCTCTAGAAATGGGCAAATAAACCCGAACGCAGAATTTCCACCGTGGTTGCTCCGATGATTAATGCGGTTGTCTGCGAGCCGTGTGCTTATTCCGCGAGCTGTTCGTGTCATTGCGTTGCTGCTCTGCTTTATCGTCATCACAGCCGCAACTAAACTCTACGGCGAGGATGAAAGCGCCAACAGCTCCGACGTAAAGATTCTGACTTCCAGCGGCCACGGAGCAAGGAAAGGTAACGGGCGCAAGTCACGGGCACGCGACGGGTTCAACATCCGCGAAGTCGACTTTGTAACCATGAGGCCGGTCGTGTGTCACGACCTGTAAACCCAGCGAGCCGGAACGGTCCGGAACGCTGAGTTATCTTGGCACGTGCCACATCTCCACCTTGCCTTATTTTGTCCACGTGATTGTGCATCAGCTGTTTATAGGATTATCGGAGTGTAGGGTGTACGATAATAATAATAATATATGATTATTGCAGACAGGAGCGCCTTATACTGTGGTTGTAGTGCCTTACTCCGACAATCTTTATTCTGAACGAGCAAGCCCCAGCAGCATTCCGTGAATATGGAGTGAAAATTTAAGTGGTGCCAGTATCTGATACCCCCTCTGCCGGTGTGCACCTCACAGAGATGTATCTGTCTGAAGAGCCTCCCAAGAAGGACGTCTTGGTCATCCAATCTTCCAGGGACAAATCTGGTAAATTACGAGGGTTTATTTATTTTACCTCTGCATTTTTTGCCCCATGTGTGTTATATCCACCCGTTGCGTCGTCATTTCGCAACTGCGATTGATCCAGCGGTGATGATTTCACATTCCCGACGGCGACCGCTTCCGTCCGCGCAGTCGCGTTTCATTCAGCGGCATCTGCGCTATTTTCTTGCTCTGTATCCAAATAAAATGTCAAAATTAAATTTTGTTACGTTCATGAAAAGAAAAGTAAATTGTATTTACTTGTGTGTTTGTTGCCCCTATCAGGCACCCGCACGTATGTGAAGGACAAAGCGACACTCATCGGTACGTCCCATTGCGCTGTCCCCCCCCCGCACCCCCCGTCAGCACGGTTGGCTACGTACGGTGCGAAAGAAGTTCAACATGCACGCGCACGTACATGCGTGCACGCACGCACGCGCTTTTCGTTTGTAGTACCGCTATACCAGGTGGCATTTTCTTGACAATTTCCACGAGGAGTGGTCATTGTAGCGCTTCGATCCCTCTCTGCGAATGGCAGCGATTGGAGAGTTTGGGAAACGTGCTCCGCTTTCATGGAACAACAAGCAATCCCACGAATTAATATCTCGCTCCGACGCTGATGAATTTAGTTTTTGAATAATCGAGGGTGTTTGAATCAACAGCGCGTCGTTGTTTTCAGTGGGATTTTTTTTTAAGTAGGTATACGTAGATATAAATATATGTTTGTGAATCCACCATATCGATTATCTCATATATATTACTTGTAAAAACGGTATTTATTGACAAACCCTTGGTAGTTGATAATGGAATTGACGATGATTACCACGGAAACATTAAATATGTCATCGTCGTCATGCAACTAATGTTGATCGTACTGACGCGTGCTCAAATGAGTTATTCACAATCCGAATGATAAATAATGATGACTTTAATGATAAAATGGAATTAGTTAATGATAACAATGATAATAATGAGATACAAATGTAAAATACGTTCATCACATAGTAATAGGTTTTTACCCTATCAACTGGTACAAAAACTGACACCTTTATACAAGGCATGTTTGCAATCACCACAACACAAGCAGTCAAAATGCAAACAAAAAGAAACAACTCTGATAATGATAATGATATGGACTGTCCTTGAAGTTGATTGGTCCACACCCGAGACAGCTTTTCTTAGAGCCTAGTCTCCATTGGTGTTGGACCAGATGACGCCAAAATGCGTACAACTCAAAAACAGCGCACTATCAGAGCATTGAGAGCTCGGGGTAAGCATTTACACTATGTAATTGTTGTTATTTTTACCGTCATTATCATCACAATCATTATTATGCTTTCCGCAGACACCCAAATGGACGACGAGCCGTGGTACGCCAGCAATCGGGGCGGGCTGGGTGGCTCGGGCAAGGCCGGTGGCGGCAAGGGTGGCGGTGGCGGCGGCGGTCTCTGCAGCCCCTGCTGTGCGGGTTGCCCCTGGTGGCTCTGGCTCCTGGGGCTGCTGCTCACGTGGCTGCTGCTGCTGGGACTCCTGGCCGGACTCCTCGCGCAGGGTACGGCAACGCCACCACCCGCCCCCCCCCCCCCCCCCCCCCCCCCCCCCACCACCGTATCATTCAGCGGCAACTGCACCAACCCGTGACTATTTTCTTACTTGAAGTAGAACATTTTTTAAATACAATTTTGGTTGGCACGGACCACTCTTCCCCCCCCCCCCCCCGTGTGTGGAATGGAATTGGACCCCCTGCGTAATTTCCCCCCCCCTCCTCCCCCCTGCCTGGAATTAATTTCGGTGAGCCAGGTCACTGTTGAAGAAAGTGAGACTCACATGCTGCTCGCACCGCGGTGACACAAAATAAACCTATACACGAGAACGAGCAAGAGTGAGCGAGCGAGTGAGCGAGCGCAAGAGAGAGAGAGAGAGCGAGTACAAGAGAGAGAGAGAGTGAGTGACCACAAGAGAGAGAGAGAGTGAGTGAGCACAAGAGAGAGAGTGAGTGAGTGAGCACAAGAGAGAGAGCGAGCGAGTGAGTGAGCGCAAGAGAGAGCGAGCGAGCGCAAGAGAGAGAGCGAGCGACTGAGCGAGCACAAGAGAGCAACTGAGCGAGCACAAGAGAGAGCGAGCGAGTGAGTGAGTGAGCGCAAGAGAGAGCGAGCGAGCGAGCGAGCGCAAGATAGAGAGCGAGCGACTGAGCGAGCACAAGAGAGCAACTGAGCGAGCACAAGAGAGAGCGAGCGAGCGAGCGACTGAGCGAGCGCAAGAGAGACACAGAGAGCGCACTCGCAGCACGAAGCACGGCGATCGTCACGCGGCGACGTCCTCCTTCCCACCTCCCCCCACCAGGGAGCGAGCTCAGCTCCGTGAAGTCGCGCGTCGACCAGCTGGAGCGCATGATGCAGGGCGGCGTGGGCCAGAGTTCGCGCTACGTGGCGCCCGCAGCCGGGGTGAACGTCGGGAGGGCGCAGCCCGTGGGAAGCCTCAACCCCGGAGTGGACGCCGGTACTTGGGCGGCCACGGATGCGGAGATCAGCACCAGACTCCGCGCCATGCTCGAGCAGCAGCTGGCGTCGACGGAGATGAGAGGTGGGTGGCCGCCTGCCCCCCTTCCCCCTCCGTGGCAGCTCCCCTCGTTGATCTTCTTGGAGGCGAGCGGTCCCGTTGACGTGTCGCGCCGGCCTCTTCCGAGTGTTTCCTCGAATAGTAGCCAGGGGAGGGGGGGGGGGATGAGGAGCGGGCGGACGATCCGAATACAACGCGAACGACGGAAAAATATAATGGACCTGTGCAGATTTTCGCCGATGGCAACGGATTTTCATTCGATCGTGCGTCGGCCGTTCCTCGTTTACCTGAGGGTAAACAGGCGCTGTCAAACGTGAACCCTCGCCTGGTATGAAGGAGGTCGTGGGTTCGATCCCGACCCTGATGATGCCTGTATATTTGGAATTTGCATGTTCTCCCCGTGGTGGTGTGGATTTTTCTCCGGGCCCTCTGGTTTTTCCCCTCCACATTTAGAATCGACATCACGCGTTGAGAGCGTTTGGCTGCTATACATTTCCACGTGATGAGCTATTTCGTTGAGCTATCATTTGTGACCAGGTCGCTTTAGAAGAAATAGCCATATAGCTCAATGGGCCTTACCTGGTAAAATAAAAAGATGAGTAAGTTTTAGTTTAGTATAATCCCGACCGTTTACCGAAGGTGTCTCTGATACACGTGTGCCACTGGGTGGCGCACTCCGGTCGAGTTTCTCAACCGTTCTTCCAAAAGCCCTTCGCAGCTGCTGCTGCTTCTGCAGCCAGACGAACCATTGCAGTTCCAACTGTTGTTGCGTTGACACGGGGAGCGGTGGCGTAGTGTCATAGCGCAATGCGCTACGAACCTGGGTTCGATCCCCGGCCGCGGCTAAAATCAGTTGCGAATATCCGAACCGGTCCTGGGACTCTCGTAGGTACGACTCAGCCTTCCTGATGCAGCGTGTAAAAAATAAATTTAAAAATCACAACTGGGGAGACAAAGGCGGTCGGGGCATGGTGCTGGCCACACCATGCGTCCTCGTGTGCCGTGGCGGCCTGAACAGGAGCTCGCTGCCAGAACTTTCCCGAACAGGTCCGTACGGCCATCGGGGTGAAGGGAGGGAGGTGTTTGTCCGCTGACTTTCATTACTTTCACATGAATTGGACTCACACGCGTTCTCGTTTCGTTCCCACAGATCGGTTCCGCGGTCCGAAGGGAGAAGCGGGAGAAGCCGGCCTGAGAGGTTTGACGAGCCGCGTTCACCCACACCGCTCATCGAAGTTTCGCGATTGCTTTCAGCTGGGAGGCGTTCCTCTCGGAGGATCTTCGGAATAGGAATCTTGGAATGAGACCCGGATGGAGTAGCAGTAGTTTAATACGTAGCTGGGCTTTCGCGACCAATATTATTAATGAATAAAGGTTTTTGGGTTAGGTCGCGTAAGTAGAAATGTGTCGTGACCGTCCACCACCCGGCACAGCCAGTAAGGACCGCTTGTGTTGCGATCGAAACGTCGTATAGAGGAAACTCTATTCTTGTGTGCGCTACTAGTAACGAATCGGCACGTTCTGTTTTTACGTGACAAACCTTGCTAATTGGCTGTGTCGGGTGGTGGGTGGTTTAACGACACATTTATATTTACGCGATCTCACCCAAAAGCCTCTATTATGGATAATATTGGTCGTGAAAGCCTTCTGCGTGTTAAACTGACAACATTTTTTGTTATCAATAATGATGACGACTACTGATGAAATTGACTTCCCCGGCAGCAGACGGTAGTTGACACGTGTTGACTCATTGATTCACACTCGTTCCGAACACTTTGTTTGTTTCAGGCGCTAAAGGTGAAGCTGGAGACCGGGGCATGCCAGGAATCCCCGGGAGCAGGGGTAGGTGTCTCTCTTCTTTTTTAATTTCTTGACGCGTACGGCTCTTGTTGTCAATCCACTGATGGATGAGGGCCTCCTCACGCCGCTGCGGCTCGTGGGAGATATTCGACCGCCCTGCCCAGCGAACCGTGCGGCCGCTGCAGACCTGACGACATAGGTTATATTACCCCCCCCCCCCCCGTTCACGGCTGATATCGGTGGCGAGTGACGTCGGAACGGATTCCCCCTTCCGCAAGCCGCACGAAGCCAGCGTGGTGAAGTATGGTCAAGGACGGAATGTGGCGAGGCCGCGGGTTGACAACGCTTCTGTAGAGACTGGTGCTCGTGATGCGCTCACGTGTTTGACGGGTCACGTTAACACAATTGTTCACCTTCTTTAACAGGCGATCAAGGTCAGCAAGGCTCGCCAGGAACTCCAGGCCCCATGGGTAATATATAATTGCACGTCTGTGCACGATCTCATTCTTCTGCTTGTGATAGTCTTCGTCGCCGTAGTGATCTGCCTCGTGTTGATGAGAGGGCCGATACGGATTCCTCCAGTATAAATACATGTTCTGATTCTGTATTTTTGTCACAGTGGTATTAGTCGTGGTCATCACATCCCGCGATTACAATCATCATCATCATCGTCATTGGTCAACAATGTTAGGCAGTCACCTGGTAGTAAAGGGCCACTGATCGAATCAAGTTCCTCTCTTCCACCTCCCACACTCGTAGGCATTCAGGGACCCCCTGGACTTCAGGGACCTCAAGGATTTGACGGGACCGTCGCACAGAAAGGAGCTCGGGGTGAGTTGGCAATGACGGGCCGTAGGTGGCTCTCGTCACACTCCCAATGCTGTCTTGCCGTCCTCACTCTGATTTCTATTCGCTTCTTTGGTGCACGTTGTATGATGCGATTGCTTTTTTGCTCATGTTGATGCCATCCTGGTCACTCATTGGCAACATTACATTATGTACATAAAAACACTCACTCATATAAATATGTGAACGGCGTCTTCAAATGTCAAATTTCGACCCGTGTCTATATCCATGTTTGATGAGTACACCTGTGCCGTGAGCATGTGGGTGTACGTGTTAGGTGTTAACATCGATACTCACGATACAAAGGCGGCCAGGCATGGTGCTGACCACCCATCCCCTCATCGTGCCGTGCCGGCCTTCATGGGTGCTTGCTAACAGCACTTGCCCCAACATTCTGCTCAGGCTATAAGGGGGATCTTTGTCTGTGTGTCCGCGCTGTTTAGGAGACGTTGGACCAGAGGGACCACCTGGCCAGAAAGGCCGTGACGGGATTCCCGGCACTCGAGGGGAGCCCGGAGCTCCAGGTAGTGGACAGAAGGGCGACCGAGGTGAGAGTCACTCCCGACACTTACAAAAACACAAAGATCACTAACTATTAACTACTATTTTATTTTACCAGGTAAAGCCCACTGAGCTATACAGCTCTTTTTCAGAAGCCACCAGGACACAAATGATATCTCAGCGAAGTGGCTTATCGCGTGGAAATTTATAGCAGCCCAATACTCTAAACGCACGTTGATTCTAAACGTGGAGGGAAAACCCAGAGAAAAATCAACTCCAAATATACAGGCGTCCGGGTCGGGATTGAACCCCACGACCTCCTGTATACCAGGCGAGGTAGTTAACATCTCGCCACCGTGGCGCCCCAAACTAATACTTGCGTCAGAAGTGGGCGTCAAGTTGGCCGCAGCGGCCACGCTTGCGCCTCGCCACAAAGACACGATCCTAATTATCTGCATTATTATAATCAGTATTATCTTAATATTCATCACTTATACAATCATTACAATTGTCGTCGTCATCATCATCATGATCATTCCGCACCTCTGATTGGTAACGGTTGGCGAAGTTACGGTGCGAAAGAAGTTTAGCGTACGTACATCATCATCGTCGTCGTCGTCGTCACCGCCGTGGATGCTGGTTTTGATGCCTGGCTTGAATTCACCCGCCACGGTTTCGCTCCGCGTGTCTGGCCAGGTGCGCCCGGAGAGCAAGGGTTTCCAGGTCTCCAGGGCCCTCCCGGTGTCTCCGGACAAAAAGGTACCAGTGGGGGGAGGAATAAGAAAAAGTTATTTTCGGTGCGGAGTATTTTGTTCCCCCAATCACCCCCCCCCCCCTTCCACACCTGTGTTCTGCGTGCGTTCTCCTCCGGCTGCAATAAAACTGCTATTGGCCAACCCATACGAAATATGCAAAAAATTACACTGCAAATTACGGTACTCATTTGGGACGACACACAATCAGCGACGTCGCCCCTTCATGCGAACAAAAAAATAAACTTAGCAAGACCCTCCTTAAGCAAACAAGGGTAATGATGAATATAAAAATACAATTATAATTGAGGCCTTCATCCAACAGCGGGATAGATCATGGGTGATTGACGATGGTGGTGAGATGTTAACTCCCTCAGCCTGGTATGTAGGAGGTCGTGGGTTCGATCCTGATCCTTGACGTCCGCTGTATATTTGGTCGCGAGGATTTTTTTCTCCGGGTCCTCCAGTTTTCCCCTCCACGTTTAGAATCGACATCGCGCTTTTCGAGTGTCTGGCTGCTATAAATGTGCACGTGATAAGCCACTTGGTTGAGCTCTCATTCGTAACCAGGTCGCTTCTGATAAAAGAGCCGCATAGCTTCAGTAGGCCTTACCTGGTAAAATAGAAAAAAAGTGTTTAGCGTTAGTTGAATCACTCTGTGTTCGTGTGTCTGTTACAGGCTCTGCCGGAGACAAAGGCTCCACAGGATTTGACGGTGAGGACTCTTGACCCAACCCCCTGCACCCCCTCGTGACTGAGGCCCCCCCCTTGCCCCCCCCCCTTCCCCGCTGCACCCATCAGGAATGAGATGCACGGGGGGGGGGGACGAACGTCACTCCTCTCGCTCACCCCCACCCCTCCCCCCGTCATCTCGTCTAGTGCCGGATTAAGCTAGTGCGGGGCCTGTAGAATATGTTATAAAGGGGCCCTTTCTACAAAAAAAAACACGTAAAGATTAAAACACATACATTTTTCATTTGCATAGTATAGTAATTATATTTTTTCATTTGCTATACAGCCGGATACTACGGCAAAATCGCTAACCATAAACACCCAGTCGTTCGTAAAAGTTGAAGACGGTATAGTACTATAGTAACGGAGCAAGTGCAGAATCACTGAACCGGTAGCTTGGAAGCATTTAGCGCGGGGGCCCTTGAAAGTGCGGGGCCCGTAGCACTTGCAGCTTCTTTTGCTACCAGGAGAATCCAGCACTGATCTCGTCTCGTCTTGCACCGCAGGTTTGCCAGGAGCGTCCGGCCAGAGAGGCGAGCCCGGACAAAAAGGATCAAAGGGTACGGAACCTGTTTTGGAAGATTTAACGCGCAAAACTTTAACTTGAACGTCGATTTGCCTCGAGGGTGTCCTGGCTTGGTTGGCAAGTTGGGGTCGTGGTCTGTAATGTGTGAGACCGAATGGAATCATTTGATTTGTTGCGATCACTTCTTTGGTGTTTGTGCTGCTTTAAGTTTCGGTGAAATTCTTTGCTTGGGAGTTGGGTTTTCATTTGCTCTGTCGTAGCTTAATATAGGATTTGGTCCTTATATATCATGAAAGTTCAGCGTTATGAGATGCAACTAGCATGAATGATGCTATATATAAATGCAATTATCATTGAGTCTGTAAGTTAAATAATCACTGGTAGAGTTCGGGTCTCATGTTTTGCTAAGTTACATTCAACTTCGAGCGAAAACACTCTGGCGTAAATGAGCCACCCCCCTCCCCGCCCCGTCGGTTGAAACGAACGAATTTATCGTGAACGTGATTTGTGATGACCGATGCGTTGTGCTGCGTTCGCAGGTGACAGGGGTGATAATGGCAGCCCTGGTGTTAAAGGTGAGGACCGATGCACGGTTACAGTCCACGGTGTTTAGGCTTGAACCAGTGTAAAGATAGACAAGCTGTCTTTAAGGATTATGAGCAATACAGAACATGGCCTTTCATGTTGGAGAGCAACTCAGAACGTGGAACTAGTTGTTCGTGCAGACTTTAGGGGCTATAAATTCTACCAATGAGGACAATTTTCGAGTTAATTTGATGAATTCTCATGAAATCGTGCTTTGTTCACATTTCATTTGACAGGCAAAAAACAACGCGGTTTCACAAAGACTCCATTACAGTTGCCATCGTATTTTAATGCTGCTTTTAGTCACCTGAGATATTAATTAGTAGGTTACTTGGTCCTTAACCCGTTAATTTAAAAAGGGGCATCGGGGTGGCGAGATGTTAACTACCTCTCCTGGTATGCAGGAGGTCAAGGGTTCGATCCTGACCCTGACGCCTGTATATTTGGAGTTTGCGTGTCTCTCTCTCCCCATGGTCGCGTGGATTTTCTCCGGGTCCTCCGGTGTTTCCTTCCACATTTAGAAATGTGCTTTTTTAGAGTATTTGGCTGCTACACATTTCCACGTGATAAGCCACTTCGTTAAGCTATCATTTGTGGCCAAGTTCGCTTCTGAAAAAGAGCTACTTAGCTCAGTGGGCCTTACCTGCTAAAATAAAAATAAAAACATTCGCTCAGTCAGACTGCGCTTAAAGGACTGGATATAAATGAGTGAATAAAGTAATTTTTCCATGGCAATTTTTTTTCTCAAAATCAGTCGGCTATGCTGCTTTGGCCATGTGTCTCACTGTGTTTTTTGTTGTTATTTTATTTCTGATCGTTAGGCGATGCAGGTGAAGCAGGGCTGCGTGGTTTGGCAGGTGAGCACTTCTTTCACGTTGGCGCCGTTATTTTTCTTCTGAAATGCCGCTCTTGAAAAAACGTCGACCAGCATCGCCGTGGCAATGCGCACGCTTGCACGCGCAAGTTTAAAGAGACGAGCAAGCCGTGTTTAACCCTTGCAGCGAGAAGCAAAATGTGATGACTGAGTTGGGCCTGTAGGTGGCTGGCAGGGTTAATTACCACACGTGCTGTTGCATTTTAAAGGTAAAGGACCCAAAGAGTGACGGTGCTGTTCTTCACAAGATTGCTATTAACCACAATAAATAAATGTGCTTGCCCTCGATTTGGAGCACCTACCCACGTCCTTCATTTCGAGTGTGCAACAAAAATAAACCAATAAATATGAGATGGGACAAAGCCTGAATTGTTCAACGCGCGCCGTTTTTTGTCGCATTCAACACGACGATGTTTGCGTGTGCGGTTTCCCCGTGGCCTCTGCGATCTTTCGGCCCTCAAACGGCCCGTCGCTTGATCTCGTTTCAGGCGAGATCGGACTTCGCGGGCCCATAGGACCTGCAGGCCCAGCAGGAATAAAAGGCGACAAAGGTGATTTAGAATGATTATTGTTACGATTTTTTGTCTTCTCTCCATATGTTCACGCGTTGTCGCGCATTAGACGATGTGCTGCGTTTCGCCAACTGGCGGCTCTTTAAACCACCGCACGCGGCTCTATGGAAGGGGCATAACGTCGAACGCACTACCACACTAGTGGCAAAGAGATAATGAATGTCTCCCGTGCTGTGCCGAAAACTCTAAATGTGTATACACTTGGCTCTTTGCAGAACTTAAGGACACTCTTTTGCTCTCAGTCTGTTGCAGGGTGGCCACCCTCTGTGCTGTAGGAACCCAGTGAACGTACAATGTTGGGCCGATGTTGGCACGTGGTTGAAACTGTTGGCCCAAAGTCGGCCCAACGTTCCGCGTTTACTGGGAGTTATGCAAAGGATATTTGCATCGGAGTTAATTGCTAAGGATGTGACGATGCTGTGATTCATCGATGAAAATCGATCTAATAGAAAAAAAGTTGATCAAAAAATCGATTCTCGAACTGAGTCGTGACCCTGAATCGTGGCAGTTTATCCTGTTTCCGTGTGGAAGCAGGTTGTGACATGCTTCCAAATGAATGATTCATAGCACCCTTATAATTTCTAACAATGTAATGCTACATGTTATCAACAGAATTGTCGCAGTGCTCAAACGCGTATTTTCTCCATGTACATGTGAAATATGTCTTTAGTGCTTCACTGATTTATGAAGCTACTGTTACCGCAAGTACACATAGAGAAATATTTTATTGCTCTGGAGTCGAACGAAAGCTGCATTTCACTCGATCATTCATGAACTGGCCGTGCCTCCCACAGGCGAACCTGGAACGGCGGGTCGTCCCGGACCACAAGGTACTTTCCACGACCTACGCGTTAAAATGCGTGCGCGTGTCTTCAGTTGCTATTCTGCGTACGCGAACGATCGGTCAGTTCCACGGTAAAAGTGATCGCAGTACGGGACGAGGAACCTGATGATCGCAAAATTAATCGTTCGCGTCAAACGTGGATTGTATAAGTCCTCTAAATGTGCTTGCACAGCATGTCGCTGCCACGCGTAGAAGATCCCACTTCATCCCCGTGTCTGATAATGCTCGCATTGGCTTTGTAACTCACTTTACTGTGGAATCAGCCCATGCTTTTAAAATTTGCTCATTTTTAGTTGACATCTTGAAAAAAATCACACCCGTTCCCCGGCGGCATGCAAAGCACAGCGAACTACATTTCCTTGGATTAAAAGCTGAATCTTGTTATTTGCTCAGACATAATTCCTCACATTGCTCCCGTAGGAGAGGTTGGCAACCCGGGCAGTGCTGGAAAGCGTGGAGCTGATGGACAGCCAGGGGAATCCGGACCCAAAGGTAAGAGACATCACCAGAAGCCAGTGGCGGATTATCTCAGCAGCACAAGTAGCTACACATGGCTACGGGCCCCGCACTTTCAAGGGCCCCGCGCTAAATGCTTTCAAGCTATCAATTTACGGTTTAGTGATGCTGCACTTGCTCTATTACTATAGTACTAGACTGCCTTAAACTTTTATGAACTACTGGGTGTTTAAGGTTAGCGATTTGTCGTATTATCTGGCTGTATTGGCAAATGAAAAAATACGATTACTTTACTATGCAAGTAAAACATTTGTTTTAATATATACGTGTATTTTTTATTTAGGGCCCCTTTGGAACATATGCTACAGGCCCCGCACTAGCTTAATCCGGCACTGCCAGAAACACAACTCCACACACACAACACCCTCCTCCTCTTCCCTCTGTGTCTGTTCACACCCCCCTCTCTGAGGCCACAGTGTCATTGACAAATGCGTTGCGTTGTTTTGTTTGTTACTCTCTATCGGTGTTTCTCAACTCCATTCCTCACGACCTTCACCCAGTTTGCCGCTCTTGTGCAACACAAGGCCGTGTGTGTACTACTGCTTGCTCTCTAAAAGCATTTCAACAAAAGTATTTTTTTTTATTTTACCAGGTAAGGCCCACTGAGCTATACAGCTCTTTTACAGAAGCGACTTGTCCACAAATGATAACTCAACGAAGTGGCTTATCACGTGGAAATGTATCGCGGTCAAATACTCTAAACGCACGTTTCTAAACTGTGGAGGGGAAAACCGGAGGATCCGGAGAAAAATCCACGTGACCACGGGGAGAGAGAGAGACACGCAAACTCCAAATATACAGCAGGCAATCAGGGTCGGGATCGAACCCACGACCACCTGCATACCAAGCGAGGTAGTTAACATCTCCTAGCCACCGTGGCGCCCTTCTCGATATCTGGTAATCAGAAAAAGCTGTCCCGTGGTTGGCCGTCGCGAGGACTGTCAGTGAGAAATGCTGCTCTGTGTTCCTGTTTTGCACGGAGCGGTGGACACAGTGGTTAGCACACCACGCTATGAATCCATGGTCTACATGAGTGGCGATTGACATCAAAGCATGTCCCCACCCACCCCTTCTCCGTCCGTTACTAACCAGCAGAGTGAAGTATGGTCAAACCATCTCTTTGACCACTATGGCCCATCTCTCATCACCGTATAATTCTTCTTAGTCTATTTGGGGCGGCGTGAACGTGAATAGCGGCGGCACCTGGGCAGGGCCGGGTTGAGGTATCGTCTAAGTAAGCTACGGGTTTAGGGCCTCGCGTTAAGAGAGGCCTCTAAATTCCATCACACGAACTCCGGTCATCCTCCTAGCAGCGGCCTTTGGCTGGCCATTGAACAAAGACGGTGACCGGCATCGCGCACTTTCAGATGCGCTTACGCGGCCGTCTGGAACGCTCTTCTTTCCGATATTAGGAAGCCACTGGAGCTATGCACTTTTAAATCTGGAATTAAAAAAAAAACTAATTTCTTTAGAACTGCTTTTTTGTTTAGTTTGCTGTCCTTCCCCCGTACCTTCGATTAGCAACGGTTGGCTACGTACTGCTGCGAAAGAAGTTCAACATACATATACATAAAATACGAGCAAATAATAATAATGATACGAAGCTTCAAGTTTTATGACAAGAGTTCGTTGAAAAATAGAGGCGACAGCGAAAAAAAGACTCTCTTAAACGGTTATTTTCATTCCGATCTAACAATATGCAGGCATGCCTCGATGTACGAAACCCTACGCTTGACACTGCTAAGGGCTCCCAGCGATGCCATTATCCGGCCCTGCACCTGGGCCTTGCCAAGGACCGAGATGATGCTGTTTTGTTTTCTCTGTAGGACCTCCAGGAGTGGCCGGACTGCCAGGTATTTTGCAGCACTTCGGAAAATTAATCGACAGCAGTTGTGTCACCCATAAGGAGTGTAAACCATACATCGATTCATCGATCGATAACGATCGTTAAGTAACAACGCACGCATCGAATTGCGTGCGTGAGAATCGATGTGCTTTGTTTCGTGTTTATCTGGCACGTACGGAATGGCTTCGACGTGACCCCTGCAGCCACTAGTGGCCGCTACGATCACCATAGTGTTCATTTAAAAAATCATCCCATTATCGAATCGAATCGTGACTATTCATCAATTCCCTGGCCTGGGGTGAATCTTTACACATCTTTTGTAAACGTGACTAATAAATGACAATTCATTTTGCATCCAAATGTTTTCTTAAATATGTGTTTGGTGATGCATAGTGTTCACTTTCACATGGCTAAACACACTTTTTGAAATATGAAGCTACATTTTTTTTTAATTCACTATTTCATAATTCTAATTTCATTTGTCATTGAAATTTTCACTTATGACGTTTTCAGTACACAACCTCTATAGAGTACAGTCCACCGTATGCAATGACGATAACAACTTACACCCAACAAAATATAACTGGATTTTACATTGACGTCTTATTTTTTTTATAACTATATTTTTTCTAGCTGTATATTCTTTCGCTCGGCTCTGTACAGTCACGTCTAACAGCATTCGCTAAACAGATGAAACTGATATCAGGTAGCGCTGCCGCTGCTGGCTACTAAGTGCGCATCATTAACCCTTTGCTCTCCAAACATCGCAGGCCTCGCAGGAGAACCGGGAAGGCCTGGCGTGCAAGGAGAGCCTGGATTAGAGGTACACACACAAACACAAATAATCTCAATCATCATATTTAGGCACGGTCTAACCGCTGTTGAACGACGACCTCCGCCAAGTCACCTCTATTTATCATGGTCCTGCGATGAGGCAATCCATCAATTTCCCTGCACGCAGATGGGTTTCATCACCCCATCCCTTCTGGGGGAGGCATCCTCTCGAGCGCGTTTTTTCCTCCTTTGGCTGTCACTCTGTCGTTAGTCTCGACCACCGACCATCGTCCGCCCCTTCTGTCGACAGTGTGTCCCACGCAGACCCAACGTACTTTTCTCAAAGTCAATCTGACGTTCTGTGTTCCTCTTGTTTTTTTCTTCTCTGTCGCTCATCGTGATCCCGCGCGTGCGTTACGCATTGCACCCCTTCGTGCTTGAGAGTATATTGCTGCATGTGCACTTCCGAACCTGTGCCCACGGGTGCCAGGAACGCATCGAGAGAGAGGGAAGAGTAGGTGTCCTCGACCTTAATTTTCTCTCGACACTTCGCAGGAGAACCTGGCAGCCCTGGCAGCGTCATCAGTGATGGAGGTACGAGAACTTTCTACGATTTTGCACGCGATTTCTACAAACCGATCGCATCCTTTTTAAATCCTTTATATTAAGTTCGCTTACTTGCTTACGACCGTGCAAATCTTTCGGTCGTTTTTTAACCCACTTCCCGTGATCCAATCGAGCTGATATTTTCCACACAGGCTCGTTGTGCGTGACAATTAATGTTCGTGAAAATTTTTTTCCAAAATTTTACACTCTTTAGGACAAAAATATGATATTTAATTACCAATTGCTTAATGGTGCAATGCAATCATCTGACCCATAGGTGGAAGCCATCTCAAGCCAGAGGACGAGAGGACTCTAGCCGCCACGCATATAAAGGATTTATAGTCAAAAACTTTGTTTTTATGGGTTATACTTGCTTGGTCATCATCATCATCGTCATCATCACCAGCCATTGTCTAGCTACTGATGGTTGCGCGACGGACGTGCAGATTACGTGGACAGCGCGAACCGGGAAACAGATCGTCGTGATGTCACCCTGTTAATCGTTGTGAATTGCAGGAAATTCTCAGACGATCACGATTCCCGGGCCCCCAGGTCCACCCGGGTCCCCAGGTCTGCCCGGCACGCAAGGATTCCCAGGTATGGTGTGACCTGCTCTCTCCACTGGTAGATGGAGCATTGTAAAATAAAAATAAAAGAAAAAGTCTACGTGGTCTTTCTGCTAAGATGAGCACGGGGGCACTTATCTCCTATTTACAAGCCAGTGCTGGAAATTCCACATTCCTATGGGTGGGGGCCATAAAATGTGGAATTTCCATACGACAACCACTGAGAACTTCTCCACAAACATTTGAACAACTGGGATTTGAGCTCGCAACTTTGTGACTAAAGTATATGATCACGTGGTACATGCCCTGTCCACCGTAACGACCATCCCGTTAAAAAAGAGAACCAGCCAACAGCATTCACGTTTTCGCAGTAAAAAAAAAGCCATTACTTTAGCCGAGTTCAAGAACACTAGGATTATAATTGTCTTCTTGGTTCTTTTGGTAAAGTCACGTAGAATGGAAATAATAAAATAATAAAAATAAAACATAATAAAACAATTCTCACGACGTTTCGGCCACAACGCAAGCAGCCGTCCTCAGGTGGAGAGCAGGTCTGTCGAGTAGACAGTCTGACTCTGTCTACGTCGTGAGAATTCTTTTATTATGTTTTATTTTTATTATTTTATTATTTCCATTCTACGTGACTTTACCTAAAGAACCAAGAAGATGAATCCCTGCAGTCACGAAAGCTTTAAATCGAAATTATAATGATCATGAAGCGATTGGCTACAAGACCAGACTTTGAACGTGTTAACGATCCAAACGTGCAATGTATTTCGTGAATGCCTCCTCTGTCGTTGCTGAGCGCCGGTTAATATTGTTCGAACGCGGTTATTGACGTTGCTTCAGGACACGAGCCGTTTGCGTGATTTTCACAGAAGTTACAAAACGCTGCTCTGATTTTCAGGTCCCATCGGTCCTCCTGGCAGCCAGGGTATCCAAGGTAAGCGGATTTACAATGGCGCGGTCATTTCTTATCAAACCTAAGGAAAACATACCTGTAAAATTCGGGCTCACTATATTAGCACAACTTATGTGCCTATACACTTTCCAATACGAGAAACGCTACATTTTGAATTCCATGTTAGCCTTCAGCCTATGACCAAATCACCATCAAGTCAGAACTCGGAAGCTAAGCAGGTTTGAGCCTGGATTGTTTATGAATGGGCGACCATCGTGCCTATTAACAGGTGCTACAGGCTCCTGCTGCTGCTGCTTTTGTTGCTTTGGGGCTATGTTGTGAGCATAGTACAGCGCGGTAAAATCCGTGGTTGTACTGTATCGTGGCGCACACGCTCAACGCCTTCACCGACCCTCCCTGTCACCTGGGTGGTGAAGTATGGTCAGATTACCCCCCTGTGAGCCACACAGCATGGGGAGTGGCCCTCACCCAGCAGTGAGTTGACAAAAAATGTACCCGTAAAAACAAAGTTTTTCACTATAAATCCTTTATATGCGTGGCATTGGGGCGGCTAGAGTCCTCTCGTCCTCTGGCTTGAGATGGCTGCCACCTATGGCTGTCAGATGATTGTCTGCCACCATTAAGCAATTGGTAAATAAATATTTATTTATTTTTCCCTAAACAGTGTAAAATTTGGGAAAATTCTTTTTTCACGAAAATTAATTGTCACGCACAACGAGTCTGTGTGCAAAATGTCAGCTCGATTGGATCACGGGAAGTGGGTTAAAAAACGACCGAAAGATTTGCACGGTCGTAAGCGCGCAAGCAAGCAAGCAAGTGAACTTAATATAAAGGATTTAAAAAAGGGGCTGCTGCTGCACGTTAGACACGTGTTAGTCTGCGCGATGAGGTCACACCTGGCCGCACCTGTCCTCCCTGCAGGTGAGAAGGGCGAGAAGGGCGACCGTGGATTCAAAGGAGAAATGGGCGAGCAAGGAGAGAGAGGCGCGGCGGGCCGCTCTGCAGGTAAAATCGCGAGTCGGAAGTTTTCCCACGCGCAACAGAATCATAATGTTTATTTATAGCGGAGGAATCCGCTGAGATTTCGAGGTCTTTTTCACCCGTGTTCAGTACGGGGGGCGGGTCAGAAAGTAACAAGAACAACAACCAATGCAAAAACACGATATGAGTGCAAAGTATATGAAAGATAAGCGAATCACTAAAAACAAATATTTTACCAGCCGACTGAGCGATTAGCTTCTTTTAGAAGCGACCTGGCCACAAATGACAGCTCAATGAAGTGGCTTATCACGTGGAAATTTATATCAGCCGAATCATAATAATAATTGACACTTCTAAAGGATCTTTCACCCGGAGGTCACAAAAAAAGACGCACACACATGCGGTTAGACGCCTAATAAAAACCCAACCACAAAACTATTCAAGAAAAATATTTTAAAAAACACCGCATGAAATTTGGTCCTTTACATAATTTGGGTTATTTGAAGCGACAAACACCGCCCTCTGGCAGGGTGGCTGACGAAGTGCTGGTCTCAGCCGTAGCTCCTTGAGCTACCGCTGAGAGACGCTCTTCCTTAGAAAGCCTGTGGGGCTATGCAATTTTACATCTAGATTGAAAACTCATTCCTTTAAGACAGATATTTGTGTTTGTAGTTTGTTGTCCTTAAGAGTACAAATCTTGATGTAAAGCTTTCGTGACTCTCTTGGGTCTTTGGGACAAGTCACAATCAGGGATAAAATTGGGGGACAGGACAATGACCAAAATTTAATTCGTGTGCATTTTTCCCTTCTCAGCTTCCAGTTCAGTTTCGTACGAGCAGGGACCGGCCGGGCCTCCTGGGCCTCCCGGACCTCCCGGACAGCCAGGCTACTCCTCCGACACCAGTAAGCCATCGTCTTCAATCCAACAAACTTTCACGAAACAGCTTAAAAATGTCACAGTGAGGCATGGGCTCTTCTCCGTTCGATATGGGTCCTGGTTCGACGCGTAACTGGGTAACGCATGAACGCAATGAAACGACGAGTGGGCTTGTTAACCGTACAGCTCAACGTCGGCCGACATTCACCTCGTCTCCCTGTAACGACGACGTGTGTCCGTGCATTCGCAGGCATTTCACGCGACGGCCCAATGGGTCCTCCGGGCAGACCAGGGCCGCCAGGTCCCCCGGGTAAGACGCTCGTCTCGTAGATCCGCACCTTTGCACTCCGCGTTATCTTCAGGATGAACTTTGCAAAGGCGTACGGCAAGCAGCGTTGCGTCGCGCTCTGCATACCTGTCAGCTGAAAGGCGATGGTGTGCTGCAATGGTGTGGTGGGATGGTGTGCTGCGCCGGGTGGGCGCGCGATGGCACCATTTTCCCGGGGGTGGAAGTTACTATCAAGAATGCATTCAATTTTGTTTCATTTCTGTCGTCTCGTTTGTATTGTTTCCTTTATCGTTTTTGTGTCATCCGTACGTTTTTCGTTTTGTTGGTTTTCGCGCCGTAAGCCTTCAGGTAATAATCGCACAGTTATGTACGTACATTGCATGTCATTGATTCCTTCATGCTTGTATCACTGGTGCACAAATACAACTATCCCCTGTATAGCCTAAGTAGACTTTTGGCCAAGGCTACAGAGGTAATGGCCGCGTGTGTCAGATATTTGGCCGTGACAACTGATTTCTTTAGAACTAATTTTTGTGTTTAGCTTGTTGTCTTTCCCCCGCACCTCTGATTAGCGCGGTTGACTACGTACTGTGCGAAAGAAGTTTAACACACACGCGTACATACATATAGACTACATTATACACTACTATACAAAACAAAGACAAAGGTCCCCTGTATAGCCTGAATAGACTTTTGGGGCAAGTGCTGTTAGCAAGCACCCACGAAGGCCGGCACAGCACACGAGAGGGGGTGGATGGCCGGTCACCACGGCTCTGTTTGGAGAGAAGCGCCCTCACCACCCGCCTCATCACCATGAGCCGAATCTGGCCTGCTCGCAGAAAGAAAATAAAGAACCGCGCGGACATTGCCCCGACGCGTTTGCGGGCATTGCAGCGTTGTAGTTCAGAACGCCGTTCGACGTTTCCGCTCTGCATAACCCGGGAGTTTCGGTGACGGAAGAAGTTCCCAAAGGAGGTCTCGGCAAAAAACGTCGGACATCGCGCCAGACTACGCGGCGGCGCGGACCGCAAACTCATCGGAGAGCTGCACGGCAACGTAGAACCACGCGGTTCGCTCGCTCGCCCGTTTGCCACGTCTGCGCTGGCTACCCGAGTGAGTGAAGGGGTTTGACGTTTTGTTTCTTCCCCTTCTCCAGGTGAGAGCATCGTGGGACCTCCAGGCCCTCCAGGACTTCCAGGATTTTCATGTGAGTAACGTTGTGCTGAAAGGGTGACGCGCACACACGAAAGGCAAAGGTGCTCCGAGTTATGGACCGTTTGGGGCGAGTGCTCATAAGCGAGCACCGATTGAGGCCGGCGCTGCACACAAAGGGGTGGTGTGGTGAACACCGCGGTGCTGGTGTTTTATACAACACACCAGGTACGCATTTAAGGCTGAGTCGACCTAGCGGTGGCCCAGAATGGGTTTGGTGGAGGTGGGGGCGGGTGGAAACTGTGACTAAATGGTGTAAAATAAACGGGAAAACGCGTGCAGGCTGGAAACAAAACAGATTTAACAACACGCAAAGGTGTGCTGCTCACAAACATCAGGGAAGGCACGATTTCCATCATGCCTTGCATGCGTGTCGTCACGTGACCACCGCACTCTGCATGTTTTATTTTTACGTGTTCATTTTTAGTGGTTTTCTTACATTTCCTACACTTTGCACTCCGATGTTTTTTGTCCGCGTTGTTTGTTTGTCGTTGTAACTTTCTGACCCCGCCCCCCCTACTGGACATCTGTGAAAAAGAGCTTTACACAGCTCATCGGATTCCTCCAGCATAAATATAGAGTCCGATTTTGCACAACGCCGTTGGGATGGCCTCGTTTACAATCCCTGTCCTGAGTCAGCGGCCTGAGCAATCCTACGGCCCGCTCGCGGTTGACTCTCGTGCCGGTGTTGTCGTGATTTCTCCCGCAGCGAGTGAAAACTGGCAGCAGGTGCAGCAGCAGATCCCAGGTCCCCCCGGTCCACCCGGCCCACCAGGTGAGCGAGTCGGTTTAGGATCGTGTGGGTTTAGGATCGTGTGGGTTTAGGATCGTGTCGGTTTAGGATCGTGTGGGTTTAGGATCGTGTGGGTTTAGGATCGTGTGTGTTTAGGATCGTGTGGGTTTAGGATCGTGTGGGTTTAGGATCGTGTGGGTTTAGGATCGTGTGGGTTTAGGATCGTGTCCGTTGCTCGTTCCCGAGAAGGCCGTGTCGCCTGAGAGGGAGAACTCTCACCAAGAACGCACGGCACGGCTCGTAAAGCGGCGGCGTTTGCTGGATGAGCGTCGCTCTGACGATGAGACCCAGATGGGAGAAACCCGGTCCAGAGTAAAACAAACGTTTGTAAAGGCAAATAGGCTAATTGGACTCAAATGTATGGGGTTTTTTCATGAGAAGAGACAGAAGGGAAGTAAATGTATTTCTTTAAGGGGTGTGTAATGGTAGTTATGAATGATACGTTCACGTCAACCAGGAGAGAACCCTTGGACACAACCTAGACCACTGGATCACGGAGGCATCAGATTGCAAAAAACGCTTTTAGATATAAATGAACTGACGCACCGTTAAACACCTGCAGAACATGCGATATAATATATATAAATATGTACAAACAGTGCCACACGAATGGAATATTTTCTAGAAATGTGGGAAGGGAGGAGGACTTGGCCAAACAATGCAATCCAGGAACCTCCTAAAATCAATCAAACTTTATAATTTAATACAGCGCCCTTCACAATAAAATAATAACCGAGCACTTCACATCATTAAAATTTGAGATACACAAAATTGTAAAAAAATGGTTAAAAAAAAACGCAGCACCTTCCTTCTATCAGACACTCGGACTTAGATCCCACAAACCCAGCCTGTGAACCCACTAAGCTGGACTACGACCCACACACCGGAATAAGCCTCCAGCGAGGCTCGCCTTGATGCGTCAATTGGCTTGAGTATGCAACGCACCCCGGCAGTGACACTCCGAGTGGATCACCGCCGTCAAGGTTTTGCGGTAAAGAGCTGCTCCGTGACAGCTGCCGACATTCGTTGATTCCCCACCCCGATAACGACCGTGCGTGTCCGTGCCTTCGCAGGAATTTCTCGCGAAGGCCCGATGGGCCCTCCAGGCAACCGCGGCTCGCCGGGACCGTCAGGTGAGATGGCCGCCCTACAGATGCCTCCGCCCACAACGACTCGGCGTGGCTGACAAAGCGAGCTCTTGAACGCGCGCGTCAAGTTAAATTTCGATTTAAAGCTTTTTTCGTGACTGCAGGGATTCATCTCCTTGGTTCTTTCGGTAACGTCACGTAGAAGGGAAATAATAAAATAATAAAAATGAAACATAATAAAATATAATTCTCACGACGTTTCGGCCACAACGCAAACAGCCGTCTTTTGAGGACGGCTGCTTGCGTCCTTTGAGGACGGCTACTTGCGTTGTGGCCGAAACGTCGTGACAATTATTTTATTATGTTTTATTTTTATTATTTTATTATTTCCCTTCTACATGACTTTACCGAAAGAACCAAGAAGACGTCAACAAGTTGTCAGCCCGATTTGACAAGTGCACGAGCACAAAAAAATACTGCAGAAATGTGCTGCTGCTGCTGCTGCTTCTTCTTTTGCTGCTGGGATGGAAACTCGATTTTGCACTCGGGGTTTTGTTTTGTACTTGTGAATGTGGAGTCTATGGGGGCCATGAAGACTTTTGTGGTCGCTCTCTCTCTCTATCTCCGTCGCGTGGATATGACTCGAGTAGCAACTCTAAATCGATGTCTAAGTTGAAAAATCCAGCGGCTGGTTTAGTATGACGCTCGCTGTGGGCCTCGGTAATTTCTTCGCTTGACATCTTGAATGTGAACTTAGAGTGCCATAAATCATCAAATCAAAGTAAATGATTATCATCATCATCATCGCCTCTGATTAGCGCGGTTGGCTTTGTACGACGCGACAGAAGTTCAACATAAATACATATAGCAATGTCATCATCGTCATCGCTTTAAATGTTAGTATCGCGTTTACACGTACGGTTGTATAACACACAGCAGCACAAGCCAACACAGAGCTTGATTCATAGCATTCGCCGACCAATAACTTTCTGTGTTATGTAAGCTGCTAAAGTAGTAACCTAATGTGTTTTTCTCTCTCTCCTGTCATGTTTTTGTAACGTCGCATAAGGCAGTGATTATACAACTTACAAAAAAAATCACTCTCTAGCAAGGTCATAATTCCAGTTGTGTTGAAATCCCCCAGCGAAATGAAACTTCGAGACACGTTCGTACGAAAGGAAGTACAACGTGTCCTTGTACAAATAAACATTGGCGTGTTGATGTTGCTCTGCAGGACAAATGGGACTACCAGGAATGCCTGGGAGTCCAGGCCAAACCGGAGAGAAAGGTACGTGCCAGCCAGAGAGACAGCGGCCCCACACCTCTCCCACGCTCAGTCAGTCGTTGCCGATCGCCTCACTTGTCGAGCCTATGGCCAAACCACCCGAGATGCGCCCAATCTCGTCAGATCGCAACTGCCGAGCGAGGACGACCACCACGCACGTACCAGCGCCATAGGCCGCTGATCCTGCGGAGCAATGCGCTGTTCAGCAGAGGGCAGCGCAGCAAAACCGTTTGTCGTACTGTACTATGGCCCAACGTCTATGCTCCCCGCCTTCGCTAAGCCGCGCTGACCGGCCGTGGAGAAGTGTGGTCAAGACGCGCCACCGCTGGGGCGTGCTACCACCCAATAGTGCAAACGCAAGCATTGTGTCTGCGTGCAGTCACGGTGCCTGACGGAGGAACGGTTTTGTCTCTCTGCAGGAGAAGCCGGTGTCCCAGGGGCTCCAGGATTTGCTGGCCAAGGCTACAGAGGTAAGGGCCGCGTGGTGTGTCAGAGATTTGGCCGTGACAACTCATTTCTATGGAATTTATTTTTGTGTTTAAGTTTGTTGTCCTTCCCCCGCACCTCCGATCAGCACGGTTGGCTACGTACGGTGCAAAATAAGTTTAACACACACACACGTACATACATATAGACTACACTATATTATACACTACTATACAAAACAAAGACAAATATCCCCCATATAGCCTTAACAGACTTGGGGCAAGTGCTGTTAGCGAGCACCTATGAAGGCCGGCACGGCACACGAGGGGGTGGGTGGCCAGCACCACGGCCGTCCACCTTTGTCTCCCCAGTGGCGATGTTTACGCACCGCACCAGGTACTCATTTAAGGCTGAGTTGACCTACGGGAGGCCCAGGTCCCCTTCAGATAATTCTCACCGGTATTGGCCATTAGCGGGGGAATCGAACTCGGGTCGACGGGTTTGCAGTGCAGCGCGCTAACCGCTACACCACCGCTCCCCCACTGCTACTGCTAGACACTACACAGCTATACATCACACATCAACTCCCTACACTTGAGAATCACGGGCGGCTGAAGCTCGCGTTCCACCCCTGGCGAGTGACCGCGGGCAGCACGACGACTCGTGTTGCCACTCGGCCCCCCGCCCGTTGACCCGTTGACGTCGCCGTTTTTTGTATTGCAGCAGAGCAAGGGCCCCCAGGACCCCCTGGGCCTCCAGGCACGCCGGGCCCCAAGGGAGACACAGGGGCCCCCGGCCTGGGCGGACACTACGCTGGCGTGCAGGGACCCCCAGGCCCCGCCGGGCCCCCAGGAGACAAAGGTACTCGAGGCATTCCGCTCGGAACGACTCGGCGTGACGCTGACGGGTGAACCGCGTGGGGTGGAGCAGGGGCGCGGTGGTTGGCGCACTCAGAGCTGTAGCTAGGCACGTTGATGATTGTTTTTTTACCGTGCGCCTTTTGGCGTCATCTGGTCCAACACCATGTGAGACTAGGCTCTAAGGAAAGCTGTCTCGGGTGTGGATCAATCAACTTCAAGGACAGTGCATACATTATCAGAGTTGTGGTTTTTGTTTGCATTATGACTGCAGGTATTGTGGTCTATGCAAACATGACTCCTTGTAAAAAAGGTGTCAGTTTTGTTGCCAGATAAAAGGGTCGAAAACCAATTATCATATTTTTTACTGGCAAATGAGGTTCCAATGGATAGGCACGTTGGCAAGGGGTAGGCATGTTGGCACCTGTGGTAAGGTGGGCATGTTGGTACCCATCGCAAGGAACCATCCTTGTGCTCTCTAGCCCCACACCTCCCCCCCTCTCCAGCTTCTGCGACGCCAGCACCGGCCTCGCAGAATGTATCAGCCAGCAAGCTACAGCTTTGGCCTCGTTTGCCACAATCCTGCCACGCGTCCGGGCGACGGCGTGCGGTCGCCCTCTGTGTCCCCCTCCCCCTGCTCCCGCACTCGCCGCTCCCGCGCTGTGTGATGAATCCAACCACAAGAGAGCGGTGACCACACAGCTGCGCTCTTGCGCAAAGTTGGAGGGGGGGTATCACCCCCCCCCTAGCACATCTACGCCACTATATAAGGAACGAAACAGGTGGACTTCTCTACAAATATAGCTGTCGCCTGATGAAGCTGGTTGTAATTATTGGCGAAACGTCGTACTCAGATTGTAAATCTTGTGGCTTGGCTCTCCAACAGACCGGTGTGCTGTACTAGTGACGAATTGGCACGTTCTGTTTACGTGACAACCCTTACTAGTTGGTCGTGTCGGGTGGTGGCGGATTTTAATGACACATTTATATATTTACACGCTCTAACCCAGAAAACAAACCTCTAGTATGGATGATATTGGTCGTGAAAGCCGACGCGTTAAACTGCGATGAATCCAAGTCTGTTTGCCGACCACGGCTTGAACGGCACGGATTAGCTTCAGGTGTCTAAGAGAGTCGTTGAATGCACAACAACGTTGCCGCCCACCTGACGAAACCAAGACGTGTGTGTGTGTGTTGATGAAAATATACCTTTCTGTTTGTTCATTCAGGAGACGTTGGCTATCCCGGGGTACCCGGTGCTCCAGGAATTCCTGGCCGCCCTGGCAGAGGTAATTCAGTATGAACCCCCTCTAGATTTGAAGCTTTCGTGACTGCAAGGATTCATATTCTTAGGTTTTTTTCGGTAAAGTCACGTAGGTAAAAAATTAAAATTAATAAAAGTAAAATAAAAAGTTACATTAAAATTAAATATGTATTATATTATTTTATTTTTATTTTACTTTTATTAATTTTAATTTTTTACCTACGTGACTTTACAGAAAAAACCTAAGAAAAATTAACCCCCTTGCCACACGGCCACTGAAGCACCTCCAGAGATCACGTTGCTGCTGCCTGAGGTCAAGCGAGCCCCCTTCACAATGAACCCTGCCCCCCCCCCGCTCCCTCCTCCAGGCCACAACAACACGATCTGCTGTCCGATCTCTCCATGTAATATAAGCGCATGTTGTATTATGTAGCCTGCATGGGGGTAAGTGGAGGGGGCAGTGGTGAGCACCCGGCCACCTGAGTTGAGATTCCGTTAACGTCAGCAGTGAGTGGTATCTAAACCGGTCTCAGGCCTCACCTTCACAATTTTTTTTTGGTTTCTATTTTAAATTTTACAAGGTAAGGCCCCCTGAGCCATACAGCTATTTTTTTCAGAAGCGACCTGGCCGCAAATGACAGCTCAACGAAGTGGCTTATCGTGTGGAAATTTATAGCAGCCAAATACTCTGAATGCGTGATGTTGATTCTAAATGTGGAGGGAAAAACCGGAGGACCCGGAGCAAAATCCACACGACCACGGGGAGAGAGAGAACACGCAAACTCCAAATATACAGCAGCAGGCGTCAAGGTCGGGATCGAACCCACGACATCCTGTATACCAGACGAGGTAGCTAACATCTCATCACCGTGGCACCCCAACCCGCAAGGACCAGCGTGGTGGTGGTGGTGAAGTATGTTCGATCAGCATCCCCACGACTGGCACTGGATGGGGTTCAACCAGCAGAGGGTTGGCATAGGTGTGAATGGAATTGCTACATTTTCTCTTAAACACGCTCAAGTTTCGTTTTCGGAATAACTTCATTTAATCATCTTGGAATATATTTGTAGTTTTTAGACGCTATAGACGATGAAATAATAATAATGATTATAGTTATATCTCGAGAGTAATGTTTGGAAAATGAAATGCCAAGCAATTGCCCACGTTAAAAGCAACCTGCACCGAATGTGGGATGATTTTACTCAAGGGCACGAAACCAAACTCCTGAAGACTCATCACCCACGCAGAACGGATTAAATGAAATCATTTGGTCGCAGTACGTCCGACACCGTGGTATTTTACGAGCATTTCTCATCGCTCGAAAACTACAGTCCCAATCGGCTGAAATACCTTACCCGAGCACTTCCCACGTCTCTCGCGTATCTCTAAAGCAGTGGCTCTTAAGCTTCACTGCAGCCTGCACCCCTTTGGTTCTCAGAAAGGGCATCTCGCACCCCCAGGGGCTGCGTGCACCCCAGGTTAAGAATCGCTGCTCTAAATCGATACCCGCATCCAAATGTACGTACGTCCTGAAACAGCGCGTAACTTTTTCCTTCTCGTCCGTGCCTCCCAACTCCCTTCCCCCCCATGCCCCCCCTCCCGTGCCCCCCCCCCCACCCCATCCACGCAAACCACGCTCGCAGACGCCACTAACGGCGCTCAGCCGGACGAGGACATTTCCATCATGGTCGGTGTGGGAGAGCTCGAACAGCAGCAGAGCTGGTCGGGGTCTCAGAGAGAGATCAGCAGCAGCAGTAGCAGCAGCAGCAGCAGCAGCGGCGGCAGCAATGGAGGCGGTGGCAGGAACAGCGGCGGTGGTGGCGGCGGCGGCGGTGGCGGCAGCTTCTCGAGTGGTTCCTCCAATCGTGGCTCACAGCAGCCGTCTGTGCAGTACATCGCTGGGCCGCCCGGCCCGCCCGGCCCACCCGGCCCACCGGGCTCCGGCGGTGGAAGCAGCTGGAGTACAGGTAGCTGCTGGGGGGTGGTGCTGTACATCGCGACAGTCGGGACGCACCTGCTCCCGCTACACCGCTGCCTCCGACTCGTCCATTGGTCTTCTCCCACCTCTCGCTACTCCTGCCTGGTCCGATAGTTTGATGACGCTTGCCCAGAGGACGCGCGGAACTGCCCCGACCTCTCGAGCCCTCTGCTCATCCTTCGAGCACCGAACATCGGCTTATCTAACAAAAGATGTTCAGCATACGTACATATATACATCTATACCGGACGCATTATATCTCGTTGGTGTGAATGTTTCTGTTCGCATTTGGGATTTATCGCACTTGTTTAGCCAGGAAAGCCTCAAGACTGTTTTCAGGAGGGTCCTGCCAATTATCCCCTATGTGAAACATGGCTGTTGTTTTGTTCTTTAAAAACACCCCCCCCCCCCATAGACTACCAGGGCTACGGGGGAATTCAAGGACCCCAAGGGCCCCGTGGGCGTCCAGGGGTGCCTGGCTCCCCTGGTGTGCCTGGCACGATCCACAACATCGTCGAGATACAGGAGTACCTGAGATGTGAGTCACGGGGACCCTGCGCCGAACGTAACACACACACACACCTCGACTGTCGCCGCTGTCCCTGCAAAGAGGCCCGTGCGGTGACAGAATTGACTGAGCGCGGCGCGAAGATAAGAAACGCACTGCTGTCGTCAGGTCGGAAATGTTGCCCGATTAGTGCAGCCAAGATGCTTGTACTGACAAGACACGTGATGTTTGAGGGTCGTTTCAATGTGGAAGGGCCTCGTACCGCCACAGGCGGTGTGAAATGAAGTTGCGCGCCATATCAAGCCCACGGGCCGTCGGTTCTCCATCGCTGTTTCAGACACTACATCTCATTGGATGGCTCAGTGGTCTCTCATTCACGAACTTCATGATCATTGAGCTATATATTGGCCGCCAGACGATGATTGTTTTTTATATTACACGATAATATTTTTGCTGAAAATCCTTTATTACAGTGGCGTGACCCACCGCATCCCACATTTCCATCTCCGGATGGAATAAAGATCGGATTGGATTGGAAAAATTGGCTGAGAAAAGACTGGGCTTTTTTTTTTCAACAACTTAAAAGAGATTAAATATTGTCGTTGAAAGAACAGATCTTGTGGCTCATTTGGTGACACTGCCGCGTCGGCAGCGGTGCAAAAAATCACAAATAAACAAAACAAAAAAACTCAACGCATTAATAAATAACACCGTGGCCTTAAACGGGGAAAACATTACGATCGGGTGCATTTTGGGGCAATGGCCAATCTTCTTCATAGCGCATTCAATGTGAATTTTACAGCATTAATCACTGAATCTCTGTCATCCCCTACAGCCTCTAATTCTTTGCTCGGCCGTGATATCGAATCTGAACGTATAGTTCGCCAGTTTCCCGCGTGCCATTCTGTACGTGGCCGGTGTGACCCCTCTACCCGGTTCGTTGTTTTTGCCACAGCTATCCGGAGCATCAATGGGGTGCCGGGAACACCAGGAGAGAAAGGCGACCAGGGGGAGCCTGGGCTGTCGGGACCCAGTGGATCGCGCGGTATGTTTCTTCATTATAATCGTCATCATTATCGTCGTCAGGGAGCGTAAACCATCACGCGAACTCCGGTCATCATCGCAACAGCAGCCGCTTTTGGCTGGCCATCGAACAGAGACGGTCACCGCATCGCGCGCTTTCAGATGCGCTCCTGCAGCCGCCTGGAACGCTCTTCCTTCCGATATTAGGAAGCCACTGGAGCTATACACTTTCAAATCTAGTTTGAAAATGTATTTCTTAGGAACTTCTCTTGTGTTTAGTTTCTTGTCCTTCCCCCGCACCTCCGATTAGCATGGTTGGCTACTGCCGAGGTCACTTCATGTGGCCTCTCTTTCTACACCAGGGGGTACACTTTTTAAATCTACGAAAACAAAGAGTGGTGCCACGGATGCCAACAAAACCAAAAATATGCAAAGTCTCATCGCCGGAAGTTTTCGTATAGCGCGATGAATTTGGGGACCCGACCTTGAGTTCTGGCTGCGGCCAACTTCAGGGACAAGTTCTGGGTGCTTCCCCACCCCCTTCACCAACACGCACTGACCCGCGTGGTGAAATATGGTCAGCAACCCTTACGACCGACACAGCATAGGGGGGGCGGGGGGGGGCAGCCTTCGTCCAGACGCGGATTGACCAAGTGTTGTCAATTATTTGGTATATTATGAAGTGAAAAACTCAATATTTTTTGTTCAGAGTTATTTGTTGACCAAGCTGAGGCCATCAACTCACTGCACTCGAGCACTACCCATTCCGTGGGCGCTCAGGCGGAGGGTGACACGTCAGAGTCTCACGGGCAGTGGGCAGGGGAAGCTGAGCATCCAGATTTCAAAATCAACTTAAATGTTTATTATTATTATTTAAAAAAAGGCCGACTTTGCTTGGTGGGAGAATATGAATGAACAAGCAAACTTTTGTCAACTTAATGATTTTGTTTTTGAACCTTTTTGTTTAGGTGAGCAAGGATTCCCAGGCACACCCGGTACGTCTGATTATTGTCTCTCGAACTGTGTCTTTATATCTTCCATGGACACGTCAGACTCCACATGTACCCAGGTCACTGTTTGCAAATAATGAGGCTCATCCTGGCCTGTTGATTTCTCTGCCGGTTCAACTCGAAAAACCTTGAACAGTTGTATTGATTCTAAGTTTAAAAAATATTCCTACACTCATGATACGTGCATCAAATCGTGCAATGTAATAATGAGGCAGTTGTTTTTTTTTTCATTCTTCAAATATGTCAACGTTACATGGAAGATAATGGAAAATATAAAACTACTGTACACAAACGAGACCAGCACTGAGGCAGTGCTAATCTCCTGTTTATAGCCCTGAGCCAGTGGTGGAAACCCCACGTTCATATGACGGGGCCGAGTTTATCCATAGAACAACCACTGTTGACTTCCGCACAAAACGGTACTCGTTTTTTTTATGACCCCAGAAAGATGATGGGCTGAGTCAACCAACGATCAGGAGTTGAACTCGCTCCCACCCGCTGAGCCAACCTGAATGATCGATCCATCGCTTCGTAACCACGATCACAATTGAGCATCAATTGTTCTGTCTGACCTTGTGGCGGATGTAGCGGTGGCTAAGGTAGTCACGTGACCCCACTACGTGTGATTGTAAACCCACGGATGGAGGCTGGAGCCTGTTTGTTGAGTATGTTCATATACTTCGCAGGGTTAATATCAAGTGAACGTTTCTTCTTCATTATTATTATGCTGATTCCAAATTGTGTCTGACATTTCAGGACCAGAAGGGCCCCCCGGTTCTCCTGGCTTTGACGGTCAGAAGGGACAGAAAGGTATGCACTCTTGTCTTCCTATCGAAATACAAAGACAGATTCCCCCCACATAACCTGGACAGACCGTAGGGACGAGTGCTGTTCGCGAGCACCTACGAAGGCCGGCACGGCACACGAGGGGGTGGGGTGGCCAGCACCACACCCCGGCGTGGTGCTGGCCACCCGCCCCCTCGTGTGCCGTGCCGGCCTTCATAGGCACTCGCTAACAGCACTTGCCCCCATAATCTGGTGAGGTTATAAGGGGGGTCTTTGTCTAAATATTGCATCTATTTTTAGAGAAGAGACAGCCATGGGCAGAAGGGTTTAGACAGGGGCAGTAATTGTCAAGACTGTTTAATTTATTTGTTACAGGAATTGAAATGTCTATCACCAACACTTGTCCAGCCATATGGATTCTAAGTTGACACACAAACGTACAGTATGATGGCTCTATAACAATACCATCTTCATTTGCCTCCCGCAGGCGAGGCAGGATTCTCAAGAAGAAACCGCAGGGCAGCGGCATGAGACTGAGAAGACGCTGCCCACACACACACACGGAGAGAGTGTTGTCAATTGAAAATTAGCAACACCACTCCATGTGATTGCGCGGTCAGTGTGGGGAGACCTGTACAAGTGACACTGCCATTTCCAACTCTATGCATTCCACTGCCTGTTAGTTTGAAGAAAGAAAGGACAGCTAGCACTTAGCGGATAGTTATCCTGAGAGTTTTCATAAGAAAATGTCTCTGTGTCATTACGATAGAGTTGAATTGGCGATGAAAATAATTAACTACGGAAGAGCTAAAACAACCTCGCATTTTGTTAAGAGCAAGAATTCCATTGCTGTTAATCTGATCACCACACACAGCCTCATGATCTCTCAGCCCGATCATAAAATTAGTTAATTTTTACTGAGACGTTGTTCAGGGTGGTTGGATCTGGTTAAAAAGTATATTTGTTCTACAAGATTATCTCATTTCACGAGTTACAGACGGAATATTCACGGCTAAGTATGCAACGATCCCATAGATTCATCGACTAAAAATGAATCTCGCTCTCGCGCTCACGATGCATGCCGAAAACAACGCGTGTTCGAACCAGTTATTTACATTTCACGCAAATTACATACAACCAATAAGATAAAGTTGCGCTTTTAACTAATGGAGTGGCGACAAACGTGTACAAACCGAGGTTTAAAAAAACAATTCAAATGACACAGTTAGGATGAGACACACAACAAAAGCTTTTTTTTTTTAATCGTATCGTGGCGCGTAACGTTTTAGGAAATCGCTGCGGGGCGATGGGGGAGAGAAATCTTTGCATCGCCTTGTCGTTGTGAACTGCCAAGATGGTTACACGTGCGAACGGGTGTCTTATTCCTGTCACATAACGCTGCCTCTACACCTGCCACTTGTCTTGCCCTCAGTCCTGCATTATTATATTTTTTACCGGTGACTTGTTTTATGTTTGGGAGACACACAGCTCCCCCCCGCCCCCACCCAGTTTGCTTCAAAGTATGGTTAAGTAAGTACGTAAATAATACTTGGTTTAGGACCAGAAGGTGTGGAGGTGATCGGGCAACTTCGAGGTCAAAGTTACGAGAGATTCGGGGTTCGATTCCTGGCAACGGTTAAATTAAAGTTCTCAAGTGGAGCGAGGCCATCAAGCGAGTCGATGGTCTCCGCCCAATCACCAATGAATGCACTAGAAAACGCCGTAAAACGTAATTTGGTTTCGCACTTAATTTAGCGAAATATTTATTTGACCGTCATGTGACAGACACTAATCTCGTAGCGGAGTGTGCGCAGGACAGTGCGCCCCACTGATTGTGTAACGATGGAAGGCGAATACATTTTCGTTCGTTTTTTTGAAAGAAAAAAAAGACGCGTGAAAATAAGTTGCGTTCCAAATTCGCGGACGTGAGATTTGCCGGACGGATTGTTTTTTGTCGCATGGTCCCCCCCCCCAATACTGCAACGAGGAATCACAAGTGGGAAAAATACCAAAAATATTTCCAGAGAAAAAGAGCACAGGGTGGCAGCGATGTTAGCGCTGTACTCATTGAAAAGGGGGATCAATTTTTTTTTGGTTTTAAAGCACAGCGCAATTAGCTCTACGTCTTAAAAATGTCCGTCACTTGTTGCTCTGTTACCACGCGTCTTAATTTAATCCTTAGTGTTACTCAACGTAAACCGCTTCAATGCACTTTCTCTTGCATTTTTTTTGTAGTCGTTTGTATTAAAAAACAAAAATGAAAATAAACCGTTGTGGAACAAAGTCGTCGTCTCCCGCGCATTTCCGCGTCGTCATTTACGTTCACGCCGCCTGCGTGTTCGCCGCTTGTGTGCAGAGGTTAGCGCTTCGAATCCAGCGGCCGCCCCGGTTAATAGCGCGCGGTGCAATCGTCTGCTTCGCCAGGGGACGTTGAAGATCCCACCTTGGGCGTCGTGTGCGAGACGAGGCCGTTGTGTGCTGGCGTCACGGTCCGAATTCGCCAACGTCGAACATTACACACACATTTACTCCATTTCAAATTTTACGTAGCCATTGTCGGTCGCTCCCTGCCGGCGGCAGACCGATGCCCTCGGTTGCGCTTGCGAATGAGACTCGTCCTGGTCTCAACGAGCTCTCCACCGGCTTAAACAATGAACTCGAAACTTGAATGTTTCGTATCGTTCATGGATGACGGGTGTGCTCCTCCACGGGATTAGTGGGTGCATTGTTCAGGTAGGAAACAGAAGCAATACTGCCAATCGCAATTCATTATGAGGTCCTATGCCAGCCAAGAGGCCACAGTTAATGACATGTTAACATTAAACTCGCGAAGCACCGTTGTTGAGCATGATGGGTAATTACATAACATATACTTCTGTTTACGGGACCGTATTTACCAATATGAAGATGATGAAAACAGAATAGGCTTTACCCATTCCGGCAAGAATACAGGTGGCTCTTGCACTGCCCTGGCATGCCTCGGTTGTACGGTGGAAATGAACTACAACTTGGACACACAAGTCATCATTGCTCTAAGTGTGTGTTTAAGGCAGGGATGGGGAACGTCCGGCCCGCGGGCCTTATAAGGTCCGCGAAATCATTTAGTTTGGCCCTGCCAAGGCAACCGCAGGCAGGACTCGAAATTCAATAAATCTAGGAGCAAACCTGGAAAAGCAGTTGCGAGTAGCAGCAACATCATCAATACCGGCTAACATTACACGCCTCGCCAAAGAGAAGCAGTTCCAGCCATCACATTAGGGGTGAGTTAATGAAATGTTTGACCAAATATAACAGGCTCATTTTTAAGTTGATCATTTTGTATGGCCCGCGAATGATGTTATAAATATCCAAATGGCCCTTGGCAGAAAAAAGGTTCCCCACCCCTGGTTTAAGGCGACGGACGTTTCACCATTGCATGGGTGGAAAAACCCCGATTTTTCCAGCGGCAGGCATCGGGTTTTTTTCTTTAATACAATTAAACCCGATTTCGGGGAATTAAAACCTGGTTTAATGAATACGAAACTCTGATAGGCTTAGGCTGCTTCCTCGTCGGTGCTGCTATCGTACTCGGGGACGTCAGGCACGGGGTAGTCGTAGAATGCGGCGGGCAGGTTGGTCTTGATGAACACGAGCTTCTCCTCCACAATCGTGGGTGCCAGTGAGTTCCTTAGCTTGGAATGGATGAAGCCCATCGTTGAGAAGTTGGCGAAGTGCGGTTCTGCAATTAGAACCAATTAAACCGGATTTCTCCCAATCTCAGATGATCGGGTTTAATATAAAAAGACAAGTAAACCCGATTGTAAAAAACCCGACTGTGCCACCCTTGCACCATTGTGATCAATGCAGCAGACAGGAGGAAGCGCACACAGCTCGTGGACTTTGATGCTAGAGCAGTGGTTCTTTTTCACATCTACTGCAGCCTTGCACCCATTTGGTTCTCATTTGTGGGAGAGAAAAAAAAGGTTTGATGTCAATATACACATGATGGGCGTGATGAAACAAAGTGAGTTGTACTTACGTGCTTAATTCGTGTTCGGATGATTTACCTTCTAAAACGATCTGGCCACGTCTCGCACACTCAGAAAGGGCATCTGGGACCCCCCAGGGGGTGCGTGCACCCCCAGGGGGTGCGTGCACCCCCAGGTTCTGAACCACCGCTCGAGAGAAAGAAGACACGTTGTGCACCCCCGTGGACAAACGGCAAGAAGAACGAGCGAAGGCAGACGGCGATAGATTGGCGAGAAACGCTCAACTTCGATTTAAAGCTTTCGTGACTGCAGGGATTCATCTTCTTGGTTCTTTCGGTAAAGTCACGTAGAAGGGAAGTAATAAAATAATAAAAAATAAACTTTCGATTTAAAGCTTTCGTGACTGCAGGGATTCATCTTCTTGGTTCTTTCGGTAAAGTCACGTAGAAGGGAAAGAATAAAATGATACAAATAAACTTTCGATTTAAAGCTTTCGTGACTGCAGGGATTCATCTTCTTGGTTCTTTCGGTAAAGTCACGTAGAAGGGAAAGAATAAAATAATAAAAATAAACTTTCGATTTAAATCTTTCGTGACTACAGGGATTCATCTTCTTGGTTCTTTCGGTAAAGTCACGTAGAAGGGAAGTAATAATATTGTGTTTTATTTTTATTATTTTATTACTTCCCTTCTACGTGACTTTACCGAAAGAACCAAGAAGATGATAAAATAATAAAAATAAAACGTAATATTATGTTTTATTTTTATTATTTTAATACTTCCCTTCTACGTGACTTTACCGAAAGAACCAAGAAGATGAAACGCTCAACTGTACACCGTGACAGGAACTCACAGTCGTTTGAAACACGTAGATAGGTACGTTGGGGGGGGGGGGGGGGGGGGACGTGGAGAAAATGTCCAGTGCGATGGACAAAGGAACAGAGAGGTAGGCAGAGACTAAGACGGACAGATAATGTAACATGAACGGTGAGCATCAGCGTTCGCCTATCTGGGGGGAGATAGAGGGGCAATGTGAGAGCGATTGGCTCGGATAAAACAAACAACGCGTAAACACAACAACAACACAGCGAAGAGGAGAATAGGGGGAAAATTAACCCGTAAAAACTAAGTTTTTCACTATAAATCCTTTATATGCGTGGCATCGGTTTTATTTTACTATTCATTTCTGTTTTTCTTGAGTAAGAGTTTCATTTTTATCACATTGGTATTTTAGATTAAATATGTAATTATTTTTTTCCTAAAAAGTGTAAAATTTTGGGAAAAATTTTTCACGCAAATAATTTGTCACGCACAACGAGTCTGTGTGCAAAATGTCAGCTCGATTGGATCACGGGAAGTGGGTTAAAAAAACGACCGAAAGATTTGCACGGTCGTAAGCGCGCAAGCAAGCAAGTGAACTTGATATAAAGGATTTAAAAATGTAGGGCGCTCCCAAATGCCCGGCGTAAACGAGCTTCAGGGGAGACTTTACAGCAGAGGGAAGAGAGAGTTCCAAATGGGCGAAGGGCCATCGTGAGCAACGCTGAGAACGACCGAGACACAGAGAGCCCTGATGGTGCCCCGGTGTTTTGACAGCTTTCGCGCACACGCGCGCCTGAGTCCACTGGCCCACACAGAGCCCCTTGGCTGTTATGAAACTCCCCCCCCCCCCGCAACTTGTCTGGCATGTTGAAGCAATTCAATCTACTGGCACATGCGGCATCGTTGCCACGTGCCGTGCAGGAGCCAATGGTTGCGATGACCTTGGGAAGTTAAGGCTGGCGGTCTCTGCCCAGAAGCGCCACATTGCGCTAATTTTGTTTTTCGATCCAGGGCGAGCGCAAGAGCCCAGGCAACTTTCGGGTAAAATCGTGTTGTCCTGTGCAGGTTTCGTTTACTTTGCCGTGTTTCGCTGTGGATTTTCACTTACGTGCCTGTCTTTCGCTGTGGATTTTCAGATATATTTTGTATTGCTCTTTCGCTGTGGATTTTCAGATATTATTTGCATAGCTCTGTCGCTGTGTATTTTCAGATATCATTTGCATTGCTGTGTGTCGCTGTTGATTTTCAGATATGAATTATATTGCTGCGTTTGGCTGTTTATTTTTAGATACTCATATTGCCGAGTTTCTCCGTGAATTTTAGATGAGGGTTAATTTCCGCTCGTGGATATTTTATTTTTTAAGATGTATTCATGTTGGCATGAAAGTATACTTGGGTGCGTTGTCTGTTTTATAGCCTTGTGGCAGTTTGGCCTGCGAATGAGATGGCAGGTAACACGTGGAAGCGACGGCTTTTGTATAAGTCTGAACGATATATTTTTCAGATTTTGATGGATTTGTTAACACATATGTTTGTGATGTTGTGTGTAACGATTCATGGTGTTGGCCACCCACCCCCTCGTGTGCCGTGCCGGCCTTTGTAGATGCTCGCTAACAGCACTTGCCCCTCCAGTCTGTTAAGGCTAAATGGGGGGGTCTTTGTAGTGTATGGGGCATGTGTGGTGTATTTGGAACTTCTTTCGCTCCGTACATAGCCAACCGTGTGGGGGAAGGACAACAAACTGAACACAAGAAGCAGTTTCCAAGAAATTAGTTTCCAAGTTGGATGATTTAGAAAGTGCACAGCTTCAATTGCTTTATAATGTCGGAAGGAAGAGACGTTCCAGACGGCCGCAGAAGCGCATCTGAAAGCGCCGCGCGATGCAGTGACCGTCTTTGTCCGATGGCCAGCCACAAGCCGCCCCCGCTGCTGCTGCAAGGATGACCGGAGTTTGCGTGATGGTTTATACTCGTTGACGTGTGTGATGTGTGTGTCCAGTATGTAAGAATGTGTTTGACCCTTTCTGGCGATAAAACATTTGTGTTAAGATGTTAAAACACCAAACTGAAACATTTTGCAAGGAATCACGTCCGCATTAACCACATGTAATCGTGGTGAACATGCAAACAAAAAACATGCTTTGATTAGTAGATGATGCATTGTCCTTGAAACTGTCTGGTCCGCATCAGAGACAGCTTTCTTTAGAGCCCAGTCTCAAACAGTGTTAGACCAGAGGACGCCAAAAGGCGACCAGCACAAAGACAATGCCACTTGTCAGGACATTGACAGCTCGGGGTGAGCAGCTACATCATGGGACCCCCCTTGCCACTATCAAAATAAAACAGGAGGTCCCATGATATCCAGTATGTGTATGGAGTGTGTATGTGTGTGCTGTTTATCCAGCATATGCTATGTTTGTAGTGTGTATGCGGTGTGTATGTAGTGTGTGTATGCAGTGTGTATGCTGTGTGTATATACTGTGTGTATG